GAAATCTGGTTAACCTAATCAGAATTCTTAATATTAGAATTCTGTTTATCCCAACTAGAATTTTGGTTATTCCAACTAGAATTCTGGTTAGGATATATTTAACATTGTTATTCTGCTTAGGTCAACCAGAATTAACCTAACCAGAATTCTAGTTATTGTAACTAAAATTTTGATTATTCCAACTAGAATTCTGGTTAGGATATATTTAACATTGTTATTCTGCTTAGGTTAACCAGAATTCTATTTAGAATAACCAGAATTCTGGTTATTGTAACTAGAATTCTGTTTAAGATATATTTAACATTGTGATTCTGGTTATTCCAACTAGAATTCTGGTTAGGGTATATTGAACATTGTGATTCTAGTTACGTTGACCAGAATTCTGGTTATTTTAACGAGAATTTTAGTTAATGGAATTAGAATTCTGGTCTATTTAACAAGAAAGAAGTGTTAAATGTAGCCTAACCAGAATTTTTTTCAGTATACAATTTTGTTTGGTGTGGCTACAACAAATCTGTATTGTTGCACTAACAATATATTTGTTACTACAACAATTTTTTAGTTGTTACAACAAAATTTTATTGTTACTCATTTTGAATTAAAAATTGAAATTAGTTTTTCTATTGTTTTAACAACAATATCGATTTGTTGTATAGCGACCAAACAAAATTTAGTACCAGGTTTAAGTATATAACATGATTTTTTTCCGTGTATTTAAGATCAAAATTCGTTTTTCCATTTTTAGGAATATGTTTATCATGAGCCCTAAAAGTTATATATATATATAATAATTGAAAATATATATTTAAAAATCTATTTCTTTTGATGGATATTCAGTGTATTTTTTGGCAATTTTTGAAAAGCAACAGACAGAATAATTATAATAGAGAGCTTGTTCTATAACGTGAAAGTAGTTTGCCACGTGAACCCATATGTAATTACGCATTGAATCATAAAACTGCTCTTTCGCTAGACGGTCAGGGCCGGCAAATATATTACATTCAATCGCGTAGTTCCCATGCACGAACAGGCCATACTGGAAACTGGAATTATTACGTAATATATATATATATACACACACATATACAGGACTCTTATTTGTAGCACTGGAAAACGAATAATGATTACCAGAAGAAAATTACGTTCCTAACATCATTTTTCATCTGGAAGAATACACTAATAAGACATATACATATATACATATAGCAACTATAATTGTAATTGATTCAATGAAATTTCTTATGTATACATCCTTTTATTATTAGGATCTGTTTCTTTCATTGTAACAGTAAAATGGAAACAAATTACTGTTCATTATTATACTTTCTATTTTTGAACAATTTTATTTTATAATTTTGAAAAAACTAGTTTCACTATGAGAAAAATGTTTAGTCAGAGCAAACCAAATTTTGGTTGGGCCGCAACAAAAGAATTTTGTTGGGTATTTAAGCAACCAAGGTGTAGTTAACTAAAAATTTGGTTGTCGTAACCAAATTTTGCTTGGATTTTAAAAATTTTCAAATTATTTTGTTGACATAACCAAATATTAGGTTAGGTTTCAGTCAACCAAAATGGTTACAACAACCAAAATTGCCTAATCAAACGATTTTGTAGATGCAAAATCTTTTTTTTTCTGTTCTTTAATTAGAAATGAATTGAATTTAAAGTCTTTAATTTATTTTCTGTGTTTTGATATTTTAAAAAGGAGAAAAAAGAAAATTTTTTTCACAATATAAATGCTGTGTATGTAAGTCGTTTGGACCAGAAGTTTTGATCCATCGCGTACTTCTATTACCGGAAATAGCGAGTTATGACACTTGACTCAAACGCTTAAACGCTTAAGAGTGATCAAGGTAGGCGATAACACTTTGTGTACAGTTAAGTGCACCAACAATACATGTGACACACTTAGGAATATTATATACGATAAATTATATATATATACGCTATTGTCATTGAATTTAGAATTTGTAAACATAACCTATAATTATTTACTGATCCATGAATGTAAATTAACTGATTATAAAAGCAAATATTGAAAATTTCTTTATGAATTTTTATTTACTATACTTGATTGAATTCAGTAATTGGCATATTTTTGCAATATATTATAATTCCATATATTTGTGTATATACAGATATAATTCGCTTATAATTATCTTGAACAAAATTTACCATAATTTCTTGTAAAATTTTCCCTATATGTCGATATATATAGAATAAATCTTTGCACTTTCTCTATGGCTAAACTATTATTATATATAGTATTTATACACATACGATTGTACATGAAAAATTAATAAATTTTTTTTCCTGTAAAAAAAGGTTATTTCTGTATAAAATGATAATATATGAGACTGTGTGACGTGATAATTAAGAAGATTTAAATATGAAATTTTTCTTTTTTTATATCTCGCGATAAGAAGTCCTATTTTGTTTATTCTTTCGAGGTCAGGAGAAAGTCCCTCCCCGTATAGTAATCGCGAAGACTATTTATAGCCTAGAATGCAATTCTGCATTAGGCGCGAATATTGTTAAGAAAAAATAAGTTAGAAAATCATTTCTCCAAATGTGTGTTTTATTTATTTATTTTTTTTAATTAGAGGCATTTTTTGATATACTTTCATTTATTTTCTTTTTATTTATTTTTTTAAATTATTTTAAGACGTGATTTTAGCCATTTGTCTATTTTCACGCCGTAAAAATAACGTGATCTTAGCCGATTGTATATTTTTATGTGTTAAATGACGTGATTTTAGCCATTTGTCTATTTTCACGCCGTAAAAATAACGTGATTTTAGCCGATTGTATATTTTTACGTGTTAAATGACGTGGAATTCGCCAAATGTCTATTTTCACGCCGTAAAAATGACGTGATTTTAGACGATTTTCTACCTTTAAGTGTAAAATGACGTTGAATTAGCCAAATTTCTATTTTCATGCCGTGAAAAGACGTGATTTTAGCCGGTTGTATATTTTTACGTGTAAAAATGACGTTGAATTAGCCACTTGTCTATTTTCACTCCGTAAAAATGACGTGATTTTAGCCGATTGTATATTTTTACGAGTAAAATGACGTGGAATTAGCCAAATGTCTATTTTCACGCCGTGAAAAGACGTGATTTCAGCCAAATGTCTATTTTCACGCCGTGAAAAGACGTGATTTCAGCCATTTGGTCTATTTTCACGCCGTAAAACTGACGTGATTTTAGCCGATTGTATATTTTTACGAGTAAAATGACGTAGAATTAGCCAAATGTCTATTTTCACGCCGTGAAAAGACGTGATTTCAGCCAAATGTCTATTTTCACGCCGTGAAAAGACGTGATTTCAGCCATTTGGTCTATTTTCACGCCGTAAAACTGACGTGATTTTAGCCGATTGTATATTTTTACGAGTAAAATGACGTGGAATTAGCCAAATGTCTATTTTCACGCCGTGAAAAGACGTGATTTCAGCCAAATGTCTATTTTCACGCCGTGAAAAGACGTGATTTCAGCCATTTGGTCTATTTTCACGCCGTAAAACTGACGTGATTTTAGCCGATTGTATATTTTTACGAGTAAAATGACGTGGAATTAGCCAAATGTCTATTTTAACGCCGTGAAAAGACGTGATTAAAGCCATTTGTCTATTTTTATGTGTTGAATAATTAAATTTTAAAATAAAATAAATTTTTAATTTAATTTAATTTAATTTAAATTTCTACATAATTTTACGTCAAAAAAAAAACATAGGTCGGTTACTATTGACGTGGAATGACCCATATAGAAACAGCGGCAAAATCTTTTTATAATATAATAGAGAAATATATATATATACAAAAGAGTGTTTGTAAAGTGAGAAGAGAGGCCATGTAAAAGGCATTCTTTCGTGACTATATTCCGCTCATGAGACCTTTACACAAAGATCTCTCGATACTGACATTCACATATTATTTTTTATTTTGTTATTCATTTAATTACATTATAATATATACTTCATTATTATTAACAATATTATTATTATTATTATTTTATATTATTTTTATTATTATTTTTTTTTTATTTTTATTATTCGGGAAAATTTTTTTCTGATCTCAAAATTTTGATCAAAAAAATTGTAAATATTGTATATATATAACAATACAGTTTTTACCTGGATAATCGTTCCAAAGTGAGATGTCTCACTAAAGCAGGTTTGACTGCAAAAACAATTGAATGTAAATTGATTTTTTTTTGCTCCATTGAAAAATGATTAATTTTTTTTAATTATAAATATATGTAAAAAAAAATTGAAAAGAATTTTAATTAATAACAATTTGATATAAATTGTCGGGAATGAGGAAATAATGTGAAGGATATTTTTCTACTTATAATATAATCTTTTTATGGGAGCGGTATTTCTTAGTCTGACTAAAACTAACCACATCTACTTATTATAATATTCATTATAAAAGAACTTGTATGCGGTAACAAAGATTTACAGTCACATTTCTTTTGTGTAACAAAAAAAAAATTTTTTTTTTATTTTTTTTTTTTTTCATAATAACTTTTATGAGTATTTTATATATTACCGCACAGCTTATAAAATTCAATTGTTCTTTATTTTTAAAGAGCTCCGAAAATAAAATATTTCGAAATATTTTAATATCTATTGTTCTCTCGTATATATATTTTTTTATTATAAAATAAATTCTTCTATAATTGAATTAAAGTTTTTTGAACTATTTTTTCAAGATTACATTATTAGTTACATGATGAAATATATTGCATTTATATATCATTTTTTTTTTTTTTTGTTTAAAATGATTTCATATATTAAATTCAAAGTCCGTTAAGTATAATTTCATTGAAATATGTGGATTAATTAGAAAACGAATTTATTCATCTGGAATAAGTAGGCGCTCCCATTATAGATATAGTTTATATATTTAATTATGCCTCTTTCGATATTAAGAAAGAGAAAAAAAAAAAAAATTATATTTGATGCGATTTTAATTTTTAATTAATCATTTTCAGGACGAGGCGATTTTGTTGGAGGAATAGACAATGAGGCGTTGGATTTCTCACAATTGGAAGATTTCATCAATAGCGATAGTGAGCAACCGGCAACGTAAGTTTAATAATTTTTTAAAAAATTAATTAATTAAAAAAGTTTAAAAAAAAAATTTTTTTTTTATTTTTCAATAATTACTAATTAAATAATAATAATTATTATTTTTAATAATATGGAAATTCACTTTTATAATATTCGCGTATGCAGAAGCATAAACCGGTAGCGAAAAAAAAGAAAGAGAAAAAAAAAGAAATGCGTGAACAATAAACCTGAAATAAGTCATGTGTGCGAATCTCAATTGTCACACTGACCAATGACTGCTTCTTTTGTCTTTTCCTCTCCCTACGAGTTCCTGTCGGTGCAATTATGCTAATTAACGAATTCAAATAATGCGCTTGCCACTGCTTTAAACAAGCACGCGTTTCCTGTGAACCCTTCTCTGGTTCTAAATTTTATATAAATTGAATGATCCCATGTCATTTTTACTTATAACAATGCGAGATTCAAATTTTTTTTTTACAATAATATATTTTTATTTTTTTTTATTAGATTTTATTTTATTTTTCTCCATTATTCACTTATTACACGAATTTTTACAATGATAATAAAAATAATAATAAAAATAACAATAAATATAATAAATAATTATAAATAATAAAGAAAAATAAATAAATAAAATAAAAAATAACTATACCTAAATAAAAATAAATAAATAATATAAAAAAAATAAAATATTAATAAAAATATATTTTAAATGAATAGATTTTTTATCATTTGTTCTTAAATCCAAATTTATGCTAAAATAGTAAATTATTTATTTTATATTACAATTATTAGGTATTATTATTATTATTATTATTATTTATTTATTTATTAAGCTTTTATTAAGCTTCATCCATTCGGGTCAGAAGTGGACTTGGTATTATTATTATTATTATTATTATTATTATTATTATTATTATTTTGTATTATTTTATATATTATTTTATATATTTATTTAAAAATATAATACTCTAAATTAAATTTTTTTTTTAATATTAGCAAGTGATAAATTGTTAAGAGTAGCATTGAATAAAATAGTGATTTTTTATTATTGCCTCATTTTTTTTTTTTCATTTTTTTTTGAAATAAATCTGAAAGAGTTTCAGTGGGTGGAATTAAAATACTTGCGATGCAGTACGATCGAGATAAATGCAATCGTCAAACTACGAGTGATGAATTGAGTACAGTTACATATACAAACACACTTTTTGTCTTTATATATGTGTATATTCAAGAGGTGTAATGATATAATGACACGACTGCAGACTGGATACAATTGAAGGAATCACTGCCCGCTGCATTAGGTCTAGAGTAATTTGTCGTGCAACTCTCAGATTATTATTATTTATTTTATTTTTCTTTTTTTTAACCAACAGAAGATTAATAATATTTAAACGTAATTTAATAAAAAAAAAAGAACTTTAAAAAAGAAATATATAAACTTTTATTGGCAGAAAATAAAAAGTAAATTTAATAAAGAAAAATTTAAATTTAAAAAAATATTTTAATAATTTTATATATTATAGAGAATATATAAAAATTAAAAAAAGGAAAAACAAATAGTTTATAATAATTTTTACACTTAAAAATAATATTTTATTTTAAATAATTGTTTAAAGTTTTATAATTAATTAATTAGTATTTAATTACAATTTAAATTCTGGTTTTTTTTTTCGTAAAAATTCAATGACGTCAGGTATGTTACGTTGTCGAACTATAAAAATGTACTCGCAAAATCGTAGTAAAATAAGCGATAGCGATATCTTGTGTTTTATAAATCCCACGCGATTACTAATTGACCGCAGAATCTCTTGTTTGATAATTTCAACAAAAAAAAAAAAGTTTCATAAATTAATTTTTAAAAAAATTAGTTACAAATTTTTTTATTTGATTTTTATTTACTATATAATTAAAATAAAATTTTTATTTTCAACAAAAATTTTATATAAATTAAAAGTAATTTATATATTCAATTTTTATTTCACACAATAAATAATGGAATTGAATTTTTATTATCATAATTGAATTTAGTTAAATTAAATTAAAATTTATTGAACTATAAATTAGTGGATTTTTATTTAATTAATTAAGTAATAATTAATAATTATTAATTTTAATTTAGTGGATAAATTGCAAAATATTTATATTTTGACTAATAAAAAATTTAATAACAATTTTTATTTTTTAGATATTTTGCTGATACCCTTGCTCACAATGAGGACGGTGGACCAAACAATCATGGAAATCGCGTGGAAACATCAAACAACCAACAACCACCTGCAAGGTTACCAACACCGATAACGCAAAATCATTCGGTTCCAACAACATGCACTTCCGGTACCACTCCTGTGCCTTCCGGTACTATTTATAAGGATCCTCAAACATACGTTCATCCGTAAGTTATTTTTTTGATATTTTTTCTTCTTTTTTGCATATAACTATTTCTTTTGCAATTTTTTTTTTTTATATAACTGAAAAAAACTTTCATATTTCCGCAAGAATAGAACAACATTCTTTTTTAATTTTTTTATTTTATTTATTATTTTTATTATTGTTATTAAAATTTGACACATAAATTAAATATATAATTTAAAAATTTAAAAAAAAAGTTTCGTTTTTTTAATAAAGATTTTGTGAAAGACGTAAAGTGTGTCATGATATAACAGCACTTTGGAGTTTTATTGTAGGCACTTGAGTTACTTTTTTTCCTTTTTTTTTTTGTTTTATTTAAAAATGATCTCTTTGCAGTCATTCATTACCAGAAAGTCCGCCAGACAGTGGTAGTGAGCCTCCTTACTCTCCACCCGGACATCACGACTCTCAACATGTACATTCACCGCGTAAGTTCATTCACCTGTTACAACTTATATATTATAGTTTGAGATCTGACTCGTCTCCTCTCCTAACGTAGGTGTGTATTACGCAAACACACTAGCATCCGGAGATTCACCTAAATTTCATCCCAGAGAAAGATGCTCATTAAAATCCTGGTCGATACATTTTTTTTGTTTTAAATATTTAAAAAAAAAAAATTTATTTTTACTCTGAAAAAGAAAATTTTTTTTCTATTTTTTTAATTATTGATAATAAAGGAATATGAATTAAAAGAAAATTTTTTTTTGGAAAATAATTCAAAATTAATTTTTAAAATTGATTTCTGTTTAAATTAAATTATTTTTTTGGAATTTATTTTACAAAAAGCAATTTTTTCGATTTTATTTTAAATTGGATTTTTTTTTTTTCACAGATCAAAAGGCATCTTTACAAGAAATCCTTCTTCATCATCAAGGGAACACATCGAATTACACGTCTGGTTTGTTGCCATCGTCACCAAGAACACTGGCACCAGTTTCAGATCCGCTTTTACTGACCCATCCAGTTTTGACGCCTCTTTTGACGCCAAATACATTGACTCTTTCAAATCAACAACAGCAACAACAACAACAACAATTGGGAACACCTTTGGTACCATTACCTCATGAACATAGTCCCAATAATACTGGTATCACTACTTTGTATTCGTCACTTCAATCGGCACCCAAAAAAAGAAAACTCAGCCAAGATGGTCTCGTACACGTCAAACAAGTAATACCGCTTAATCAAAAATATTTTAATAAACCTGTCTCACCTTCTATCTGTGTCTTGAATCTTAATCTAATAATTTTACAAGAGGTTTCAAGTATTATTTTTATTTTATTTTATTTTTTGACTTTGAAAACTAATTTTAAATTCATTTTTTCAAAATATTAATATTAATTTAAAAATAATATTTAAATTTGATATTAATTAAAAAATAATATTTAAATTTGATATATTAAAAAATAATATTTTTTGATATTAATTAAAAAATAATATTTCAATTTAATATTCATTTAAATATTTTTATTTTATTTGTTGTGTGGAATATTTTGTGTGAAAAAAAAAATTAGATTTGTAATGAAATTATTTTTTTTTTCAACAGGAACCAGAATTGGGAACGGTGGAAAGAAGTTGCAGTAGTAATAGTACAGTGCTTGAAGGCGATGAAGTTACAGGCGATAGTAATTACATTGATGCGAGTTATCAATGCATTCGTTTTCATCCTTTTCAACAAACTTCTTGGCATGCTCTCTGTGATCACAATCTTAAAGAACTCCCTGTTCCGCATTATCGTGTTGACGCTGATAAGGGATTTAATTTTAGTAATTCTGATGATGCCTTCGTTTGTCAGAAGAAAAATCATTTTCAAGTAAGAAATTCGTTTTTTTTTCTCACTGAAACGATTTAATTAATTTTTTTCTAAATTTAAGTGTTTTTTTTTACTATAATTTAATAATTTTTATCTCTATTCATTCAAACGGAATACTCTTTATTAATCGTGGTAATAAAAATAATAATAATATATTTATCTATTTAAGTGAATTATAAACTTCGAATTTGCATTTAATAGTTTCTTTTTAAACAAATTTTTACTTGACCTAATTTTTATGTACCGAATTTTATAGAATTTCGCTTTACCAAATTTTTATTTTAAAAAATTCTAATTTAACAGAATTTTTATTCAACAGAATTTTAAATCAAAATTTTTAAAATACAGAATTTTCAATTCACCGAATCTTCGTTTGTCCGAATTTTTATTTGTTCGAATTCATATTTGATAGAATTCTTAAAATGCCGAATTTCCATTTGTTATAGAATTTCGCTTTACCAAATTTTTATTTAAAAAAATTCTAATTTAACCGAATATTAATTTAACAGAATTTTCATTGAACAGAATTTTAAATCAAAATTTTTAAAATACAGAACTTTCAATTCACCGAATCTTTGTTTGTCCGAATTTTTATTTGTTCGAATTCATATTTGATAGAATTCTTAAAATGCCGAATTTCCATTTGTCCGGTATTTAATAAATAAATATTTAATTAATTTCATTAATATTATATTGATTAATATTAATATTATATTATTATTATTATTATTATTAATTAATAAAAAATTATATTATTAAGCCGCTAATTAGGGCAAATAAAAATTCGGATGAGTTTATTTACTTTTTTTTATTATTGAAAGTACGGACAGAAAAATTTAGAAATTAAAATTAATTTTTTTTTGTAATGTATTTTTTCTATAATTAATTTTTTTCATAAATAGAATGATTATTGCGAGTTCATTGAAGATAAGATACTAATTCATAAATTTGTTCTTCATTAAGATTACTTGCCACGCGCAGCTTCAAGGAGAGGCTGTATTCGTCAGAACCAGTGAGGGTCTCAAAAAGATTAGCAGTTTTCAGCTTCATTTTTATGGCGTCAAAGTTGAATCTCCAACGCAAACAATTCGAGTCGAACAAAGTCAAAGTGACAGGAGCAAAAAACCATTTCATCCTGTGGTGTGAGTAAAATGAAATTTTGTACGAAAAAATTCAAATTTTTTATTTAATTTTTTGTTTTAAAAATCGTTTTATTTTTTAATTTCTATTTTTGATGAATAATATTTTCGGCTAATTTTATTTTGCAAAATTCATTATTATATTTGCGCGACAACATGTTTTAGTTCATTCTTAACGCTAAAATAGAGCTGGTTTCAGGGTGGAATTGGGTGGCGAACGCGTCACCAAAGTGACGGTTGGTCGTTTACATTTTAGCGAAACGACAAGTAATAATATGCGTAAAAAAGGTAAACCAAATCCAGATCAACGTTATTTTCATTTGGTCGTTGGATTACATGCGCATACGGCTGATCAGGCGAGTTATCAAGTTGTTGCTCACGCATCGGAGAGAATAATTGTCAGGGTATGTTAATTAATTGGAATTTAATTAGTAATTATAATTAATAAATTAATTATTAGAATATTAATAAATAGAATAAATATAAATAATTATTTATATTCTCCAGGCGAGTAATCCGGGACAATTTGAATCGGAAGGAACTGGCGTTGGAGTTGAGGGTGGATGGCAACGTGGAGCAGCTCCCGATAGTGTTTATCATGCAGGACGAGTTGGAATCAATACAGATCGACCCGATGAAGCTTTAGTCGTTCATGGAAATATGAAGGTATACAATTTTTCTTCCAAAAAAATCCCTTTTTTTTATAAATTATTTTTTAATTTTACAATTTTATTTCTAATTAGGTAACGGGACATATTGTCCAACCAAGTGACGCGAGAGCAAAGCAAAATGTTCAAGAGCTTGATACACGTGAACAATTAAGAAATGTTCAACAATTGCGAGTTGTACGTTATCGTTATGCGCCGGAATTTGCCCTTCATTCGGGACTTGGTGTAAAATCACAGGAGGACACTGGTGTAATTGCACAGGAAGTGCAGCAAATTTTACCAGAAGCTGTTTTGCCAGCTGGTGATATTGTTCTTCCAAATGGACAGAGAATTGAAAATTTTCTTGTTGTCAATAAGGAGAGAATTTTTATGGAAAATGTCGGTGCTGTTAAAGAATTGTGTAAAGTCACTGACAGTTTGGAAACACGAATCGATCAATTGGAGAGAATTAATAAACGATTGGCAAAATTAAAAAGAGGTGATAGTCTCAAGAGTTCAATTAGTACAGTATCTAGTATAGCAAGTAGTAAATATTCGTCGCCAATTAATGCAAAGTCATCGTTACCAAAATCAAAACGCTTTGAAAAAGATGAGGAACTTCTTTGCAGTAATAAATTCATACAGATTATCATTGTTATTCTTATTCTCATCATGGCATTTTGGTAAGAATTTTTTTCTTTTTCGATTAAATTGAAAAGAAAAATTTTTGTTAGTATAATTTTCGTTTTCTTTTTTCCAGTCTCGTGGCGATGGCGACTTTGTATTTTCTGGAATTTCAAAAACGTAGTAGTTTAGAATGGTCAGCAGTGGCGAGTGGTGGAATTTTGGCAATAGCGCCAGCTCACATACCAAGTTCACAATCAACGCCTGATTATGAATCGCGTTTCAATCCACTTTTGTACAGTACACCATCGCCTTACACGAGGCATGGGACATTTACGAGAGGAGTCGATGGTCATACATTATTGAAAAATGCCCTTTCCACTCAATCACCAAATACAAAACAACAATTGTATTCACAAGAAATTACTTGGTATCCCGTTGGATATTCGGGTTCACAAAATAAACATGACAAAAATAGGTAATTATTTTATATTTTAAAAATAGTTGATTTTGAAAAATAATTTTTAATTTAATTTACAGTGAATTTCCAAATAATTGGCTTGGTAAAAATGTCGCTGGTGCTGTTCCTAGTCATGTTGATGAAAATGATCAAAGTTCAGATATTGATGCTCCACCGACGAATAAGGGACCAGTTCCTTTAGGAAGACCCGCCGATTGTCCTGTTCATTTTACTGAACTCGAAAGTCCTTGTCAGGTAATTGTTATTTTATTTAATTTTTTTCTATAAAAGTATATGTTTAATAATTTTCAAATCTTTAGATTTATTGCTGCACTGCTGAAATTCATCAACTTGAAGAAGCGCGTCCTGATCATCCACCTGAGAAAAAATCCATTTGTAAGTTGATTTAAAAAAAAAAATACTCTGAAATAATTGAATTTATTCAAAATAAATTTTTCACAGCTGATCATTTGGAGCAACCTGTTAGTATTCATGAGGAGAAGAGAAAGCTCAGTAAAGGTTTACAGAATGGAATAAGTCCATCTGATCCCAGTACACAGACTCTCGTGAAAGAGGTAAATTAAATTTTCATTCATTAGAATTATAATTTCTTTAATTTATTTAAATTATTCTATTTATATTTTAATTCTAGAACAATTATAAATATCTTCACAAGAGATCAAGAAGAGAAGCTGGAAGTGGTGGCGATTGGGGAGAAGTTGCAAGTAATGCCTTACCACACGAACCAAAACCACAATTACATATTGTTGCAAAAAGTTTTAATGCATCTCTCGATCAACGATATTGTTCATCAACATCATCGAATACGGCAAATAATATAAGTTGCATTGTTCCACTTTCGAAACATATGCCAGATACTCATCTCACGTTACATTTTGTGTAAGTTGTAAAATATCAGGTTCTCTTGAAATGAATTAAGTATTTTTACATTAAAATAATAAAATAAAAATAAATTATTAAATTAAAGAGAGAAATAAAATTTTCCTTTTTTTTTAATAGAGGAATGCCGTGGTATTGGCAAATTGTTCAACAATGTCCAATGCCATCGAATGCAGCTGTTGATGAAGCGATGGTTTGTGGATGGAGTTATTCGATGCAACATCAAACGCAATATACTGAAAATACTAATCAACCTGGGGATCAAGCATTTTCACTGGATGTTGCTCATTATTTAAGAAAGACACTCAGGTTCCGAGTGCCCACTGTTCAGCCTCAAGATGTAAGTATTTTTTTTCTCCTTTTTATAATTTTCTCTTCTATATAATAAATTCAAGTAAAATTTAAAATATCTAATATTCCATTAATTGACAAAAAAATAAAGAATATAATTAAAATTTATATTTGCAGAATATTTGCAAAAATAGACATGGAAGTGACTATTTGGAATTTACATTACATTTTTATCGAGATTGTGACGAGTGAATTATTTTTTTTTCCTTTTTTTTTTGCGCAAGAACAAATAAATTATTCAGTGAATAATTAAAAAATCAGAATTTTTGGAATGGTGCCTCACACAATTCAGAGATATTTTATTCTTAAGTGCAAAGCACAAAATATTGATCTGAAAAATCTGCATGAACCTCGTATTAATTTTTGTACAGAATTTATGATAAGAAGTGCTTTAAACAGGGGGGAGGGGGGCAAGAAAGTGGAAAAAAAAGCACCAGTCAATGGGTGCTGTTCTTATTTAAAATGTTAAATTTAATTGTAGAAAATAGTCTTATTTACGGTGCAGAATTAAAAAAATAATAATAATGAACAAAGTATTTAAAAAATCTATTACAGTTTGTCTTTAAAAAAACAAACTTTAAATATTTGAAAAATGATTTAAAATCGAAAATGGAACAATATTGTCACGTCTTTATTAAATGACGTTATGTACAGACTTTTTGTGAGATATAGAAGATAGAGTATTTATATATATATATATTATAGAGATATATATAAATATAAATGTACAGTACTCAATATACTGTACAAAATTTTATTGTAATGTATGCCTGTGGGAAAGAGTTTTGAAAGCAATTTTAAGAGTCTCATTACTCATTAGGATTAATGAAAAAAAGGAAATATTAAATTATTTTAGCTGTTAATTTTAAGAGTTTCGTGCAATATTTTTAGGCCAAGGGAGATTTTGAAAAAAAAGTTTTTTATCAATTTTTTTTTTTTTTTTTTTTTAATATTTTGGTTTCAAAATTTGCTTGTACTAGTTAGCTCGTTGAAAGAGCGGTAATCTCAGATACTTATTCACAAAATATTGGAACGTTGAATCTCAATTGAATAGTTCCAATTTGTAAATACATAGAATATTATTTCTCTTGCACTAGATTTTTTTTTTATTTATTTTTTTTTTTTTATTTGTAAAATATCATTTTACAATCACCTGTGATAAAATATCGAATAAGTAAGATAAAGCCAGTTTAGAAATTCGTCTTTTTTTTGGCTTCTTTTTTTTAAATTTCAATTGAAAATATTGTTATTTGATTATAGAAATTTAAAAAAAGAAAATACTCTCACCGTTTATTATATTAATAATAAAAAAAAACAACGATATTTTCCATTCGAGCTGCAAGTACAAGCAGATGAAAAATCAGAATTTTTTTTCCTTAATCATCTGCAAAGAAAGTTTTTTTTTTATAATAAATAAAATATTTGAATATGCAAAATGCAGCAAGATGAAAATTCAAATTTCGCAACTACAGATCAATATAAAATATTTTCTGCCGTCCATTTTATGTAATTTCTAATTTGACAAAGACTTATAAAGAATTTCTATTAATTGCACGGGTAAAAAAAAACCTGTCAACAGGATTTATAATTAGTCATGTGATGTGTTATAAAATAAGAGAGTATTCAAGTGATTCAAAATTGCAAAGAAATTCAAAAAATTTCTAAATAAAATAATTATCATTGAAATTACGAATCTCAAAATTCTTAAGAAATTAAGATTGAAATAATTGATATTTAAATGTTAAATGCAAATAATTTTCTTTAAAAAAATCGTTTAAACTATTTTTTTAAATTTGTATTAAAATTGATTAATTTCTTAAAAAAGAAATAGAAAAATTTGAATGCTCCCTAAACTCTATAACATCGTGAATATTCACGATTTATAATTAGATTATATTATTTACTTAGATACGTAAAAAAGTACGTGATAAAATTACTCACTTCATGAAAATAATTCATTTTTATCAACCATTTTTTTTTTTTGCAAAAATTAAAATTTCAATAAAATAGTTTAAAATATTTTTTTCATTATTTAAAAAAATAAAATTGTTCAAAACATGTTTAATAACTTTTTTAATTTTTTTGAATTAAAATATTAAATTTTCAAAATTGAAGTGAGAAATTTTAATAATATTTTAGTAGAAATTGTATTTCTATAATGTCACAAAAAAAAAAAAATTACTGACTGTTTATAAATGACATTGCATTTTTAGTTTAGAAAATATAAATAATTAGAAAAGAAAGATATTTTGTCCAGAAAGAGCACAATAGCTTGAGCCAAATTCTTTCTACGATTTATAATAATAATATTAATAATTATAATAATAATAATAATATGTAATAATAATTTTTTTTATTGTAGAATATTGTAATTATGTTTGTAGAAACAAACGAGCAATTTGTCGATTGAATCGGCGGCTTTAAGTTTTTTGGACTTTAATTATATATGTATAGTGATTTGTACATAATGTTACAGCGATAATTAATATAACAAAAATATTTTTAGTACAATATGAAAAAGCACGCAAAAGTCTAGAGTATAGCTTTAAAACTATTAATATTGTTATTATTTTTGTGCAAAATCAGAAGTATTTTTTTTTATTACTTGAAAAAGATTGTTTAAAAAAAATTTTAATTCCAATTTTATTAGCCAGAAAATTTAGAGTTTTTTTTTTCATATGAGAAATTTTTTTTCTATGAATTTTTTTTTTTTTTATTAAATATTTGTGTTTTATTTTTATTGTTAATTATAAATAATTTGTTTTAATTAACATTTTCTATGAAATTTTCTTTTGCTAGTCTTTGCACTTTCTTTTGCAATATACAATTTACGACGTTAATTAATATTAATATATATGTATAACTTGATATAGATGATATTAATTATGCGATAATGACATCCAGTGCCTTGTGCATTAAGCTCTATAATTGTATTATATATTTGACCACAGAATTTATGTAAATGTACCTACAATATACATATTTATTAATGTATTATTATCATACATTGTACTCACAGAAGAATAAAGTTATTAGGCAACTTAAAGTGATTTTTATTGAAAACTTTATTTGCTCATACAGATATTATCATTCTTTAAAATAAAAATAAAAAAAAAAATTTTTAAACATAGTAAAAAATTTTGAAAAATTAAAATATAAAAAAAATACCAACAGAAATCTACCTTATCGACTGATAGTAAAACAGTTTTGGAAAATTTTATATTCCAAAAAAAATTTCTAAAAAAATAAGAAATTTTCTAGCAGAAATCTACATTACCGACTGTTAGTAAAACAGTTTTAAAATTTTTTATTTTTTCTGACAGGAATCTACATTACCGACTGATAGTAAAACAGTTTTAAAATTTTTTATTTTTCAAAAAAATTTCTTTAAATTTTTCAAAAAATTCTGACAGGAATCTACATTACCGACTGATGGTAAAACAGTTTTTAAAAATTTAGATTTGTGATTTTTATTTCCATTTTTTCGAAAATACCATCAGTTGGTAATTACCATCCGTCGGTAAGGTAGATTTCTATTTCAATAATTTTTTATATGTTCGTTTTTCAAAATAAAAAATTCAGTTGGTCATTATAACTAGAAATATTTTTAAAATTCCCGCTGTTTATATCGTCGCTTCTCGATAAATATCGATTGATATCGACATCCTTGCAACCCATCCCTGACCTGCCGACTATAAGTTAAGAAGGTTAAGAATTCGTGTTCAAGTTTTTTATATTATATTATTAATTAATTTCTAAATTATGTCAAATAGACTATTTTATAGTTTGTATAGTTATTCAATTAAAAATCAACAAATTCGACATGGATCTCGCATTAGTGGAAAATCACCAATTCTTGCTAAAACTTTGGCCGAACGGTTGAGAGGTTAGTTTCAAAATAAACATCTATTTTTTCATATATAACATTACAATAAAAGTGTATTGTAAATAAATAATTCATTGTGTAATAATGAAAAATTGTTTTATTTTTCTTATTTACTTTTTTATTTGCTATTAGTTTTATTATTAAAAAAATAAATAAAACAATGTTATGTGAATAACAAATTACTTTATTATTTTTTAGATATGAACTATCGTGATCCAGATATACACTGTAAAGTTGATATTGGTTTACCACTTCCTAAAGTTTCAAATAAAGAAATGAGAGGAGAATCGCTAAAAGAAAAAAAGGAAAAAAATTCTTCGAAACGCAATCAGAAATGTAAGTTTTATAATATAATATTTTAATGTCCTTTAAAAACTGATAATTTTAAAAAAATTAAATTTTTCTTTTCCCTACAGCTTCAATTGATTTAAAATTAGTCAAAAACGATTGGTTAAAAACATCAGCGCCTTTAGAAATTCGTAAAATTGCCGAGCACTATGGAATTTTCAATGATCTTTATGGTGATGCATATTTTCATCCTTTAATTCATCTCAGTGTTGATTATAATTTTGATGATATAATTGCAAAAGTATCACGTGGTAATTTTATAACTGCAAAAGAAAGTTTAAATGAACCAACAGTAAAATATACTGCTGATGCCAATACTTTATGGTCTCTTCTTCTTACTACTCCGGATGGGAATTTATCTAAACCAGATCTTGAAATTTGCCATTGGTTTGTGTAAGTTAACAATTATTTACTAATTAAAACTTAATTCACTTAATAATAATAATATTTTTTCAGAGGAAATATTCCGGGAAATTCAATTGAAAAAGGAGATTTATTAGTAAATTATCTTAGACCTATTCCACCACGTGGTATTGGTTATTGTCGTTATATTTTCGTATTGTATAAACAGGATAAAAAAATTGATTTTTCAGAATATAAAAAAGAACAACCGTGGTAAGTGATAAATAATTTTTTTTGTTAATTATTTAAAAATTAATTTATTTTGTTTTTAGTTTACAGTTAGTTGATCGTAATTGGAATACATTGGAATTTTATCGTAAATATCAAGATTATTTAACACCCGCTGGTCTTTCTTTTTTTCAATCTGAATGGGATTCAAGTTTAACAGATTTTTATCACAATGTTTTAAGTGAGTCATTTAGTTTTTAAATTTTTTCTTTAAATAAAAGAATAATTGTTATTTTATTTTTTTATAGAAATGAGATCACCTTCTTTCGAGTATGACTTTCCGGAACCATACATTAAACCACAAAAATGGTTTCCACTTAGACAGCCGTTTAATATTTATATGGATAAATATAGAGATACAAAAGATATTAATAAACAATATTTTATGAAGAAATTAACAAAAATTCATCCATTTAAAGAAGATAAACCACGTCCAAAATATCCAAATGCAATTCCATATAAAGAAGATGAGTACATTCCAACGTGGTTAAAACTCGAAATTAAAAAAGAACGTTTGGGACAAGGACGTTATAGAGAGGTACAGTAAATTATTTTTTTTTTTTTAGATTCTTTTATATTCTAAGAGAGAGAGAGGGAGAGAGTAAATTCATTCTAAACGTGTTTCAACAATTTGTTTACTTTGTTTTTTAATATCTTTTCGAGTTAAAACATTCGAGTCAATAATTTCGTATTCATCTACAAGAATATCTGCAAAAAACAAAAGGATAACATATTGTTTTAAATTGTAAAAAATAAATAAAGAAATTTTACCAGATTCAACATTTTCTTTATTATATTTCATATTTGATTTATAGTCCGAAATATATGTTTGATAAAAATCTCTTGCTCTCTTTTCATCCAAATTTAAATTACTTAAAGTATGGAGCAAAGTAACTATTCGCGTTACTCGATCAAGAAGAGTAATTACTGGAAAAAGAAATTTATTTAGTAATTAAAAAAAAATATATTTTTTTTGATAAAATTACCATCATCAGATTCAACATCTTTTTCATTTGGCGATTTAGTGAAAATCTTTTCATCTATTATAAAATCTAATATACTTTGTAATGAACCTCTTATTTTCATTAATAATTGTTCTTCAACTTTTGTTGATATTTTCAAATCTCTCTGATGTTGTTTCTTCATTTCTATTTCTTCGAGTATTTCCTGTTTTCTTGAATTATATCTTAAAAAAATTTATATTTTAAATAAAATTAAAAAAAAAGAAATTATTAATATAATTTGTTCATACAGTTCTTTAGTTGAAATCATAGTTTGTTGAAATGCATCAAGAATCAATTGTGCATGTTGTTTTTTCTTTAATAATAAATCATTTTCTTTTATTACATTTTCGAGATGTTGAGAAAGATTGTTTTTTTTAATCAACTGCTCTTTCAGTCTGTAATAAATTTTATTTTAAAAAAATGTTAAGAAACTTACGTTTTATGAAAACGATTAAAATTGATCACCTGGATAGTAATAATTCATTTGATTGTTCGTTAAATGATTTTTTTACTTGAACAAATAATTGTTTCAATATTTCTATTTGTTTTTCAAGTTCTTCTTCTTCTTCATTGTATGATTCGTTATTTTTTTTCTCTACATTATAATTCTATAATTAAAAATAAATAACTTTAAGAAAATTTCAAAAAAATACAAATTTTTAACAAATTAAATGGCAATTAAATAATTTAAGAAATTATAAATAATTGTTACAACCTGCATAAGCGATTGAGCATTAAATATATCTTCAACTTGTTGACGAGCAATTTTCAAAGTACGTTCTCTTTCTATCATATTTATTAAAATTTCATGAGCTAATTTATTATATTTTTTACGATTATTATCTAGATTTTCAACAGCAATTTGACCCATCAACGTTGTTTTTAATATCATTTTACTCTGTTCTTTTTGATTTTTTATCAATTCTTGAGAAATTTTATCGTAATAACTGGCATCCTGGAAAAATTAATAGATAATTAAAATTGAAATTTTAATTTTTCATTAGGGATTTTTTTTTCTACTTTTTCCAATATTTTTAACATCGATTCATAAGTAGTTCGAATTGATTGTGCCGCATTGTGTCTTGCCATCGATCTTTGACAACGAGTGAGTATTTTCTCAGATGGATTTACTTCTTTATTTTCTTGATTAATTTTATTATATATATTTATTTCCTCCAACTATAATTAGTAAATAATAAAAAACAATAAAAATATTAAACTAAAAAAAAAATTACTTTAAAATTGAAACCTTTAATTCAAAAATTTTTTTCATCTTCTGTTTCTTTTGATAAGAAATTTTATCCAATTGTTTTTGTTTCAAACAATTATCATTGAAAATTTGTTGCAAAATTTCCTGAAATAAAAACGAAATTTATTATTTAAAAGAAAAACTTATTTTTAAATTTCTTTTTTATTACTGAAGGAGTTGAATTTATTAATGTTAATAAAAGATCCTTATGTCCTTGAAATAATGATAAGAAATATTTTCTATTTCCATTATCATTGATAATAATTCGATATTGATTAATATCATTAAATAGTGATTTAAAGTTTTTGGAAAATTGTTTATTTTTCTTTAATATATTTTCTTTTAGTGATTTTTGATCTCGAACTGAAAAAATGTTTTGGAATATTTACTAAGTATAAAAATATTCAAAATAAATAAAAATTCTTTTTTTTAATGATAATACCATTTAATCTAATAACTCCACGATATTGTTGCAATTTATCATTTATTGTCCACTCTGTTTTCATTTTTTTTTCTCGTTAATTCTCATAAATTTTAATAGAAAATATTTTTTATAAAAATATATTTGATTATAAAAAATGTCAAATAATTTATTAAAAAGAAAATAAACAATTGAAGTCTGGAAATATTTATTTTAGATCAAAAATTTTTTAACGAAAGAAATAAAAAAAAATCCATAATAATGATAAAAAAAAAATTATGTATCGTTAAATTATTATATTATAATAATAATATTTTTATTATAAAAGAGATTAATTTTTTGAAAAGCGCTTGCGCACTTATCATGTATATTGGCAGCCAGGGATGATTTTACCCCTATTTCACCATCGCTTACCGCGACGCGGTGGAAACACGGGTTGGTTTATCATCGTCCAACCATGAGGAGATTGAACGTGTGTTGAACAAAAAAAAAATCTCAAAAAATTTGTGACAAAAAATTGAAAAATGTAGACCGCGAACATTTCCCAACTCAAGACAAATGTGAACAATGATTTTAATTTTTAAACTATTTGCGTTATCTATATAAAAAAAAAAATAATCATCAACAAGTTTCAAAAAAATATTTTTCTATTTGAGCTCCTCCCAGTTAATAGAGGTTTTTTTTTTCTTTCTTTTTTTTTTTTTTTGAAGATGATCTTTATTAGAGATTTTGTGTTTCTGTTTCTGTTACACATCGTCATTAACAAATGTTATGGAAAACAAGGTGAAAAATTCTTGTATATATATATTTTTTTTATTTTAAAAAATGTAATAAAAAAAAAGTGTTTATTTAATAAAAATTTGTCTTCAAGTTATAGGTAAAGAAAGTGTGAAACCAGGACAAGGATGTAAATTAGAGGGTCTACATCCACTTCTCATTGTAACGTACAAAAATATTACAATATCGGTAATTTTTATTTTTTTTAGATGTTTTTTTTAATATTTAAAAAAAAATTCTAATAGTAAATTTTGAAAAAATAATAGGTTGACAAAATCACAGTTCCTCATAATGAAAAATTACAAATTCGTTGTCGTGAACTTGGTAGATATAAATTAATTGGAGATCATCTTCTTCATTGTCGTAATGGAATTTTTAATGGTATTATACCAACATGCATTCCAACTACTGCTATCTCTAATTACACAGGTAATTATACCCAAGGGAAATTTATATTTATTATTATTGAAATAATTATTTCATTTAATAACAATATTTTTATTTATATTTTTGAATTTGTTATAGACGATGTTCCACCGACAATTATCTTTGGACTTCCAGCGGGTTCAGCGGCAATAGAACCATCAGGTGCATTGGCTGTTTTTCCCGAAAGTATTTTACATTTAGAATGTCTTTTTTCACGAAAACTTGGTAATCCAGAATGGACTTGGACATCTGCATTTCGACAACATTTAACTGGTTAGAAAAATAATTTTTAATAATATTTTTTAATAACAATTTTAATAATAATTTTAATAATAATTTATAATAATAATTAATAATTTTTTAAGGTTGGGCAATTGCCACTACCGAAAGAGATATAAAATATCGTCTTTCGATATATTATGCAAAAACACAGGACAGTGGTCTTTATATTTGTACAACGCCAAAGGGTCTTACAAATTCAATTCAAGTTCGCGTTATAAGTAAGTGAATATTTTAATTGAAGAAAAAAATTAATAATTTATTAAATTATTATTTTTTTTAACAGATGTTCATTGTCCATCAATAGCGACTTTAAAAGCACCTTTAATTGGCAAAATTGAAGGCGCCAAAATGGGGCAAACGGTAAAATATGAATGTCCCCTTGGATATAGATTGGAAGGAATGCCCAGTATGACTTGTCAATATAATGGTAATATTATTATTATTTTTAAATTATTTCGGAAAAAAGAATTATTGACCAAAAAAAAAATTATAATCGTTTATCAAATATTTATATTATTTAAATTCTATTTGTCTTTATTTATCAAATAATTTTTTTTTATTTTAGGTAAATGGTCAGCTGAAGTTCCACATTGTGAAGCTATTGTTTGTCCACCAATTGTAACATCAAATCCAAAATTACAACTTTTGGAACATAATAATAGTTTTGGTGGAAAAGTTGTATTTTCCTGTATGTGGGGAAGTGAAATTTCAGGTTCACAAAGTATAAAATGTGAGGGTGATGGTGTTTGGAGTGATTCGATACCAACGTGTATAGGTAATAAATTCAAATATTCCAATATATTTAGAGAATTAAATTTTTCCTAACATTAAAAAATTTGTTTTTAATTTCGGTTAGAAATAACATGCCCAGCGCCAATAATTCCAAGAAGTGGTCGAATAATTGAACATGCAAGCATTTTAGACAAGGAAAAAGTGCATAAAGTTGGTGCATTAGTGAGATTTGCCTGTTTGCCTGGTCATCAATTATTAGGAGAGGCATCAATAATTTGTCTTGAGAATGGCAAATGGTCTCATCAATCACCAGTCTGTATGTAGTATTTTTCTTTCCTCATTGAAATTTAATTTAATATTTCAAAATTTTATTAAAAATAATTTTTTTTTTGTAAATTTAATTTAAATAGAAATTTTTTTTTTCCAGGTGATACCAGATGCCCATATCCAGGTGATCCACTTTATGGTCAAATAGCACCACTTAAATTTTGGTACAAACCAGGTGACAATATTCAAGTGACATGTTCTCCTGGTTATGTTACACCACTTGAACCGGTAAAAAAACCCACTTGTCGGGAAAATGGAATGTGGAGTAGTCCACCACCTCCTTGTAGATCATATAAGGATGTTTAATTTTCTCTCTTACTCCTCTCTCTCTCTATATATAAATATATATATAAATATTTTCAACTCTCAACGCACGTAAGTTCTACGTACGAAACCTAAACATTTTTTTTCCAATTAAAAAACTTTTTTCTTTTCTAAAAAAAAAAGTTTGCAAATTTTTTTATTTAAATTTCTGAAGAGTTAAAAAAATTTTTAAATAAAGCAAACAATGTATAATAATAGGGCAAATTTAATTTTTTTTCTTTCGTTTAATCTTTTTTTTTAAATATTAATTATTAGCATAAAAGTTGAAATTTAAATATAATAATATATAGTCACACCTATATGTGCCAAAAATTATTATTTTAAGTTCATTCTAATTTTAACAAAGAATATAAAATATAATCGTAAAATAACTTTTGATTATATAGAAAAAAAAGTTTGCAGCGGCTTAAAAGACTTTTCTTAAAGTAAATAAATAAATTTAATTATTTCTATTATTTGTATATAATAAGCCTTATTATATACTATTAATAATAAAAACTTTTTTAAATAATGTTTAAAGATAAAGTGCAAAAGATAGTTTTGTTTTGCGATAATGCAAACTTAATAGACAAAAAGAAAATGTAGATTAGAATAGCAAATAAAATATTGAAAAATGTATAGTTTAAGCCAAAGAATATCTAATAACTGCCGAATAATAGAAATTTTTCACGAAAAAAAGAATTTTTAATTACCAAAATAATTTTTTCTTTTACTAATTTTTTTGTTTTTTTTATAAAAAATAATAATTTATAAAAATATTATCTAAATATAGCAGAAAACTTGAGAAAAATAATTTAATTATTTGTATAATTGTTTTGCTAATGAAAATATAAATATTAAATTTATAAATCTATGTAAAAAAAAAATTTCTCACATTAAAAATTATAAATCATTCCTCGTATAAAAATGATTTTCATGGAAATCAACATTTTCATGTATAAAAGAAATATGTATATAAATTATACTGGATTTTTAACAAACGAAAAGTATTTTACATTTTTTTTTTCAACAAGAAAAAAATTGTATGAAAATAACTTATTAAATTATTAACAAATAAAAATAATGATTAAAAATTCAATAATCTTTTAATATCATTTTTTTATTTTATGAAATTTAATAATTAGTCATTATTAAATGCAGTCGGGTTTTAGTAATATTTTTTTTAAATATTGTTATAAAAAGTTTAAAACTTAGTAACTAAAATATATATAATCTATATAAAATTATGTTACACTTTTAATATATTATAAAACTAATATTATATATTATTATTAAAAAAAAGTACTTGTGCGCAGCTTCCGAGGCACTTGACGGTATTTGTAGAATTAAAGCACCACAATAATAATATTATTATATGAAAACTGCTCCCAGGGGAGAAATTTATCTTTAACGTTTCATTTTATCAAGAATTGGTACAACCATATCGAATGATGGTCGTTTACCTGGATCTTCATTCATACAAATTCTTATCAATTTTGCTAGATGAGGAGAAATTCCAGGTGGAATACTAACACGTAAATCTTCTAGTGCAATCTGGAAAATTTGTTTTTTTTTTCAGTGTAAATTAGTAATTAAATTATAAATATGCATTTTTTACCTTCATTCCACATTCCATTGGAGAAAGATCAGCAAATGGCACCTCTCTTGTTGCCAATTCCCATAATAATACAGCAAAACTCCACATATCACTTGCCTCAAGATTTATATCATTTGGATTTTTACTCAATGATTCAGGTGACATCCAAGCTGGTTCATAAATACGACCAATTTCTTGAAAAGAGAATTTAAAGTCTGCCATATTTACACGAGCTGTTAAATCTTCGTCAATCTATTAAAAAAAGAAATAATAGTAAACTTAATAATTTTAACTAATTAAATCTTTACAAAAAAAAAAATGTCTTAGTTACCATTATGTGTTTACTATTCAAATAAAATCGACATCGATTTTGTCTTTCTAAACCATGAAGAAATGCCATTGCACGTGCAACATCAAGTGCCAATCTTAATGCTCTTGCTGTATCAACAACAACACCTGTTCCACCATGTAAAAGACGATGTAAACTACCACGTGGCATATATTGTGATACTGTCGCTAATCTTGGTGGATGATTAACGCATGCTAATACCGGCAATACATTTGGATGTGAAAATATTCTCAATTTTGGAAATTCATCATTAAAATCTCTCGATATACGTGCAGAGCATTCACGTAAATTTAAAAATTTTACAACAATATCATTATTTTGCCAACGACCACGCCATGTTTCACCGCTGGGTGTATTTGATAATTCCGTGTGAAGCGATAAATCAGACATACTAATTCCCTTGTGTCTCGATAAAGTAGCATCGCCTAAAAATTATTATATACAATTTAAAAACAAATTTTAATTAAATTAGAAAATTATTTTACTTACGACTTCTTGTTTTCAGACCAAGCCAACTTTGATCTTTAAATTGAATTTTTTTCAAATCCTGACCAAATTCAACAGCTAAATCTAAAAAATAAAGGAAAAAATTAATTTTAAACGAAGAAAAGAAATGAAAAATATATTTCATATTTACCATGTAATCTTTTGGCCATGGGACCTCTTGCCTTATCCAAAGGTGTATCACCATCTTTATTGGCAATTGAAACTAAAGCTCCAGCTGCTACCAATTCTTCTGCAATTCCCTGATCTCCCCAAAAGCAAGCATAATGCAACGCTGTGTTACCATGTTCATTAGTCACATTAACATCTGCCCGATTTTTTAACAACTGAAAATAAAAAAAATATACAATTTTTTTTATAAAAATTTGTTTCTTTAAATTTTTCAAAAAATTATAAAATACAATTAAAATTATTTTAAAATAAACCCCTTACCAATTGTACAATATCTCTGTGTCCATGCGCTGATGCAAGATGTAATGGTGTATCATCTCCTCTATTTGTAGCATTAATACGCGCTCCTCGACAAACAAGTAATTCTGCCAGCTTTGCGTGACCTTCTTTACTACACCAATGAAGAGGACTAAATCCATGATCATCTCTAAATCAAAATATTTAATTTTTTTTTTTTAAATAAATTTAAAAAAAGAAAAACAAATTACTGAATTAAAATTACCCTTGATTCATATCATGTTCAGTATCATCTAACCAAACACGAATTTGCATTGCATTTCCCTCTCGACACCATTGAAATATATCTTCCATTTTGATGAAATTGAGACGAAGGTTATAAATAAAAAAAAACACCTTTGTCTCCAATATACACTTTAGCACAATCAATAATTTAAACAATCACTCACAGTAAAATTTATTCCCGTTTCTCAGATTTACTTTTAGATATATGTTACATTTGTTTTAAAATTAATTCTACGGATTGTGTAATATGTGTGGGAGCAATGGGAGCCTCCCTTTAACACATTGCGCCATAATAACACACATATACATGCATATTGTCATACATATATATACTTTCATAAAACAGTTTGTAATCCGCGAGCCTTATAAGTATACACGTTTTTAATTATGTAAAAACAATTTATTTTGCTTTCAAAGTATATTTATATTTCAAAATCTGTCATATTTTAATATGACAGTTTAATGTTTAATGTTTATATAAATAAAATAAATTTTTAAATTCTACCAAATATTAAATATACACGTTTGTTGTCAAAATTCACGTAAATATTACCTAATAAATAAACAAATTAAACATTGTTTGTTTATTTATTATTTGACATTTGACAGCATAACCTATAACAAACAGAGTTGCCAACTTGACAATGACCACCAAATGCAACTGCGCCTTGCACTCTCTCATTGGTAGAAAAAGGCCTCTTTTATTTAAAATACTTTATTATAAAAAGTAGTCCAACAATTTATTTAAGTTTTAATAATAATATTTTTATTATTTCAATATTGTAATTATTTTAAATTTTATTTTAAATTTTCCCATTTCAAATCAATTTGTGTTACGTAACATCCGTAAGATTTGGACAAAAAAGCCGACTCAACCCTGTTTAGTCCCATTCATTAAAGGCTGATACACAATAATTTTGTGAGAGTGAGTCATAAAAGAGAAAAGGAAGCAAATATAATTTGTCTTTTTCTAACTAATACATAGCGTTCAAGAAGACTTTCACGAAATCATTTTGCGTTGGCCCTTAACTTTCATATAACAATTTATTAGTCTAACTTTTTCTAATCAATACGTTAAGAAAAAGACAGAGTATCATTTTATGTATCCAAAAAATTTTTTGAAGGAACAAGAATTTCATTCTATACATTTCTATGTAAAATGGTTGCCGTGTTTTGGCAAAGTATTGTGGGAAATTTTGTGTGTTTTATGACTTTATTTAAAGAAATTAAAACTAATGGAATTTGAGTGATTTTGATGGTTTTTTTTAATTAGACAGATTTTTAAAATATAATTCAAATGATATATTTGTGATGTTGCAATTCAATTTTTATAAATTGTTTTGTTGTTATCCAATTTGTCAATACAGCTTAAATTGTCAACAAGTTTCTTTTAACATAAACCGGTTGGATCTTTACATTTAATGTTAACGATATGAATTGTTATCATCTGGATTCATAATTAAGTATTAAAAATATAAAATGACGTCCTAAATTGAATTCAATGTCTTTAAGTGACATGTGATAAAATTTTTGTGGTAATTTTTTTTTTTTTTTTTTTTGCTAAAAGAAGTGAAAAGGAATTTTACAAAAAGGAAACGATTGAATTATATGAATTACTGAAATGGAGAAACAGCAGGAAAGACTACCTCCCTTTTCATCTGGTATGTATATTATATTTTTTTCTCTACTGAAATATTTAGTATATATGTATATATACCTAATTCTTCCCAAATAGGCAAATGACCGTTTCACTATATTTTGACTAGATAATATGATTTTTTTTAAAACAATATTGCAAAGGTTTTACTTACAATAATTAACGTTCTATTGTCGTAACAATTGAAGAAAAAATTTTAAATTATTATTTTTGTAAAATATTATTTTCTGTAAACGTAGGCAAATTTTTTTGTAAATTGAATTTCTTTTTCTTTAATTTTTTTATTTTTCTAGTAGTAACTAAGTATTTATTATTGCTTTCATTAGTAAAGTATTTTAAAATTATTAAATTCAATTTTTTAACATTATATTATTTTTCCGTTTTTTAATGAATAAAATAAACTCAACTTTGTAAACAATAAAAAATTAAACATTAAAAGAAACAAAATTTTCTAAACATTAATTTTTAAACATTTAAAAAGAAAGAAAATGTATATATTTTTTATAACAAGAATGTAATAACGCTAACATATGGACAAATCTCAGGAATCTTTAATATTTACTTAAAATTTTTTTCTTTTTTATTTGTATGCAATATTGCATCTAAAAAAAAATTATACTTAATTTTACACTGTAGTAAAAGAACTTTTTTTATGCCCTCTATCTTAAGATATCAATTTTGAAAATTGCAAGAATTATGATTATGTGAAATTTTTATTTTCTTTTATTAATGTTAAAATTGATTGTTATTCTTTTATTTTTTTAATTTTTTTTTCATTTGCTTTTTTTTATTATTTATTCGCTCATTTTGTAAATTTCTTATTGGTTATTTCGAAATAATTGTCATAAAATACGAAACGTTAACAATTTTTTATTTAACATGATAATTGATTTTTATATTTATTTACATTTTAATAAATTTTGTTTTTTTGCAGATGAATTTCCAAATAGCGGAGAAGACAGTGAGGAAGACGAAGTAATAGATTACAGTGATAATTCAATTATGAATGAAAATTCAATGAATTTAAATATTCAAGGGACTACGGATACAGACATCAAATATACCAAAGATAATTCTGTACTTGTGATGTCTGAAACAATGAATGATAAACATGCATTAATTCCTGATTCTAACATTCATAATCAACCTCATCATCCACTTGTACCAATCATCAGTGTTACACCTCATTCACCTGGTGTTGTGTCCAAATATTATCCAGTATTGGGTAAGCAAATTTCTGAATTTTTTTTTTTTTTACATATAAGTATAAACTTATTACGAAATTATTGACTTTAAAAATCACCAATTTTCAAAAAAAACATGACTTTTTGAACAGTTAATTTTTAATTATACTTTCCTTGTAAAAAAATAAATATTTACCGATGCTTGTAATTTTTAATTTACCATTTAAGTACTAATTAAAAACAAAGTAGTTAAAAATCGGATTTATTGATTTAAAAAGCAAAATCATTTTTATCAGATCGACTTCTTTGAACATCTAATCTAATCTAATCTTATAAATTTTTTGTCCTGGAAGCAAATCTGATGTTAAAATTGCTCAAACATGACGGATTTTTTTTTTGGTATTTTTATCTTGAATGAAGAAAATTCTTATTTTTTCAACCTGTTATTTAACAGAATTTACATTTCAGCAAATTTTCTTTTAAGCGGATTTTTGTGACCAAATTTACTTAGAGTCTAGAAATGATGGAATTTTAAAATTAAAAAATTTATAGAGAACCTTTTTATAATAATTCGTGATTTAAGTAAAAATATATATTTTTTTTTGTTGTAGAAGAAAATTTACAACATCTTCATGAAATCTATGACAGTGTTCAGCGTATACGAATGCAAGATCCTGTTTTGGGCTCATTGGGATATAATAATCGTTTTTTGCATGATGAGCAAATACAAAGACTCAGTTGGTCTTGTCCTTCTCTTCAAAATTTAATGTCACTAGATCCAGCAGCAAGACTTCAACATCAAGATTGTGGATCTGAACCAGATCTTCTTACAAATTGTTCTAATAACAGTTCACCAACTTATTTTTCAGGTTCAGGCCCTAATAATGCTCAAATAAATCAATGTATAGATAGACGAAGAAGTTGGACTGATTTAGAAACTACAAAACAAAGTTATCGTAGACGCTCTGCACAGAATTTTCTTCAAGCACAGAATATGGTGAGTTTTCAAAAATCTAGGTAATCAAAAAATTATTATTTTTTTTTTTTATAAAACAGTAATGTCTGAAGAGAAACATTGCACATTGAAAACTAATTTTTGATAATTTAATATTATTGCAGTTTTTTTTATTAAAGAAAATCTTTCAGAAACAACGCAGTATAAGTTTAAATAGTCTCGATGGTGAAATTGATTTAGTATTGGGTGCTAAGCCTCGAAAACAATCTACTTGCGACAAGGAACGTCCCTCTAGATCTCCAGCAAGTACTCACTCACTGAATGAGGCCGATTTTATTCAGGTAAATTATTATTATTTATTAAAAAATTAAAAATAATTCAACTTTGATTTTTTAATAAAATTTGTATGTATTTTTATTTTTAAATGAAAAAAATATTTTTATTTTGCAGAGTGGTTTTAGTAAAAGAACATCAAAAGGTGAAAATCAAGAATTACCTGATAGAATTTCATTAATACCAGGAGTAGTTGGATCGCGACTTACTCTTCAAAAGTCAGTTTCAACACCTTCAATTGTCACACCACCAGGTCCAATTCATCCGACTGATTCTGGAACATTAACAGCTTCGTCAATTAATACGTAAGTTATTAAAAAAATCAATAATATGTATGTTAATTTAGATTCAAAGTGCTTTTCTTTGTTTTATATAAATATGCGGTAAAAATATTTTTTTTTTTTGAATGTTAAAAATATTTTAAATTTGACATACGCCATCACTGGAACATAATGTGAAAAATGTCTGAAATGCGTGGATTTTTAATCTTCTTCTTTAATTTCGTCATTTTTTATCTTAGAGTAGAATGCTTTACTCATTCTTTAAAATAACATGTCTTTCTAATTTTTAATTTATCATCTAAATTTCTATTAACAGATTTTCAAACAAATCCTTGCTTTGGTTATAGTTATACTTTTATTTAGATGTAGAAAAATTTCGATTTTATTTCTATAAAACTTTGTTCCTTATGACTGAGTAGTTAGATTTTCAATTGATAAAAATTTAGGAGGATCTAAAATCGATTTTCAATACGAAAACAAGGAATTGATTTTACTTGAGGAAATTTTTGGTGGTCCTGTTAAAAATTTGTTTACATCATTTTAGTTATTGTGTAGAAAGTTAGATTTTCGTTTAGTTTTTTTTCTGGATTGTTTTCGTAGATTTTTTTTTATTATTCTAAAATCTTGATTATAAAGAATTTGGTTTTAGAGAATCTCATGGTGATGGGGCAGTGTTCGATGTAAGGAAGGAGTTCTTGTGCACCAAGCCAAATCTATTTCTTCGACGCAGTAGTGCTACTATTGAACGGTTCGTGTTAATTATTTTCAATGTATTTTTTTTACATTTAATAATTATCAAAAATTAGTTCAAATGATTTTTTCAATTGTTACTAATTTTCTTTTATTCTTCTTAGAAGAAAAAAGAAACAAATTTTAGTTTCATCATTTCATTGAAATTGATAATTTTCATTGAACATTAATTTGGGATTTATGCTAATTGCAAAAAAATAAAAGATTTTGACTATAAATTCTGAGGTTTATATTTTGGTTAAGTGAATTTTTTTAACAATTAAAAAAAGTCCCGAATTTAGTGGATCATTGAAAATTATTTATATTTATATAAAAGAATGCCTCGTTCTTCGCTGTTTGTTTCTTATTCGACGTTAAGGTTATTTGTCCTTTTGTAGAGAGATACTGTGTGCCTGAGTAAGCATTCTCTATAGTCAAGATTTCAGTGTTAATATTTTGATAATATTTTAAGAATTGTTTTTAGTATTTAAATATTCTTCAACTTAGTATTGCTTTCATTTCTCAATTATCATTAAAATATCAACTTTATTTCTCTTTAGATTTATTGATAATTTTCATCTTTTTCGCGTATGTTTAAATTTTTGTTTGAAAGTATCATTAATAGTAATTTTATAGCTTTCTAGTGAGACTAGAATTTTGTTCCTTTGAATTATTATTATTATCTGAATGTTAAAATTTTTAACTATTTTACATTTCTAAAAGCGTTTTTTTTTCTCATTAGAAGAGAGGGAGTTAATTTCGAAATCCGAAGTCGATTTAAGGTTTGAATCGTTCAATTCAACGTTGTTATTTAGATCCGAAGGTACAAAGATTAAATTATCAGATATTATTTTCCAAAAAAAAAGTAGGATTTGAAAAAAATTTAGAAAAACGTAGGATGATGATAATTTATAGAAGATATTTCCCTTGGTGATAGCAGCTCTTGACAATTTTGATTAGAAACAAGTTATATGCAAGAATTATTAAAAATCAATAACGTTCCTTTGATGACTAAAAATTATATACTATAAAAAGGAAACAATTTTTTTATTAATTATTTTTTAATTTTTTTAATACTTTTTCTAATTGAATATTAAATATTTTATGAGATGAGTTGTTATTTTATTTTTGCATTTGATTGTTTGCTACTATTTTGCACGACAGCAATCGGCATGAGAGACATGAGAAAGGTAGCGGCAGTGAAACTGAAACTGAAGATCTTCACATTCCCCGTAGACATGAATCCCATGAAGATTTAATAGGAGGAGGTGTGCGAAATGTCCAAACATCTCTTGATGAACTCTCAACTGAGTGAGTAAATTATGCTTGAAAACGGTAAAAATCTTAACAATCTATAAGAAGACATTCTCTATTGTAATATACAATAATTTAGAGTAAGGGATTTTCGACACTAACTGCTTATCCTTAATGATAGCATAATTTATTTTGTTAAAAAAAAAAAATTAAACAAAAAATTCAGTTTCTTATTGAGTGTCTATCACTTAGTACGAATATTAGCTAGACTTTTGTTTGAAAATTCAAATGTATTCCAATCAACTGGTTTTTCTTTTTAGGCAAAAAAAAAAAAATTTTTGATTAGGTTCGCAGGATCAAAAAAATCTTCCAAAGATTTCAACTATTTCTTTAACCAAATTAGGCTTAGACAGCAAAATTAATACTAACAAAATATTGCCTTTGCCCCTTCTACTTTGGAAATTCTTCAATTTAAAAATGATTCTCGAAAGATTGTGGAAAACTATATTTTTTGTGAAGTAACATAGTTTCAACAAAAAAAAAAAAATGTAGCAGGGACCATTATTTTTAAGTTAGCCAATTTCGTTCCAAATGAATTAATAGTAATTAGTAATTTTTGATGAATATTAGTAAAAATAATTATTTATAATAATTGAAAAGTTGAATCAGCACTGTTGAATTAATCAAAAGTAACTGTGATTTCAAATTTAGGTTGAAAATAAATTTTAATTATTAAAAAAGAGATTTTTAATATGAAAGTTGAAATTATTATCATTTAACAGAAAATTCTCATTGTCTGTTGTGTTCATGTTTTTCCTCTATTTTTTCTGTGTTTTATTATTTCAACTTGTAAACTATAAGTGAAAATTCTAGAATTTTTTTTTCTAATTCCATGCTATTTCCAGATTTTCAGTACCTGCTTTTAAAATTCCATGCTATTTAAGTTTACTCATACCTGCTTTATAAAATTTCATATATTTTCCAGCTAGTATTTAAATAAGTGCATCTTTTGAAAAAATTTGAGTGCTTCTAAGGGAATCTGGATATTTTTGAAGATATTTAATCATTTTTTAGTTTTCTAAATTTTTGAAGAAAATTGAGTCCTTTTTTTATTTATTTCAATATAATTTGTAATTAATTTAAACAAATTAAATTAAATTCATTTATTAAATTAAATTAAATAAATTTAATTTCAACAAATTAAACACTTTTGAAATTAATTTTTATCAATTTATTTCCAATTTTGGAAAAAGTTTTTTTTTTATTTTTCTTTTTATGGATAAACATTTTTATTGTCAAAAATGGAATATACAATAGAGAATGTCCTCTGGTTATTTAAAAAATTTAAAAATTACGATTAAAAATGCCAGAAGATAGCTTGCCATTTTTCAAGAAATATGTAAAGATTTTGTAACATTTTGAAAGCATGCTTTACTTTTTTTTTTTCTTTGTAGCTAGTTTATAAAAGCAAATTTTTCATAAAAAATATTGTGCTATCTGCAAGTTTATCGTTGCTTGACAGAAATCTTTTTTTTTTTCAACGTCAATCCACACGATCATAATATTTTTAATGGACAATGGTTTGTATAAAAAATTTTCTAAACTTCTCTATAATTTATATTGTTTCGTATTTTTATACTCCATTTCAATGGGAATAAAACAATTTCCGCATTTTTATTTCTTTAATAATTTTTATTGGAGAATTTTTTATGATAATAAAATTAAATCAAGTGTAAAATAAAATAAATTATTTAAATATTAATTATTTTATCATTAGATAAATTGACAATTAGCGGAAATAATATTTTTGGGAAATAATTTGCCTCACAAAAAAAATTAAAGTAATAATTTTTTATTTCAGTGGAACAGCTTATGATGATCAGCATTCTGAAAAAACTAGAAGAAAACGTGGTTCACTATTCTTTCGTAAGAAAAAGGTAAATAATAAACAATTTTTTTATATAATTTTTAAAAAAATAATTTAACTGAGAATTTTTATTTTTCATTACAGGATAAAAATGTAAAGAAATCCACTTTGCAACATAATCATCAATGGATGACTTTAATTGCAGGCTCTCAGGCAAATACAGTTTGCGATTCCTGCATGAAGCTTCTTTCAAGTAAATTCATTCTACAATGTGAAAGTAATTATTATTTTATAAATATAAATAAAATAATTTTTTTTATTTTATAAATTAAATAATAATAATAATTAAATTAATATTAATAATGTATTAAAGATTGTGGATCAATGGTTCATCAAAATCAGACTTGTAAAGATCAATTACAATTGGATTGCATTAAATCAAAACATCAGCCTGGAAAAGGTGTCACAAAATCGTTGTCAAGCGTATCTTCAATTACAAATAATAATATAACAAAACGTGTTTCTACAGTGTCTTTGCCACTATCATCATCAATTGGAAGCGGAAGGTAATTAAAATTATTTTATTTACAACTAATTGCATTGATTCTTTGTTTTTATATGGTTTACAAAATCGCACGCTGTTAGCATATTCAGACTAAAGCTCGGAGTGAAATTTATTTGAATATGTATTTATTTTTTTTTTTTTTCAATGACTGACAATAATATGGGTAATAGAAAATTGCAAAGTACAAAGAAGCAGAGAAAGAGAAAAAGCATTTCTCCGAGTCTTTGGCTGATTTAAAAAGCTTTTTATTTACAAGTAAAATTGTAAATTACCTTGACATTGTTAGAGCAATGAGCCTTGGCATTTTTAACATCTGCCTTTTGTTATAGCAAATTTTTTATCAATGGCGCTTATAATATTTTTTTTTTTTAGAAAATGCTACACATATAAAGGTCATTGTTTTTTTTTTTTGGAAAATTCTGATTAGCAGAATTGCGCACAAGGAAAGAATTTTATTTTGGAAAATTGTCAGTATTTGCTACACATAATTAGAATTATTTTCATGTAGCTTCTTCCGTTATATCTGCGCTCATACGAATATATAAATATCCCGTGAATTAAAAAGAAAATTAGAGGAATCCAAATTAATTTCAAAATATAATATATAAATATCAGGACTACTATCGGTTTCCTTTGATAAAAATAAAATTGCGCTAATTTAGTTTCTGCTTTTTCCTTCCCTCTTGCATTCCTTGTGCAACAACAACATTGATTGTTCGTCAATAAAATGGAAAATTATCAGCAAGAAAGCAGTTTCAAGCTACAGTCCTTGGCGGCGTGTTGCCACCAAGCTAGGAGTCAAGTAAGTCTCTGATGTGATGTGCCTCTCTTCTGTCAAGACATTTCTTTATTGTTTAATTTTTTATTTCGCTATTAGTATCGAATTAATAGCTGAAATCATAAAAAAAAACAACCAAAAATTGCTTTTTATTTTCTTCAAATGTTTATTACCTTCCTTACGTATTTAATATTTTACATTTTACTCTATTATACCTTTAGACCCAAAATGATTGAACGTGTTTTTAATAAATTCTTGAATGCAGAGATTTAAAAAAAAATCGGTGCCTACAAAATAATAGTGATTTCAAAATAATAAATTTATTAGAAATAACGAATACTTTATTAAAACTAAATTCAATCATTAAAGCACCAAATATAACATTTTTCAATCTACTATACTTCGAATTTTCCGAAATAACAATTCTATTAAATTAAAATAGAAACACTTTTTTTTCAATTCATTGAAATTGATTTCAGAAACTTTTAAATAAAATATTACGATAATTGCTGTATAAGACAGATTATTAAAAATTAAAATTTAGAATAGTTATCTTTTTCAAATACTATATATGTGTGTACTATGTAGAATTGTATATTAGGTGTCATATATTTTTTTTTCTCTAAAAAAGAAACTGCAAGCAAGCCTAAAACACACGATTTCAGTTTGGTTCTATATGTCTTGAAGAGTTGCGTTTACGAAGATTGATCTAAAATTTTGTATTTTTTTTTTTTTTTTAGAAAGAATGCAATTATTTATTTTCAAAATCTCAATCTCTTGATAAAATGCTTCATGCAATTCCAATTGTATTCAACATTCGATAACGACGCTGAAACGAAAATCCTAGAAAACGTTTGCTAATTAAATTCACATACAAGTTTAGGTTGAAAAAAATATTAGTCCTGAGGAAGAAAAAAAAGGCCAATGTACAACTTGTCTCAATTTAATTAATCTATATATGACCTTTCAGATTTGATGTATATACAACACTGTATTTTGAAATTTAATTTCGCTTTGTTATGAATTTTTTGTGTTTTCGAATTTTTCAAATATTCCAATTTTTTTTTCTTTCAAAATGTTTTGACATTTTGTGCATGTATGTTTTTTTTTATATTTATATCAATAAATGAGAGCGATTTATATAATAAAATAATTCCAAATTCGAACGAGAAATAAAGAATTAGAATTCAAGAAAAAGATTAGATATTAAGGCAAAATATTCGACAATAATTCATGAAATATTCGTAACGGAAGTCAGTTGAAAATTTTTTCTTATATCGTTTTCACTCACAGTTTTAGCCTAAAAAAAAACCTAAAAGCTACAATTTTAATAGAATAGATTATGGATAATGTATTTCTGATTTAGTATTTATTTTTATTGAATAGAATCCTAATAAATCACAATAAAAAAAAATTATTTGCAAATTATTTGCAAACATCCCATTAGAATCACAATAGAGCCTATTAGAAAATCGCCAAAATTTTTTTTGAATGTAAATCCTATTTGAAACCTAATCATAAGGATTATAGATTTCATAAATAAAAATGGAATCCAATTAGAAGCCTGATCCTTTTTATTGAAATCTCATTTATCACATTAGGATTTAGTGATTTTCTATTAATTTCTATTAGGCATTTTTATTCAGGTGGATATATTATCTGGTGGAAATAAAATAAAAGTGATTTTAATATTACGAAGTTTATATACAAAATATTTTATACAAATTTAATTTTAAAAAAACGGAAAAAAATGGATAACAAAAATTAAAATAGTTTCTACTACTTTTCAAAATAAATCCTAAACCGGAATTTCTGGCAAATTTTATTTTTGAACTTTACTATTTCAGGAGTAATTTTTTTTTCTATTTTCGGACCAAAATTCCAGGTTTTATTTTGTAAATAGTAAAAATTACATTATAATTTTTTTTTCCGTACACTTTTTAGTTAAAATAGGCTTTTTGATGTTTGCATGAATACACATTAATCAAAATTGTATTGTATTCTTGCGATTTTAATTAATGGTTTAAGTAAGTAATGTTTCAATTTACATTATTCTATTTATTATTATTCTGATTACTTTTATTATATATTTCTGTTTATTTTTTAAATAAAAATATAATAACAGAAATTTTTATAATGTAATGTATCAACATAAAAATTCTCATTTCAATTTTATTAGATAAAAAATTATTATTAATTAGATAATTAATTCCATAAACTGAATTTTAAATATCAAAAATTCTATTTAGTTTTAAATTATTTCTCTTAATGTGTAGTTAGTAGCTTCCTTTAAATGTTAATATTTTCATTGAATTTTATAGTGTGGCTTTTTCAAAAATCAAACTTTTGAATAAAATAAAAATTATTTTATTTTTTTATGATATTTTATATAATTATTTAATTATAACTAATAAAAAAGACAAATAATTACCATAAAAAAAAGAAATTTATTCAAATTTTATTGTTTAATATTCAGCCAAGTAAAATATTTAATTAATTTATAATAGAGATAATTTTACAATAAAATTTATGTTCTGTAGAAAAATATATATAAAAAAAATATAAAAAAATATAAAAATAATATAAAACAATTTATATATAATTAAAATACAAAAATAATTTTTTTAATTAATGCCTATAATTTTCAATGAATATATTTATCATTTTAAAAGTTTAAAAAGAGGTACTTGTCTGAATACACCGAGGCCTGAATCCTCGCAGTAAGTTTCACCAATAAAATTCCAAATAACATTGTATCCTCGAGTCTTAATGTTATAAATTGTAAATATTTGTTCTAAAATGTAAAATCTTGACCTTTTGTGAAAACTCAATTAAATCAATTTTATGTTTCATATTCATCGTATTAAAAATTTTATATATTTTTTTTTTTAGCCAAACTATTAATGAAGAAAAGGATGGTGATAATGCTGCTCATCGTGATAGTTCCAGGTGAGTTTAATTTACATTTTTTTTTGAATATGAAAATTTTATGCAAAATTATAAATTATTTATTATTATTTACAGTGCCTACGAAGAATTTGATTTTGGTGATGATGCACATCAATTTTCAGCTGATAGTTTGGAAGATTTTGATCCTGAATTAGGTTTAGGTAAAGAGGAACCAGATTCATGGAGTGCAGCTGTAGGACGACATATAACATTACGACAAAGTGGTAATTCAGAACGTGAAGTGAAAAGACAAGAGCATTTATATGAATTTGTACTTACTGAAAAACATCATTGTTTGGTGCTTCTTGCAATGGATAAAATATTTGTCGATGGTCTTCGTCATCATTTTCAAATGACAACACCAGCTATTGATCGCATGTTTCCAAGATTACGTGATCTCATTGATATTCATATACGTTTTTTGATGAAATTACGTAGACGACAAAATATTAATGTTGTTGTATCAACAATTGCTGATATTCTCATTGAACAATTTTCCGGTGAAAATGCTGTTCGTATGAAAAATGCTTATGGAGATTTCTGCAGTCGTCACAGAGATGCTGTTGAAGCCTACAAATATTATCTGAGGGAGGATACACGTTTTGCTCGATTTGTTCGTCATTGTCAGGTAAAAAATTAATTTTACCATTCCTTTTATTTTTAGTCGAAAAAAAGTATTTTTATTAATTAATATTACACCTTTTTTCAGACTAATCCTTTACTTAAGAAAAAAGGCATTCCTGAATGTATTCTTTTTGTAACACAACGACTTACAAAATATCCATTACTAGTTGAACCTTTAATTAAGACTGGTGTTTCTCAAGAAGAAGTAGATAATTTAAAGAAAGCCTTGAGTTTAGTTAAAGAAATATTAGCTGATGTAGATGCCTGTGTCGCTAATAAGGAACGTGAGGATAGAAAATTAGAAATTTATAATAGGTACATAAATTATTTTATTTCTCAATAATTTTCCAAATGAAAAATGAAAAAATATTTATTTTTTTTTTTAAACTTTTACAGGATTGATGCCAAATCATATGCCGTTTATCGTGAGCATAAATTTAAAAAATCTGATATATTGTCATCAAATCGAAATTTAAAATTTGAAGGTACATCATATTTAATGCAGGGAAGAGGAAAAATGGCTCAAGTTGTTGTTGTCGTACTTTCTGATGTTCTATTTTTCTTAGCTGAAACAAGAGATCAAAAATATGCATTTTTTGTACCTGATAATAAAGCAGGTGTTGTTTCATTACAAAGATTACTTGTTCGCGAAAAAGCTGGACAAGATTCAAGAGGAATTTATCTTATAAGTAGCAATCCATCAGAACCTGAAATGTTTGAATTAAAAGTACAAAAGCCAAAGGATAAACAAGTTTGGATACAAGCAATTAGAGCTGCTGTGGAAACATGTCCTCAAGATCAAGATAATAGAACAGATATTTTAGTTGAAAATTATAATTGTAATGAAATGAAAATTGTACGTTCTTCTTCAATATCACTATTACCATTTGAGGAAAGACGATTTACTAAAAATGTGGAATCTGATATTAAAAAAATTATTGGTAAGTGTTTATATATTTTTTTTCAATAATGATTATGAAAATTAAAATAAATAATTCTGTTTAGATGAATTACGAAAGAAGGATACAGAACAAGCTTTATTATTAGAAGAAAAAATGGGACTTCAAATGCAATTATTGCATACTACAAATGTTTATAGTGGAAATAATTTCGATGGAAGTAAAATGGAAAAATATAAAGAAATTCCAGATTATACAAGATTTGTTCGCAATGAAGAAGTTAATTCAATTCATCTTTGGAAAGAAGTAAATTTAATTTTTTTAATAGATGTAATTTAATGGAAAAATGAAAAACATTTTTTTTAGGTCGTGATAGCAGTACAGGAAGCAACACGACTTGCTAGTTCTTTATCGTTCGCAGCAGGTGGAGCAACACTTTCAAGAAGTCTAAGCTCTGCTGGAGAACGTCATAGCGAGGCTTATGTTCCACCTTCATTATGTGTACCACGAAGAGCTGAAACTTTTGCTGGCTTTGATCACAATAAGGTTTATAAATTAAAAATTATTATTCTTTAACTATTAATCTTTAACTAATTTAATTTTTCGTTTTGTTTTTAATTTAGGATCGCTCACCATGGAGAGATACGGCAACATTACAATCAGTTCTTATGCCCTCAAAGGAAAATGAATTATTACCGAAAAAAGTTGATATAAAAGGAACCGATGAAACAGAAGGAAATAAAGTTCAACAAGAAATAGCCGTTCAATTATCGCATTATGTTTATACACTTCTTTGCATTATTAGCAATCAAATGACAACAATTGAAAGTTTACACGCTCAATTAGCTGCATATGGAGGTGTAAATAAACCATCAAATAGTAGACCGAATCCAAATAGACAACTTGAGGAGTTGCGAAATTTACAAGATCAATTGAGTCAAGAGAAATCGATGTTCCGCACAGCGACGCAACAAGAAAAAAGAATGCTAGATGAAGAACGTGCAGAATTAACAAGATTACGAGCACAATTGGTTGATGAACAACGTGACGTTACACAACAACGTGATCAATTGTATAGACGTCTTGAAGCACTTGAAAGACAAGGTGTTTCATTGGTTACACCATCGGCGGCAGGTTCTGCTCCCGTACATGTTTCACATCCAATACAAGGAGATCAGGTGCAATGCAGAAAGCCATCGCAAACAGACGATAGAAGAATTCCATTGAATTTGGTGAGTGCAACAAATCAGACAAAGGTACAAAAAAGTCTGCCACCTGTTAAACAACAACTGCCACTTAAGCTCGCCAGTGGAAGCAACAATAACAATACCAGGTAATTTTCCAATTAAAATATTCATGAGGAATTTTATTTTTAATTTATAAAATTTAATTCGAAATCATTTCAGAATCAGTTTGAAATTTTTAATGGGAAAGTAAAGTTTATTTCTATATTGTAAATATTTTTTGATTTTATAGGTAAAGTTTCGTAGATGAAAAATTGGAAGAACTGAAAAGAATAAAAGAGGGACAACCTTACATAATTTATTTGAAAAAAATGAAATTTACAAAAATTGAAAAGTAATTGAAAATTGCAAATTTAGTATAGTAATCAAAATTATCTCGTCACTTTAAAATTTAATATTAGAATATTTCTCTCTTCGCTGCAAAACGATTCTTAATAATAATAAAAAAAAATTTACAATGTTGATGGATTAAACATATATAAGAGAAAGAAACTAAAAAAAATATATATAACCTAAATTAGTGGTTTAAAGAAACGAAAAAGAGAAAAATTATTTAAAATTATTTAATGTAAAACGCGATTCTATTAGGAATTATAATGCTGAAGATTCTTTGCAAATTTTAGAAATTCGGACTAGCAAAATGACGAAAGCAATCGTGTAATTATCATGAAATTTGCAAGAAGTTTCAGTGTAATTGTAGATTTCTAATTTTTCTGTTATAAATTACGCATTTTAAATATTTTTAATTGACTACTCTAAAAATGCAAATATAAGTTTCACTTTTATAAAGTTGGACCTCTGAAATCACATTATTTGTATTTTTAGATAGAAGACTTAAAACATAATTTATATAATTTCTTTATTAATTTGAGGAATGTCTTAAATAAGTGGGACATTATTTGAAATTTTTTTTGGTCATAATCATCGCTTTGAATAATATTTTTTCTCTTGATGCCAGAAAAGATTCTAGTTAAAATTTTTCTATTTAGAAATTGTTTATAAAAAAAAAAAAAATTTATGGCCTACCATCAAAAATGTGTCCCACTAATTGTAACATTCCATTTTTAATTTTCTTTTGTACTTTATGAAGCTTTTAAGCAAAATAGATTACAATAATAATGAGAAAAGGATATAAATTGGATATCCACCATGGAAAATTCTATAAAAAAAAAAAAAATGAATAACACTACCTAACGTGTTACTGTTTCTTTATAATTATATAAATGTTCTGTTCCATGGACAATTTTCTATCCAACTATTAGTTTAACAAAACTGTTAAATCTATAATATTATAAAAAAAAGTTCTACAACAATGTGATGTAACTGTTATATCCCGATATGGTGTGAATTGAAATAAATTGAAAATATTCCATAAAAAGGACAAAAAATAATATTCATTCGGTTTTTTATTTTAGCTCTTATTTTAAATAATTTACTAATTTCAATAAATAAATAAATGAATATATAATTAATTTAGACTCATTTCATTAAATAAATATTCAATAAATAAAATGCTATCAATAAAAACGTGGAGATACAAATTGAATTTAATTCACACTATCGGGATAGTAATATGTATAAGACTCATGTATAAATTTCGATATGTTCATTCTCTGTTGCAATTCTGTAATCATTTTACTTTGACAACATAGATAATAGCAATTAGTAATATTTCTGTAATAATGAAACAGAATTGCCATATGACAAGAATGTAACTCTCGCTCTGTACAATGTTCAACAATAATTATCAACTTTTTATATTAATGGATGTTATTTCTTACAGGTTTAAAAAAAAAATTATATTACTTTTTTTTTTAATTTGAAAAAAATAACTTGTATTTTATCTTTATGCAGTACTTAATTCAGTTGTACAGGAAAAAAACAGAACAGTTTGCAAAAAAAAAATTTTTTCTAAAAATCAGAGTTAATCGTAGTTCTGTTTAGTAAATTTAGAAATATTGCTAGGTCTGATCATGCGTTCGATTCCTTCTTGATGTCAAGAAATTTAATTCATACGATAGAGTTAACTCTATATTTGTAAATCTGTAATAATTGTACATAAATAGCATTTGTAAATAATAATGAGGGAAAAACAAAAATTTTGCGTAAGAATTTTTGCACGATGGAGACATATATTTTTTAAAAAAAAGACTGTATTTTAAAAAATAATATACTGATTTTTAGCGTTGACAAATATAAATTTTTTATCTTTTTTTTTTATGAATTGACAAGGCGTTGGTGATAATTGTTAATTGTAACAGGAAGTGTCTCCTTATTAAAATTTTAATATTGCAATTTAACAAGTATTATTTAAATTAATAGAACATCTGATTTTGATGATGTATCTCTTTTAAAATATTTTAATAAAATTATATTAATTTTTATGAATTAAATTACTTTTTTATATTTTTTAATTAATGAATTAATAATATTAATTCATTCATTAATTAATCATATCAATTCTAAAAATTAAGAGAAATCTATTTAGATCAAAAATGTTTTAGTAAAGTGTTTGATTGTTTTTCGTTAGCGGATAAATTCTGATCTGCCTTCGAAAGAAAGCGATTTTTTTTTAGTATTATTACTTAAAAACTTTTTATTTAAAAAAAGATAGTGCAATCAAAATTTTTGAATGAAAAAAAGTATAACGGGTAAGATTGCATATAATTAAAAAATAGAAAATACGTAATACAAATGCTATATATAAAAGTCTCTGGGTGATTGGAGATTTTAAATTTTGTTATGAGTATACTTGTTGACTAAAATTAACACTATCTTATGAATTAAATTATTGTTATGTATGATTAAAAATCAATCATACGAAACTACGCTTTTATAACCAAACGCATTACTCCTTTGAAAAAAGAAACTTAAATGTAACATACGAAATATGGTAAAATTTCGAATTTTTCTGAACTTAAAATTTTCTTTCGTCTTTAATCGAAAAGTTCATTTCATTTTAAATAAAAATACACGATTCATCTAGAATCTAATTATCTAAATATAAAAAAAAGCTGTTGCTAATTTATTATCTAAATTAGTAAATAATTACTTGTTTTAAATATTATAAATTACTTTTTTAGAAAACGATAATTAATAATTTAATTTTTATGAGTTAAATTGTTACATTACGTATTAATAAAAAAAAAGTATTTATCAAAAAATAATATTGGCAAATATAATTTTTATCACTCTCTGTATATTGAAGTAATTAGATTCTAAAAGAATAGAATAATAAAATCTTGAAATTTTGCTAATAATACGTAATTAAAAATTGCATTTATTGTACGATATTTGTCAAACGAGTTGCAAATAAAGTAATGTAAATTATTCATCTATAAAAATATTTAAAAAAAATAAATTAATAATTTTCTCAATTTATCGTGATGACAATAAAATTATTTATATTATATGATATATATATATAATACAATATATTTGTCAAGAATGAAAGTTAATGAAAAATGTGAATCTCAATGTTATTAGTTGTTAAAAACTTGTTATTGTATTAATTCTGGGCATGAATGTGAAGAAATGATGCATTTAATTGTTATAAGGTGAAAGTTATTCAATGTACAATTCACCTTTAAGGTAACTATATAGTATTATTGCACTATGTACCCATTGCATTTAAAAACAAGTTATTTTAAACCAAATTACTTTTAGTTACTAAGATAAAGTTGATTTAAAAAAAAAAATAATTTTTCTTGTAATATTGATACCTTAAAGTGAAATATTTTTCTTTGAATAAAAAACACACTAAAACTAATATTAAATTTTGCAGTTTATTAAATTAAAAAAAATAATAATAATAAGTTAGAATGCTTGTAATGTAAAAATTTTTATATTTAAAACTTTAAATCCTACAATTTGATCATAGTGTATGCTATTTAATTATATAATTATATAATTTTAGACATTTCTCAAATATTTGAAATATGCACGCAACTAAATATTTTTAATTGAATCACATTTTGTTTCTTATAAATCGCTACACTAATGAATTAAAATCTCTTATTTATATTATTTTTTTTTGTAAAATAAAATATAACAATTTTTCACCTATATAAATATTGTAAAAAATATTTAAATTCTACATTAAAAATTTAATTTACATACTAAAATTAAATAGATTTTAGATTTTAAAATAAATTCGATTTGGATGTATAGATTTGCGATATCTCTGAAAAGTGTGTTTATCTCTAGATAAAAATAGAGGTTCTTTATTAAATTTCAAATAAGCGATTGGCTGATACGACGGATCAATTTTTGTAAAAAAAAAATTTAGAATTTTAAAGACTAGACATGATCAATTTGCCAACAATCGTTAGCTGTTCTATTAGGTGGTTTTTCTCTTATATCATTCATAAATGTTAATATTTGTTGAAAATATTCTGCCCTACGCCATGTTTCATTATGTGAGCCTGCCGGTATTGGAATTAATTTTTTACAAGGACTTCTGCAGGCTTTATATAATTTTTTCATCATTTTCGGTGGTACTAATTTATCAGCTAGTCCAGAAATAAATAATGTTGGTATTACAAGTGTTCTCATTTTTTGTAGAGACAAATACTGTAAAAAAAAAAAAAAATGTAAAATTTTACATATTCTATCAAAATTGTATTGTAATTTTTTAAAATTTAGATTCTTACTTTATTTTTGTAAAATGTTAATGGAAGGTATCGTAATTTCGGTCCAATAAGAATGGTAGACATATCGGGAATACTGGTAAATGTGTTTTCTAAAATAAGAAACCAAATTCGTTGTGCATACTCGGGTTTACTAGCTAAATCTATAGCGACGGCTCCACCTAAAATATAGAAAAAAAAATTTAATAATAATTAGTGAATATTAAAATAAAATTTAAACAATACCTAAAGATCTTCCGAAGACAATTATTTCATTAGAATTAATGTCACTACGAGTTGCTAGATACTCGATTCCCGCTCGAGCATCCATATACAATCCTTCTTCAGACGGTGATCCTTGAGATAATCCAAAACCCCTATATTCTAACATTAGAATATTACACTCAAGTTTTTCATAGAGGCCAACTACATTTTGAAGCCTAAAGACAATGAAATTAAATATAATAAATTAATATTTATACTAGCAATATTAAACGCGCGCAAGCGCGCCAAATTGAGTATTCAATTGATTGTTATAAAGAAATTAAAGATTAATATTATCAATAATAATTTAAATTTATTAGAATATTATTTCATATTAAATGATAATAATGAAAATTATTATTATATGTGACCTGGACAGTTAAAAGGGACCTTTTGTCCGAAAAAATTAATTTTTTATTGATTGGTGATTCTGATAGAAAAAAGTTTTCTCTATCAGAATCACCAAACAATAAAAAATCGATTTTTTCGGACAAAAGGTCCCATTTAACTGTCCAGGTCACATATGTTATTAAATTATATATAAAATTGAATTATTTTCCAAATTTTCAATTTAAAATTCAATTATTTACCAAGTTTTCAATTTAAAATTAAATAAAATTCAATTATTACCCGAAATTTTAATCCAAAATCAACTTAAATTAAATTATTATCCAAAATTTCAATTAAAATTTTATTATTTTCCAAAATTTCGAGTCAAAATTAATTATTATCAAAATTTTCAATCAGCAATCAACTAAAATTAATTATTTTCAAATTTTCAATCAACAATCAACTAAAATTAAATTATTTTCAAATTTTCAATTTAAAATTCAATTATTTACCAAGTTTTCAATTTAAAATAAAATAAAATTCAACTATTTTTTAAAATTTCTATTCAAAATTAATTATCGAAATTTTCAATTAAAAATGAACTTAAATTAAATTATTATCCAAAATTTCAATTAAAATTTTATTATTTTCCAAAATTTCGAGTCAAAATTAATTATTATCAAAATTTTCAATCAGCAATCAACTAAAATTAATTATTTTCAAATTTTCAATCAACCATCAACTAAAATTAAATTATTTCCAAATTTTCAATTTAAAATTCAATTATTTACCAAGTTTTCAATTTAAAATAAAATAAAATTTAATTATTTTTTAAAATTTCTATTCAAAATTAATTATCGAAACAATGCCAAAAAAACATTGAAAAATTTTAACCAACACAAAATAATGTCAAACAATACATTTAAAAAAAACAAAAGACCTATAACAAATACTAACTTCAGGTGTGGACAGAATGAACGAAAGATATTCACGATTATTATATGTAAAGATTTAAGTTTAAATTTAAAAAAAAAAATAAAAACCTGTGTCCCATATTTCCGGCATTTCCATGAAGAAAAAGTATTGTTGGTGCTCTTTTAATTTTATCCTCTTTTTGAGGAATAAAAAACATGTGTAACATTATACCGTCTTTTGATCGAATGAATAAACTTTGATAAGGCAAATTACACGTTGATGGAGCAGGAACATAAACTCGTGAATGTTTTGGAATTTCTGGATAATATAAAAGTTCATCTTCCATATGATAAAGTACTCCTGTAAAAGAAATTTTTTTCTTTTATGAAAGAAAAACGATTTCGACAAAGTGTTTTTTTATTTTAGTTAGAATTTAATTTACCAGTTGTGGCAAAGCAAAGGAGAAAAAATGTAAATATTCCTCCATAGAGCCAATACAAAATTATACAACCAAAAAGATAAATGCCAGAAAGTGCCCAACATCTTACGGCAAAGCCACTTAATGCTCGAATAGGACGGCTACGAGTCAAATTTAGACGAATAGTCATTATTGACTTTTGATTATACAAATCATTCAATTTGAATTAATTTCAAATGTCAATAATTTTAATCAAGAAAATATATCTCTTGACATTGTTATACACTTTTATAATATTGATATTTTGTTTTAGGCACACATTTTAATTTTATTGAAACACAACTTATGGGCTATATATCACTGATTAAACAAACAAATAATTTTTTTTAAGTCTTAATTCAAGTTAGAATTATTTGATTAGAATCGTGTAAAGTTAAATGATAATTAGGTAAATAAATCATTTTTATGTTTTGTCACTGTATAAAATTTTTATTTTTTATATTATTTTTTTTTTGTTTGTAAATTTCAAACATTAGCAGACTATACAGACCGCTCGAGCAACTACCATAGCAAAGTGAGGCAGGTGGGGTAAATGAAATTTCGAGAATTTGTAAAGCCGTTTCTACAATAGTTTCGCTCAAGATGTGAATGCTCCTTAAATTATCCATCAAAAATGTAACATTTGGGACGTTCCACTTTATGTTCTCACTCTGTCGTTTTTTATAAGAAACCAACTTTTCTTAAGAATGAGTTACCATTATATGTACATTACTTCGTGGTTGTTAGTATCAATCTTCTCTTTTTTCTATTTTTTTCTCATTGTATTGACTGCAATTAGGTGACTGACAAGTAGTGGTAGAGAATAGAATCTAGAAACGTCAAGTGTTCCGTCTAACCAACAAAAACACGTCAAGTTTTGAAAAAAATTGTGATTTTTTAAAAGTGTTTATTAAATTATTCGGTGAAAATTCTTTTAGCGAATGATTTTATTTATTGTAATCAATAATAAATAAAAGTTTTATAAGAAAGATACCGCTTAAAATAGTTAAAATGTCTTGATATCTCTGATATCGATTGAGTACGTGATTGGTTAAATTAGAATCCATGCAAGTATGGCCGCCCTGCCATCACCCACTCAGGTATATTTTTTTATTTTATTTTTCTTAAATCTGGACAATATTATATTTTTAAATAACATTTAAAATAGATTATATTAATAATATATTGTCTTTCTATTTTTTTTCCTTAACAACTATTCAAAATTTTATTAAATTTTACAAAAGTTATTTCATTTTGAGACTTGTCGAGAAATGAAAATTTTCTCGAAAAAATCGAAGTAGTAATTCTTTATTTATTATTAAATTTATTCATTTAGACAATTATTCATTTTTTTATTTTAATTGATTTATTTCTTAAAAATAAAGTGGAAGTGAAAAGTGGGCGTTTAACATTTAGTTAGTTTTATCAATATCTTCGCTTTTTATCTGTATATTTTTTTAATGAGTTTATCCTATTTAAGGAACAATTGAGAAATTAATAAGATAATTTTTTTGACTGTTTCAGGTAGCTGGAAGCCATCCAGATATTTATGAGGCCTATTACAAACAGGTATGTAATACACATGTGTGTGTTTTTTTTTCTCACCTTTAGCTAGTTATTATTTCAATCAATAACTGTCATCTGGCCTATTTTTTTAGTAAGTCTTTATTAAATTTTAACGTTTAAAAATATACAATGAAAAAGGATACGAGTTAAATTGAAAATCCATTATAATTGGAGATTGAAAATTATATTAAAACTCCATTTTGCTTTTTTTTAATCATATAAAAATGAAATTAAAATTTTATTTAAGTTTCGGTATTTAAAATTATTTTCATAAAATATATAAATTCAATGTTGACAGTAGAATTAAAAAGAGGAACTGTCACTGAATTTAAATTTCAAATTTAATAAGCTTTACAAATCTTTTAGAATTTCAACTCTTACTATCGAATTTTAATTTAACAAAATTTCAATTTAATTTTTCTTTTCGAGCCAATTTTAAATTTAATTGAATTTTCTTTTTTAAAAAAATGTTTATTTAACCAAATTTGCAATTAATAGAATTAAATTAAAAATTTTACAATCGATAATATTATTTATATTTAATATTAACTATATTATTTATTTATAACATATATAACATTTAAATGTAATTGTGAAGGTTGATCAAAATGGAGTCGGAAGAATTGAGGCAATGGATGCTGCGAGGTTTCTTATGAAATCCAAATTAAGTGATGTTATTCTCAGTAAAATATGGGATATGGCAGATCCTCAATCACGAGGATATTTGGATAAACCTGGATTTTTTGTTGCCCTTAAACTTTGTGCATTGGCACAACAAGCATATGAATTAAATATGATTAATATAAATTTGGAAATTCTTCCTCCAAAAATGGTAAATTTTTTGAATTAACAGATTTTTGTTTATATATTTAAAAAAAAATATATAAAATTTTGTTTCTAAATTTAAAAAAAATTTTAAGGGTGATCTTCCCAAAATTCAACCAATTCCACAAAAGCCTGTGGTAACAACACAGCCTTTAATAACAGCTGTTAGCAGTGGCGATTGGACTATTAAATCAACAGAAAGAGTTAAATATGATCAACTTTTCGATAGTCTACAACCAACGAATGGCTATATTCCTGGCAATAAAGTTAAAGGTGTTTTAATGGACAGCAAATTGCCACTTGAAACACTTGGAAAAATTTGGGATCTCGCTGATATGGATAAAGATGGCATGCTCGATAGGCATGAATTTACTGTGGTATGTAGAAAATATAGAAAATTAGAAAAATATTTATAACAGTTTCTAAATAGTAAAAAAAAAAAAAAATATCTTGGAAGCAATTTTTACTTAATTTTTAACATATAAAAATTCACGCAGGCAATGCATTTGGTATACAAAGCATTGGAAAAATATGCGATTCCACACGTTTTGCCACCAGAATTAATGCCACCAGGAAAAAGGAAAGATGTTTCTGAATCAAAATCGCCTGCCTTACCAGTAGTTGGAGCTCCTCCACCAATTCCTCCACTTCCAAATGTATCTTCTGTTAATAGTCTTGCGGGTTTGGATATTAAGGTTATTATAATTATGTAACTAATATTACTATAATTTACAATAATTTCAAATTTCAATTTTTTTCAAATTCTCTAAACATTGAAAAATTTGAATATAAAATTAGTTAATTTTAAAATTAAATTCCATAGCCCGTTGTTCAAAAGTGGGTTGTATCTGCTGAAGATCAAACAGCAGCCGATAAATTATTTTTGCAAGCGGATATGGATATGGATGGTTTTGTCTCTGGAGGAGAGATTAAAGATATCTTTCTTCAAAGTGGACTTCCTTCCCACAAACTCGCACATATTTGGTACAATTTTTTTTAAAAATATATTTTGTATAAATTTTTTTTTTTATAAAAATAATTTTATTTAGTTAAATTATAAATTAAAATATGTTAATGAATGCAAAATTTCTTGATAGGACTTTATGCGACATCTGTCAGAGTGGTAAATTAAATAAGGAACAATTTGCTCTGGCTATGTGGCTGATTAAACAAAAACTCCATGGAGTTGAACCACCAAATGTTCTTCCTCTAGAAATGGTACCTCCATCTTTAAGGAAACCTATGGAGAGTATTGTGGTAAGTTGATAAAATTCTTTTCTTTTATCATTATTTTAAAATCTTACCATTTGCATCTCTGTTATATAACTTTAACGTCTGTTCTTTTTTTTTTTTAATAATCTGAATAATTAAATAAATTATTTGCGATTACGAAAAATTTTCCAGAATACTTTTAGAAAAGTCGCCATAATAGCAACTCCACCAATTATTATAATATGATAATCAAATTTTATTTCTATATTATTTGTAACTTCAAGTTTAATAATTCCAGTTAGTTGATTGTCTTGCCAACAGCTAATAATAGATAAAATTTGATAATTTGAATTATTTTTTATTTCTCTAATGTTAAAATTTCTTTTAATTTTACCTATAAATATTTTTATCGCTGAGTTGTAAATTTTTAAATACTATTTCTTGCTTTGAATTTATTTTTATTCTTCCTGTAGATTGTTCTTCTATTATTTCGGGAATTAAAATTTTTTCTCCAACTTTCCACGTAAAAGGGGAATTTGAATTTAGATTTCTAAATATTTTATTATTATTTTATTATTATTATTATTATTATTTATATATTTTTTATATTTTATTATTATTAATTTATATAATTAGAAAAAAAATTGTTTAATACCCAGGACATTGTAATAAATAATTCTTGTTATTTTTTTCATAAAGAGTTATTCTGGGTACTGAGGGTATATTGTCAGGTATTTTTTGTAAAAACGAATATATACCGGCACTATTGTTTGCTTCTTCAAGAATTTTTCCATATTTATCACGCACTTGAAAAACTTTATTCTTTTTACAATTTTTCTGTAAATAATATTTATTGAAGATTATTGAACTTTCAATCTATTTTTTTTTTTTTTTAATTAAAAAACATTTTTTAAATTCATCTTATAACAAAATTTTACCTTACAATACTGTTGCATTATTTCACTTTTTCTATTTTTTACATCTGATATATTTTGAATTTTTAGAGGTGTATTATCTGATCTACATGGTATTTTATTTCCAAACATATTTAGAAATTTATTTAACAAAAATTGTAATTCTTTTTTTTGTGTCTTCTCTTCTTGATTAATTTGTTTTTTAATTACTAAAAATTTGTAATTAATTTGGAAATTAAATAATAAACAAAAGTAAGATTTTTAAAAATATACCATTGGTATTTTTGATAAATGAAGAATTCAATTGTGAAATAGTACAATAGCCGTATCTAATTTTTTTCCCCACTTTATCACAGGTTGAACATTCAGACCAATCAGTCCATGATGAATATATTTTTAAATTATATTCTGATATAATTTTAAATTCTTGAGTTGTTATATTTGTCATTTGTTTATTTGAGGGTTTTAAATTTTTATTTGAAAGAACATCTATAGTTAATTCTGATCCATTATCAACGTGCAAATAATATGGACTTGAAATAGTATCTCCCAATCGACACCAATATTTACCTGCTTGATTTAACTAAATTATAATTATGTTTTTTTTAAAAATATTTTCTTTGCATAATAGTAAAAATTAATTTTGAAAATAATTTACATACTTGAATTTTGTAAATAGATAAACTTCCGTTTTGTGAAATTAACACGTGCTCTGATTCATAAACTTCCGTAATTGATGAATTATTATTATTATTTATACTTTTAAAATACCATTTTAGATCTTTTATCGTATGCATTTTTTGTGGTGATAGGCAAATCTGGCATTTTAAACTTAAGATGCAAAGATTATATATTTTTATAATAATAATGAATATTAAAAAATAATAACGAATAATAATAAATAATAAAGAACATATTTTTTATTCCTTAGATTTTTATTTGTCATTGTTTCTATTTTAGTTTTATTATTCTAAGAATTTTTATTTCTCACATTACTAATGTTTCTTTAAAAGCCATTAATGAAATCGCAGATAAAGTTTTTGATCCAATTTTTAAGTGTTGCTCATCTAAACATTGATAGTATTTATTCCAATTATTCATGTGTAATTTCTTTAAAGTTTTATTTATTCTTGGATATTCTATCATGATTGAATCACTTATTGTATTCACAGAATTGATGCATAATTTTATTTCTATTATAATTGTGATGAACATGAACCAAAATTTTATTTTTAACATTCTTTATCTTTTTTTTTCTAGTTTTGCTAGAAAATATAATGATAATAATTCCTGTAAGCTCTTTTGATTATTTTTGAATAATAAATTCAACTGTCACGAAAAACAAAAGCAAATCTTCATTCTTTCATTAAGAAAAAAAAAGAATAATTTTTCGTCTACAATTAATTTTTTTTTGTTAATTTTATAATTTGAAAAATTCTAACTGTTGGATTTTTTTTTTTGCAGGAAAATAATAATATATCCGGATATTCAAATCCGGAATTGGATATGATTAGTAAGGACATTGCTGAACTTGTTCGTGAACGGCAAATAATGGAACAAGATATTGCACAAAAGGAAGCTGATATAAAAATAAAGAATGGTGAAATCAAAAGTTTACAAAGTGAACTTGATACTTTAGCGGCGACTTTAAAACAGTTAGAAAATCAAAGAGGAGAAGCTCAAAAAAGATTAAATGATCTGAAGGCGCAGGTAAAGTAAAAATAATTTAATTTTTGTTTTTTTAATGTGCATATTAGTTGTGCAGCTTGGCTTTTGCATTGAAATATTAGCCAATATTATAAAAATCCTATTGTTTTATTTTTATTTATTAAAATTATTGAGTTTTATTTAATTTTGATTTAGTAGGTACTTTTTAATTTGTATGTTCTTTTTTTTCGCACCATTTTATTTCTTTTTGTTTGTTATATTTGATTTGTAGAAAGCAGATGTAGATAAAGAGTTGAGTGAAATCGAAATCGAGATACAAGATGAGCAGCAAAAGGTATTGAAATATTTTTGATTTTTGAACATTTTATTATTTTTTTTTAAATTATTTTTTTACAATGTTGAGCAAAGTAACATCGCTAATGCACTTATTGCTTTTATTTGTACAAAAAGAGGTTTAAAAAAAAGTTTTTAATTTGCTAATTTTTAAAAGATCTTATAAATACTTCAATTTTCTCTTTTCTAGTTATTGTTATCTAAATTCATCAAAGGAAATATTTATTATTAAATTGACATATTTTTATAAATTAATAATATTCCGCCATTAATTTCTCTAAAGGTGGACAAATTGAGACAACAAGCGGAAGATCAAGAAACAGTGTTACGATCACAAGAGGAAGAATTAAATTCTAAACGTCAAGAATTAGAAGGACTGAAACATGAAGAACAACAATTGGAATTACAACAAACAAAAAGTAGGGACCAATTAAATGAATTGACAAAGAAACTTCAGGAAGCACAACTTCAAATAAGTCAAGCTAAAGTGAAAATAACTCATCTTGAAGAACAACAAAGACAAATGAGTGATGCAATTGCACTTTATGATTCTGCACTTGCCACTGGTGATGCAAATGTTGTACCAGACACAAGTCTTCATTATAAACCAGAAATAGAAGATTTAATAAGGTTAGTATTCTCATTTTTTTTCAAATTAGGAAAAAATTTATTCCTGTGGAGATTTTTTAAATATTTACAATATTTTGATAAATGAAATGAGATTTAATTAATCGTATTTTTTAATAGAACTGAACAAGATAATTTTGCACAATTAAATGGAGTAAAAACTGAAGGACAATCGTTCTCAAATGTTAATGGTATTGGAGGCGCGTTTAATGAAGATCCTTTCTCGTCGAATAGAGCTAAGGATGCTTTTGGAGATAATGATCTCTTTGATAATCCTCCGTCAGCTCATGGAGCCACTGTAAGTGACTTTTGTTAAATTTTATTATATAAATTTTCTATTTAAAATTCTTTGAAGCTGTTTTTGCATCTTTAAATTGATTTTTTTTTCTTGTGTTTAGGGTGGATTTACCAATGATCCCTTCATGGCTTTTAATAAACAAGGTTCAACGAAGCAAGAGCCTTTTGATCTCTTTGGAGATAAAGTAAAACCAGTTGGTGTAAGTAAAATGAATATTAAATTAATATTTCACTAGAAATTTTTCAATTAAATTAATAAAAAATTAAATTTTTTATAATTTGTCCTTTCAGATATCTAAAGATCCATTTGGTGATGATCCATTTGCTAATCTTCATGCACCAACACGTTCAGAAAGTCCTAGTCCTGCTCTTCCACCGAAAAAAGCAAAACAACCACCTCCAAGACCTGCTCCACCACGTTCTAATCAAGGAAACACTGGAGTTATTGGTCCATTGCGAGCTGCACCTGCGCCACCAATTCCTTCACCATCACCTGATTTATTTGCAAATTCAAGTCATGATCCATTTGCAAGTCAAGATACCAAGAATGGAAACAATTTTAATGCTGGATTTGCTGATTTTGCAAATTTTGATTCCAAGGTAAGATGATCTTAATATTATTTAATTAAATGTAATTATGTTCTTTTTTTTTGTAATTTACGTGGCTTTATTTATTTATTTTTTTATTATGCTTTTTATAATGACAATGTGATGTTATTTAAAAATTGAAAAGTAAACTCTTAATATTGCGAATAATAAATTAAATAAATAATAATTATTAAACACAAATAATTGTTTACTTTTCAATTAATGTTCAGTATTGTTGTTAAGAGATTAGATACATTTGTTATATGATTTGTAATTTAAAAGATGTAGTTATTTTAGTAATTCTAGCAAACGTTTCGAATTTATATATTCAATAAGATTTATTCAATATTATTTTAAAGTATTCTAAAATTATTTTTTCAATCACTTTCTATCCAATTTTTTTTTATTTATCTTAATCGATTGAAATAGATAAAAATTAATTGTTCTGATTGCAATTGATTTGTTTTGTAAATTAATTTCTAAATAGTTCAAAGTAATGTTGAAATTTTTTTTTTGATTCATTAATATAAAACTTTTGCCTGCGATACACGCAATGAATTTTACAATTGTGTGTTCAGATTGCATGCTCACTAATTGAAATGTCACAATTAAATGTAGTATTATGTGTTACACATTTGTGAAATAGCACTATATGTATTGAAAATTAGTAAGCATTTTATTTCGAGAAAAAAAACAGTAATTTTTTTTTAATCATCTTATAACACTCTACCCAATCTCTTAACACATATTTTTGAGTGTATGAATTTCCCATAAAAATAAATGGTTAGAATTTTTTATTTTCAAGAATTTTATTAGACATATTATTATTTTTTTTTGATAAATTTTCATTTTTCGATTTTTTTTAAAATAAAAAGTTGTGTTAAAAGAAATTCTTTCAAAAATGCAATATATAAAAATGTTTTTGAGTAAAAATTCGTTTGAAAAAAAAAAAATTCTATCAAATTCTAATTCGAAAAATGAAAATTTGTCTAAAAAATAATTATGTATTAAAATTCTTCAAAATGAAAATTCTAACTAATAATTTTTGTGGTTAATTCTTGCAATAATTTCATTTATTCATGCATATTATTATTATTATTATTATTATTATTAATTTTAATTTTACTATTATTACAGTATTATTATTACTATTATTATTGTTATTATTTCTTTGATTTATTATTATTATTATTTCAGTATACGATTTTTTTTACACTTTGGTTTTATTATTAACTTAATTTAATGCATTGGAATATTTGTATTTGTAAAAAAAAAAATTAAGCCGAATCTCAAATAAAAATAAAAAATTTCTGGAATACATTTGACGATAAATTTTATAATTTACCGAAATTACTACAACATTAAAAAACATGAAATTTAATTTTTATTTAATTTCTACTTCTTTCTTCCAATGTTTTAAATAAGTAAATAATTTTAAATAAATTATACATCAAGACAAAATATTTTGAGAATTTGTCGACTTTACAAGTATAAGATATAAAAAATATATTATTAAAATAAATAAATTTAAATTATTTAAAATTTAAATTAACTAAGTTTCAGTTATATTTGCTTATTTAATAATAATTGCCGGTAAAAAATATATTTGCATATTGATGTATAATTTTAATTTCAATTCCATCGATTTTAAATGACATTATTTTTTTTTTTTATAATTTGTTATCAGTATTCATTGTTTTACATTTAGGTAGATGCAGTACGATTTTCAATTTTCCCACTGATTTGACTTGTGGAGCATGCAGTCAACATTTTGAATTGATTTCTTAGTGTGTTTGGTATTTTTCCGTAATTTATGTTTCATTGTTTACACCTTGTTAGCTTTGCAATAAAATTCAGTATACAAGATGTTCAAAAAAAAAGAAAAATTTCAAATCCTCTGAATATTAATTATAATAATTTAAAACAATTTTATTCTAAAGAATTAAGAAATTTTTTTTGAACTCTGTAATTGAATTTTAATTCAATATAAACATGATTCGATGTCGTTCTAAAAATAATACAAAATTATTAAAAATAAAAAAATTTGCAAAAAAAAATAATAAATAAAAGATGCATAACAATTAAAACGAAAATAATTGGATTTTAAAATTAATTGAAAATAGTAATTGATTTTTAAAAAGGATTTTGGTTTTTTGAAAAATATTTATTTGAATTGAAATAAAAATGATGAACGACTCTGATGATTGTTAATAAGTAGGTACATAGATAAATTTACAGCATTTAACAGATCAGTAAGCAGACCTGAGGACGAGATCATAATAAGCGGTTATTTGCCGCGTTTCTCTTAAATTTACAGTAAACAAAAATACTGACTCGTGACAAAAAAAAAAAAAAATACTGCTTCAGCCGGAACCTGTTTCAAACCGAATAGAACAACAGAGAATAGTGAGCAGACCACGCACCACACCAACTCCAAAACTGCCGGACTTCACCGAGGATCCATTTAAAGACTATCGCTATGAAGATCCATTCAATATTGATCCTTTTAGCGACGAATTCCATCAGACCGAAGATTCCAATGCCAATAAAACATCATCCACCAACAATGCAAGTAGATTAGATGCATTTGGTTTTGATGAAAATTCATTTAGTTCAAATAATTCATTTGTTAAAGCTTTTGATTCTGACTTTTCAAAAACATTACCCCTTTTAAAAAACAAAAACGATTCTCCTAAATTCAATGTTGATTTTAATAAAGCATTCTCCAATAATAATAAACATCAAGGTTCAAATACAATGCGAACAAAGTCAAATGCATTTGGTTCTAAAAATGATAAATCAGATAAGAGATCTCCATTTAAAGATAAATCAATGTTTGGTGATAAGAGAAATAAAAATAATTCTCATAAAAGCAGTGATAAAAGGGGTTTAAATGTAATGGAGGAAGAACAATTAGCATGGGCTTCTAGAGAAAGTTTAAAAGATGAGAATGAGAGGCGTAGACTTCAAGATCAAGAGGAAAAAGAATTGGCATTAGCTTTAGAGAGAAGTAAACTTGAAGCTGGAAAGTCCGGGAACAATTAAAAAAAAAATTTTTTTCGCATCCCCGAATACATCATAGATGATGTATTTTTACATATAGACCATCATTTTTTGTGCTTCATTTAAAAAAAACAAAACAAATGCTTTAATTAAACTGCCGTGGTACAAGTGCTACTGTGACTTAGTTAGCTCTCATTAGTTTTATTGCTTTATAAATAATTTAAAAGTGCAAGCACATTGAACATAGATTTAAAAATAAAAAATATATATATATACTCAGTACACAAGCTCTACATAAAAAAAGAGTTGTACATGCCATGTAAAACTGTATAATCCAATCGATAATTTTATTTTCAAGTTAAACGAAACTTAAACCTCAATTCTTTATATGAATTCTTAGGAAAAAAAGTTTTGGAAAATAATTTCCAAAGACGTTGAAATCCATTTTTAAAACAATGGTTTATATATATATATATATATTAAGATAGTTATTAAAAACACTGTTAATTATTTAACATTAAACATTATATTTTAAGACAAATTCCAGTTTAAAAAGTAAATATTAATCATTTTCATTAAAAATATTCATTCCTATAATTCAAATGTTTTTTGAATAAAAAAAAATAACTTTAAATGTTGTACAAATTATGAAATGATAACATTAGTTTTATTTTATTTTCTGAACTGGAATTCATCTTTATTCGTGATTTCTAGATTATATAGAATTTTATTTTGTTTAAAAAAAAAAAAGAAGAAGAAGCTTAAAGAGCTGTTAAAAATTATTTTTTTTTCCTTTTATTTTTTCATTTTATAATTTCATAATAATAAACATTTCATAATTATTCTAAAATTTCGAAAATAAAAAATCGAATTATCTTTTTTCTGTATACAAAATTGTAGATGCTGTAAGTTAATCAACAACATTGCATGTCTTAGTCAATCTAATGTAACAAATAAACAAAAAGAGAGTATAATGTTCATTATTAGTAATTATTTAGTTTTTTCAACGATTAGACAATAAAAGTTGACGATTGTATGTACCTAAAATGACTCCTACACTATCGTGAAGATTATTGTTACATGTAAGATTCACTATATATGTAAACGTTAAAGAATTATTCTAAGGCTTTATACATACTGTGTAATTGATAAATCTTATTCGATAGACAGATAAACTTGTTCTTAATGATGTTGTAAACTATTGACTATTAATAGTACTTGTTTATTCATCCTTGTGTGATTAGTTCATTTTTACCAACATTATTTATCATTAACATACAGCGAAACTTTTTTTTTTTCTTTTTTTCGTACAAAAAAAATATTAATTTGAGAATTTTTGTGGCTTTTAGTTCATTAAAATTCTCAACCAATTAAAAGGTAATGGAAAATAATTTCGATTAATTTCTATTGTTTTTTTTAAGTAATAGAGAATATTATTTTGCATCTCGATTCTATTTTCTGCTACAACTATTTTATGAAAACCTTTTCTTTTTTTTGGGGGGACGTCTAAAAAAAACTAATATTTTTGTTTAAATTAAATTTTTATTTTAAAATGGAAAATTTAAAAAAAATTTAAACATTTACTTACTATTTATAAATATAATAAAATTTACATATTATTTTTTATCTGCTGGCGGCAATCGCTTTTTACGAAAAATATTGCTGAATCGTCTTGGCGATCCCATGGAATTCTGAAAAAAAATAGTAAAATTAATTAAATTAAATTAATTAAATCATCAAAATTATATTTAATTTTAGAAAATAATTTATTTTAAATTAAAATCTTACTTCATCTTGCTGTCTCGAGTTACTAAAAAGATCTTTTAATCGGCGTGGAGTACCAGTATTTCGTTTATCAACTGCATTTCGTTCTTTTAAAATTCGTGACGGAGATTTTGCTTCACTGCCCTGAAATTAAATTAAAAATTTTCAATTTTAATTAGAAATTAACTAGTTTCTATCGAATAAAGGAAAATATCTTGCGTAACTCAATTTTAAACTTTGTTACAATTTTAATTTAATTTTACAAATCGTTGAATTTTCATAAAATTTGATATCAAGGATTAGATACCTGGGGTCGATGATTAGGAATTTTAATTTTAAAAAATATAAATTTTTGAAAATAGATTAGAATTAAAATATTAATAAATATTTTACTAAATAAAAATTTTATCTTTATTCAGTAAAGAAAGGTTTATTAGTCCGGCAAATAATTATTTGAATTAAAAAAAAAAAATGTTTAAAAGCGTTACAAGTTCATGCCAAGCTTCAGTTTTAAAACAAATAATTTAATTCACCTGTAACGATAATCGTCTACCGTTTTTACTTGGTGTGGGAGGTCCAGGTTTTTTATAGGATGTCTAAAAGAAGCCACAATATAAATTATCAAATAATTATGGATTCTGTTAAAAAAAGGACAAATCCAAAAATTACCTGTGTTCTTTCTCTTCTTTTTCCTTTTTGATTTGGAAGTAAACTTTGACTAAGACTATCGTTAAAAACATCTTCTGCACCATTCTGTAATATAAATTTTAATTTTCAAGCAATTCGAAAGGGAATTTCATTTCTTTATCACCTAAGATATACAAATTTAATAATGTAAAAAAACTTACTTTTATATCCTCTTCTGTTAATCCCAGAGGTTGAAATTGCGTTTCAGCAGGATAGGAAGACTTTAAATGAGGTTTACAGAGAGAATTTCTCATTTGCAAAACTGAGAGTCGATTAAAATCTGAATTAATGGAACTAGTACGTCCTTCCTTCATATCAGCTGAAAAATATTTTTAAAAAAATTATTAAAATAACTCACATGAAAAGTTGTGCATTATTTAATTTATTTCAATTGTTAAATAAATTATATAATCAATTTTTCCTTCTATATTTTGAATATCTAGAATTTTAATCTAAATAAAATGTACCTACCTAGATAAACATTGTTAAAAATTTCTCCCTCTTCATCCTCGGCATTAAATGCATTTCCCATTACTTGTAAACCTTGAAAACTTCGTCTTCTTGTAAATGATTCCTCTTCAATAATTTGAAAAGTTTGTAGACCCTTTCGAACGTCCATCATTGGGAAATCCCTTCTATCTAAACTAAAAAGAAAAAAAAATAATTTCATTTATTTCCAATATTCGACTTTTATAGTAAAAATCATTAGGGGAAAAAAAAGTACCTTGCAGTTTTGTTCAATGAAGTTAACACTTGCTTTTGATGCAAATCTTTAATATCATTGTTAAATTTCAAACTCATTTCCTTCATTTGTTTGAAAGCGCCTTCTTTCTCTTGTTTTTCAGCCAAAAGTTTATCACAAACCTCCCAATGTCGAGTTGTTAATTCAGTTACATGTTCTTTATATTTATTTATTTCTTCCGTATGTTTTCGACATTGTTGTTCTATTTTTCCTTGTAAACTTTTAACTTTCTCTTGAATTGTTTGTTCTTGCTTCATGGACAATTTCTGCATTTGCTCATTATAAGCATGTTTCTGAAAAAAAATATAATTATTTGTTATTTTTTTAATAATTAAAAAAAAAATTATGTTTCCATACAAACAATAAAATCTGATTTCAATTTTTAATTTCTTTAAATTTTTTTTAACGAAAACGATTGATATTTTAAAGAAAAGTTCTAATTACAATTTTTTAAAATAAATATTAATACCATTTTTTCTTTAAGTTTCTCTAATTTGACCTCGTACTCGTCATGAATCTCTTTTAAACGACTGTCCATTTTAGAAACAGAAATTTGAACCTCATCACCTTTATCTGATATTTTACTTCTCAATGAATCAATTTCTGCCTTTAGACAACGATTTTCCTCCCCTAAATGTGCGGTTTCCATTTTTAAATTACTATTCTCCTCCTCAGAGCACTTGAATTTTTCCAAATATTCTTTTTCCAATTCCGAACTTCCACTTTGAATACTCTTTAAATTTGTTAATTCACTTCTCAATTCATCCATATTTCTTTCTAATTTCGCATTTCTTATTCGAATATTATCCAATTTTTCTTTAATATCTTTCTTTTCTTTATTAACATTTTGCATTTGTAATTCCATTTTTTTGAAATTTTCCGCTGAATATTTAACATGATTAGCATCAGGATTATTATTGTATTTATTGACCATTGCAAAAAATGATTCAACTCTTTTTTCCATTGTTTCCATTTCATTGATTGATGCTTCAGTTTTTTTAATTTCAGATAATAAAATTTCTTTTTCATTATTTAATTGTAATTCATTGTTTTCATTGTTTTTAATTTTATTCTCAATCCATAAAAATTTCATTACCGAAACATCAGTTAATGATGTTAATGATTGTAAATTATTTTGTGCGTATGTTGATAAAATATTTTGTAAAATTGTTTTTTCTTTATGAAGATTTTTTAATTCATCACAATCTGATTGATGTTTAAAGAATGTATCATAAAATTTATTTAAACTCATATTCCAATTTTCATCAAGTTTTGATAATTTTCCATGAAAATTTTGTTGAATTTTTATTGCCTTCAATAATATTTCGTGAATAATAATTTTTTCTTCAATTAATTTATCAATATAAACTTTGTGTTCTTCTTTCTCGACATTTAATTCTTTTATTTTATTTTCTAAAGTGATATTTTGTTTTTGAATTTCTGAAAATTTATCAATTAATTGTTGTTTGTTCATGATACATTCTTCCAAATTTTTGTATTGTTTGTCAGAATTTTCTAATAATTGATTTTCAATAAAAGACATATTTTGTAATTCTTCAAAGTTGGGTTCAGTTTGTAAAGAAATTTCCTCATTTGTATCAATAATTTCTATTTCATCTTTTTTAATTGAACTTTCGCCAATAGTAGATTCATAATCGATTTTAAGTTTCTTTATCAAATCATCTTTGAATTTATTTCGATCAATTAATCGAGAAATTTTGCATTGTGTTTTATCTAATTTATTACTCAAGAATGTGTTACGTTCTTTTAATTCCAAAATTTCAGAATTAAGAATTTCCAATTCCTTTTCTACTTCATGTAATTTAATTTGATTTGATGAATTTTCTTTTTGTAGTTCTGCTTTCTCTTGATTAATATCTATCATGGAATTTTCAACCTGAGACAATTTTTCGTTGCATAGTTGTAAATTGGATTTTAAAGAATTATTTATTTCCAATAATTCTTGTAACGATTCTTCCAAGTTTTTAATAATTTTATTTTTTGTAAATGATTCTTCAGAATTATCTTCTGTAATTTTATCCTGAGATGAGTTTTTGTAAATTTTAACAAAATTCGAAATAACTGCATTTAATTCACATTCAAAGGTGATTTTTTCATTTTTCAATATATTTAATTCTTCTTCTAAAACTTTTATGAATGTATCTTTTTCAATTAGTTTCTGTTTAATATTATCAAAATTCTCGGTTAGTGTTTTTAATTCTTCAATAAGTAATAATTTTTCTTCTTTTATATTGGAAAGTTTTGCATCAAAAGATTGATTATTTTCTTTTAAATTTTCTTCGAGTGAAATATTCGTTTTTGTAATTAAAGATAATTCCTCGTTTAAATGAACATTATCACTTTGTAATTTTTTAATATTTTCTTCTAAAATATCAATTGAATTTTTCTTATCTATTAATTCGATTTGATTCTGTGTGAAAAGATTTTCGGTAGAATTTAATTTTTCTTCTAGAGAAATTTCTTTTAGCATTAATTTTTTAATCTCGTCTATTAAAGTATTTAGAAATTTAATTTTCAAAGTTAATTCCTCATTAGGATGCAATGTTTCATCAATTAATTTATCATTTTCACGTAGTTCTAATAAATTTTTAAATTCATTTAAATTCTTTGTAATTTCATCCAAAGGCAACGTAGATTTATTAGTGTCAGTTAATATAATTTGTAATTTAGAAACTTCATCTAGTATCAAATTTCTGTATTTTATTGAGACTTCAAGCTTTAGAATTTTATTGTTATTCTCCTCAAGGGTGTTTTTGAGTTTAATTACTTCAGAATTTGTTTCATTTATCGTAACTTCAAGATTCAATTTCTCAGTTTCGTGTTTTTTAATTTGCTCATTAAGATCCAAAATTACAGTATTAAATTGTAATAACTGCTCTTCCTTTTCATTGGCTTCATAATTTAATTTTTTAATTGTACCTTCAAATTCTTTATTTAAAACTTCCAATTTAGAAACAAATTTATCTTTTTCTTCAATTTCAACTCGAAATTCGGAAACTGACGTCTCAAAATCTGTACATTTTTTAATTTCTTGATTTAAAGAATCTTCTAAAGACATTAATTTATTGTTTAAATTAATTTCGTTAATATTATATTTTTCTAATTTTTCATTCAATTGATGAATTTCATCTTGTAAGTTTGTATTTTCTTTATTTAGATTTTCAATTTTTTCGCAGGACAATTGCAAATCTGATTTTACTGTATAAAAATTCTCCTCTACAACTTTCAGTAATTCTATTTGTTGACAATAATCATTGTTAGAATTTTTCAAAATATTTATTTCAGAATTTGCTTTCTCTATTGTATCCTCCAAATTTATTTTCTCGACATTCTTGTTTTCAATTTGATCGTTTAGTTTTAAATTTTCAGATTCTAATTGCAACAAATTCTGTTCCTTTTCTTCGATTTCTCGATTCAAAGTTTTAATTATATTTTCAAAATCTGTATTTGAATCTTCTAATTTAGAAATTAATTTAATTTTTTCCTCAATTTCACCTCGAAGTTCAGAATTTGATAATTCAAATTCGGCAATCCTTTGAATTTCTTGATTTAATGTATCTTCAATGGCTAATAATTTATTTTTCAAAATATTTTCATTGACATCACATTTTTCTAATTGATTTTTCATTAGCTGAGTTTCTTCCAATAAATGCTTATTTTCTTCACTTTGTTTTTCTATTTTTTCACAGGAAAGTTGAAATTCTAATTTAACTGTTTCAAAATTCTTTTCCATTATTTTCAATTCTTCGATTTGTAAATGAAGATCTTTATTTGAGTCTTTTAATACAACTATTTCAAAATTAGCTTCCTTTATCGTATCCTCCAGATTTATTTTCTCAACGTCCTTGTTTTTAATTTGATCGTTTAGTTTTAAAATTTCAGATTCTAATTGCAATAATTTCTGTTCCTTTTCTTCCGTCTCACAATTTAGATTTTTAATTGTATTTTCAAACATTTTATTTAAATCTTCTAATTTAGAAATCAATTTACTTTTTTCCTCAATTTCACCTCGAAGTTCAGAATTTGACAATTCGAACTCAATACACTTTTTAATTTCTTGATTTAAAGAATCTTCTAGAGACATTAGTTTATTGTTTAAATTGTTTTCATTTACATCACACGTTTCTAATTGATTTTTCATTAGTTGAATTTCTTCTTGTAACTTTTGTTTTTCTTCGTTTAGATTCTCAATTTTTTCGCAGGAAACTTGAAACTCCAATTTAACTCCATGAAATTCTTGTTCCATTATTTTCATTAATTCCATTTGATGACAATAATTATTATTAGAATTTTTCAAAATATTTATTTCAAAATTAGCTTGCTTTATTGTATCCTCCAAATTTATTTTCTCGATATCCTTGTTTTTAATTTGATCGTTAAGTTTCAAAACTTCGGATTCTAATTGCAAGTACTGTTGATTGTTTTCTTCGATTTCTCGATTTAGATTTTTAATTATATTTTCAAAATCTGTATTTGAATCTTTCAAAGTAGAAATCGATTTATCTTTTTCTGCAATTTTCACCCAAAGTTCAGAAACTATTACCTCGAACTCGGCACTTCTTTTAATTTCTTGATTTAATGAATCTTCCGTGACTTGCAATTTATTGTTTAAATTTATTTCGTTAAGACAATAATTTTCTAATTGACTTTTTATTAATTGATTTTCTTCCAGAATTTTCGTATTTTCTTCGCTTAGATTTTCTAACTTTTCGCAGGAAAATTGAAATTCTTTTTTAACTCTCTGATATTCTTGCTCCATTATTTTCATTAATTCCATTTGTTGACAATAATCATTATTAGAATTTTTCAAAATATTTATTTCAGAATTAGCTTCCTTTATCGTATCCTCCAGATTTATTTTCTCGATGTTCTTGTTTTTAATTTGATCGTTTAATTTCAAAATTTCAGATTCTAATTGCAACAAATTCTGTTGCTTTTCTTCGGCTTCGCTATTTAAATTTTTAATTGTATCTTCAAAATCAGTATTTGAGTTTTCCAACTTAGAAATCGATTTATCTTTTTCTGCAATTTGTTCCCGATGTTCAGAAACTAACGTCTCAAAATTAGAACTTCTTTTAATTTCTTGATTTAAAGATTCTTCGGTAGATAATAATTTATTGTTTAAATTTATTTCATTAAGACAATAAATTTCCAATTGATTTTTCATTAACTGAGTTTCTTCCAATAAATGCTTATTTTCTTCACTTTGTTTTTCTATTTTTTCACAAGAAAGACGAAAATCTAATTTAACTGTTTCAAAATTCTTCTCTATTATTTTCAATTCTTCAATTTGTAGATGAAGATCTTTATTTGAGTCTTTTAATACAACTATTTCAGAATTAGCTTCCTTTATCGTATCCTCCAGATTTATTTTCTCGATGTCCTTGTTTTTAATTTGATCGGTTAATTTTAAAATTTCGGATTCTAATTGCAAAAATTGTTTATTCTTTTCTTCCGCTTCGCAATTTAAATTTTTAATTGTACCTTCAAAACTAGTATTTAAATTCTCCAATTTTGATATTAATTTACCTTTTTCTGCAATTTGTTCTCGAAATTCAGAAACTGATAACTCAAATTCAGCAATTCTTTTAAGTTCTTGATTTAAAGATTCTTCCATGGCTGATAATTTACTATTTAAAATGTTTTCATTGACACTATAGTTTTCTAATTGATTTTTCATTTCTTGAGTTTCATCTAATAAATTATTATTTTCTTCACTGAGTTTTTTAACATTTTCATTAGAAAGTTGAAATTCTTTATTAACTTCTTGGTATTTCTCTTCAATTATTTTCAATTGTTCAATTTGCTGATGAAGATTTTGATTTTGATTTTTTAATTTTTCACATTCATTATCAAGTGATTTTGAAAATTTAGTGACAGAATCGAGTTCAATTTTTATTTTAATTGTTTCTTCTTTTGCTTCTTGTAACTGAATTTCAATAACTGAACTAAGAGCTTCACTGGAATTTAAAAAAGAAGGAGCATTAGCAATGTTAATATTGTCATATTCAAAGCTCTCTTCATTAAATGATTGTCTATTAATTTCTTTAACGTGACATCGTAGTTCTTCGTTTTCTTTTTTTAATTCAAATAAAATTTTATCACTTTGCTCAACTTTAGTACATAAAGATTCGAAATTTTTTTTATAACTTTCATTTTCTTCCAAAATCTCTCTGGTTTGATTTTCAATTATAAACAATTTCTTTGTTAAATCTTCTTTTTCATCTTGAAGCTTATCATTTTCTTTTTGAATATCAAGAATATATTTTTCTAAATTTTTTATTTCATCCCTATAAACAAAATGTATTATATTAGAAAAATTTTTTTTAAAAGTAAAATTGTTTTTTTGATCTAATACTTACTTATAAACGTCTGGTTTTAATGTATATGTTTTCTTGCACGATTTTGGAGTCAATGGTTTTGTTAATTCATCTTTTAAAAATTTAATCTCCTTCTCTTTATTTTGTAAAGTTTCTTGAAGAATTAAATTTTTCTCCTGTTGAATTCTTAAGTCTTCATTGATATCACTTTTTTCACAACGTTCCATTTCTAGTTCTGCTTTTAATTTTCGTAATTCAAAAGCTTTTTGTGATACTTCATGATATTTTTGAACTGAACGAACTGCAGGTGAACTAAAAAAATCTTTAAGTGGTTTCCCTTTTGGTGTCATAAAAAGTGTTTTTGGACATGTAGTGTTATCAGCATCATTAAGTTCAGAAATCGTTGATTCCAATAATTCTTTTGTTATATTATTTCCATAGGAAAGTGTATTTTCAAGGAACATTTTAATTTTAACTTGAATTTCATTATCAAGTTTTGCACACATTTGTTTGTGAAAAATTGGTTCTTGTGATGTTCGTAATAATAAAAGAGAAGTAATAAGTAAATTGTCGGAGAACAATTCTTTGTCGTTCCATTGAAATTTAAAAAAGGGATATTCATCTGTAAAAATAAATTTAAATCATTTTATTTCACACTAAAAATTTAGATTTCTTCCTTAATAAAGTTTAAATCTACTATAATTAAAGAAAAAAAAAAAACCTTGAAATTTAATTACCGTGTATAAAATGTAAAAGTAATTCTTTTTCTGTTCTATTATTTTCCTGATCTTTCCACAAACTGAAACATAAATTTATCTAAATTAGTTTTTTTAAAAAAGTTTTTATATTAAATCTCCAAACTTTTTTTTTTCCATACGAAAAAATTTTGATATTATTTAAAATAAACACCAAAATATATTTATTATATAAGTTCAAAAATATATTCACCTTATTGACGTAACAATTTTATTAAAAATGTTTTTTTCACGCAATTCTTTAAGATCTTTGACAGGGGAGTCCAATAATTCTAGACAATTCACCTATAAATAAATAATAAATAAATAATAAATAAATAATTAGTAAAAATAATTTTTTATGAACGGATTTTTCAAGCAAAGTAAAAAAAAATTAATTTATGTTATTTATTTACAAAAATATCAAGTTTAAAAAACTGATTATTTATTTTAAAAATTAATAAATTTTAAATTGTTAAAAATAAAAATTTGATTTTTAAATCAATTATCGAACTAATTGAAAACAAGTTTTAGAAGTTACAAAAAGCAGCTTCTGGACCATGTAAATGCAACAATAATTAAAGTAAGTACTTTAATAATACTAAGTACTTGTAAACAATAGGAAATTATTGGATGTAAATAAAAATAAACTCCTAACCATAAAATAAAATTATGAAAATCAATAAGCTTGTAAAAAAATACTTGAAAAATAATATAATAAAAATTGGGTTAATTTTTCTTTTATAAATTTATACTATTGCCAAGATGTTTGTGACAAAACTTACCCATTCTAAAATAACTTGAGACCATGACATGATGTAAAGAAAATAAATATATTGACACTAACACAAAATAAATAAGCAATACATATCACATATTCATAAATGTACGCTTCACTTAAAATGCAATTTTTAATTTATATTCAATATTTAATACACAACTGCTTATGCATCATAAAAACAAATACAATCGTCTGCAACCGTTAAAGCATCAAAATTCAAAATTACGGCATAGTTTAAGGGTGACAGTCACACCGTTTTCCAAGCGTAATCAACTGGCCATAGAATATAAAAAACAATATGGAACGTCCGAAATATAACAATTTGATGTATTGAAGAGTGGGGGCTCCTCCAATCACGTTCGTGAACTATTGTGTATAGGGCTTAATCTCCTACATGTAAGTTACCGAACCCTGATAAACATTTCATATTTCCGATCTTCTACTTTCGAATATTAATATCACGTGGTTAGTTGTGTATATTGGTTATAATTGCACGTGCAATTTATATAAGTTTATTTTTAATTTTACGTGAATTTTAATAATATAAATGTTTTAACGTGTCTTATTAATCTAAGGATTTAATAAGTGGTGAGTACATTTTTTAAATGATGTGATTTTTCAAAACGTTAAATTTTGCGATAAAATAATTGAAACATAACCTACAATTTTCTTTCCGAAAAAACGAATTCGTAACTGCATAAAAACGGAATGCAGCGTTAAAACAAATTGTCCCCGAATCGGTATTTACCTTTTACCCAACTTTTACCTAAAAATATATGTTTTTAACCTAAATGTCATAAAAAGTTTCCCAGTAAAATTAATAGTAGTGTATTGACACTATGAATATTTTTATATTTAATTGTACTTTTAATATACTGTGGTACATTAATTTTAAGATAAAATAAGTTTAGGTAATTTACTTATTTATTAATAATTTAAATATAAATTAACAGTAATTTAAGTAGATTTAAACGATAGTTTTATTTTATTATTATCGCATCTACCTATTTATTTTTTTTCAATTATTTTATTTTAAGGAACAATTTAACATTGAAAGGAATTAAATAAATTTAAGTAAAATTTAATTAGTATAAGAGATCTCATTCTTTTATTTATTGAATATATACATTTTTATTTTAATATTTTTTTTTTAAATCATTGACAAATGAGTTTGACATATATACCAAATTTTAGTATCAAGGTATATTATATTTATGCCATTCATAATATTAAATTTTAAATTATGAGCAAACTCTGGCTCCTGTAACAGAAAAAAAATTATTAGTAAATAACAATTTTTCTACAAAGTATAAAATGCAAAAATTTCACAAATTTTATTTTTTTGAAGAATAATTTTTAGAATATTAAAGACTTACTTATTACTGTTATACACTGATTACTGCAACATTGACTATTTAGAGTACAACCTGATCCTCGACCTCTACATTGACCGACAATTTCAGGTATGAGTAAACTCACACACAAAAGTGCAAAAATGACAATTACTGAAAGATGCATTTTTTTCAATTGATAAAATTTCTTACAAATTAACGTTATTATATACTGAATAAGTGCGCTGTAAATCTGTTTATATTTTAATAGGGAAATTTTTTTTTTTGAATAATAAGACCATCAAAATTTAAATTTAATAATATGTGGCATAATAATAATGTTTGTGGATTAAACAAGTTTTTTTTTATCGATGTAAATACAAATAAAAAACGTATTATCAGCAAACAGTGAGAAATAAGGAAATATTTTTTTAATTCAATTTTTAGGTACAACAATGATTTTAATAAATATTGTTTTTTTTTTAGTTAAATAAAAGAGGAATTTTTTGGGGAAAGTTTACAAATTACGTCACGCTTATCAAATTATAAATAGATTGCGTAATGTTTGATAAAAAATAAAAAAAAAACAGATTGTAACGTCATTTTTGTAAACATTCCCTCGGTGTGACGACATATTACAAATAAGCGAATCTAATAAAATCGCGTCGCGTTTTAATTATTTATTTTACATAATTAACATTGTTTTATCAATCACAATGTTTGGATTATTCATTAATCCCGTTTGGTCTGTTTAGAACTAATTTTATTTTCATGATGCAAATCCAAATATTTTTCGATTAGAAATTTTTCTAGTAAATTTATTTAAAAAAAAAAATAAATAAGGCGCAAATCACTCTAAATAGGGCAAAAAATTGAAAATTCTTTCAATCGATTTTTGAAAAAATTTTCTATAATTTTAATCTTTGGTTTCGGTTTAAAATTTTTTGTAATTAGATCTGAATTTTTTTTTGCAAATCACGGTTGCTTGATTAATTAATTATAATTACAATTTTGTAATTATAATGTTTATTTTTTATAGTTCTGGTGCTTTTATATAAAAAAAAGTATTTGTACTTTTTTTGAACGATAAAATGGAACAAATTATTGTGCCACGAATTGGTCCATCAATATTAAATGCAGATCTTTCTGAATTGCATATGGAATCACAACGATTATTAGATAATGGTGCTGATTATCTTCATTTAGACGTTATGGATGGACATTTTGTTCCAAATATTAGTTTTGGCCATCCAGTTGTTAAGTGTTTACGTAATAAAATTAAGGATGCATTTTTTGAAACTCATATGATGGTTTCAAAACCCGAACAGGTAATTGTATTTTTTCTATATATTTTTTTTTATTTATTTAATCTAAATATCCAATTCAGTGGATAGAACCAATGGCTGATGCAGGTGTAAATCAATATACATTCCATATTGAACCGGTAGACAATGTTTCTTCAATTTGCAGAAAAATTAGAGATGCTGGAATGAAGGTACATAATAAATTTTTTAAAATGTAAAATAAATCGAAAATTTTAGTTTAACAGGGTGTCTACTAGTCCTGGAAGTCCTGGAAATGTCCTGGAATTTGAAAAAATGTCCTGGAATTTTAATTTTTGTCCTTGAATTTTTTATATTTTGCTTTTAAATTTTCAAAAATTTCTAAAAAAATTCACGAAGCTGAAGTACACAACGTTTATGATAAACGATTTTTAAAGAAATAATTTTTTAAAATGTAAAATTCTATAATGTTTTGCCTAAAAAATATTTTTTTATAATTTGTTAATTAATGAAAACTACAAGAAATATTTTTTAGGCGAAAAATTATAGAATTTTTCATTTTAAAAAATTAATTCTTTAAAATCGTTTATCATAAACGTTGCGTACTTCAGCTCGGAAAAATTCATTAAATAAGTAAAATGAAAATTTACTTAATTAATTAATTTTTTAATAATTTTTGAAAACAATAGTTAAACTAAAATTTTTTTATATTCCTGAAAGTCATCCAATTTAATGTCCTGGAAAAATAAGAAATTTGTCCTGGAAAAGTCCTGGAATTTTTAATTCAGATTTTTAGTAGACACCCTGATTTAAAAAATCTATAATAATTGTAGATAAATAAATTTTATTTTAATATTTCTCAATTAGGTTGGTATTGCTTTAAAACCAGGAACTCTTGTGGACGTAGTAGAAAAATATGTAGATGAAGTTGACGTTATTCTTGTAATGACAGTAGAACCAGGATTTGGAGGACAAAAATTTATGGAGCCAATGATGAAAAAAGTTGAATGGATAAGAAAAAATTTTCCCACAATGAACATTGAAGTTGATGGTGGTGTTGGACCAAGTAACATTAACGTTTGTGCGAAGGTAATAAATAATATTTTTTTTATTTTTAACATTTTTTGAAATAAAAAGTAAATGTTGACACTGGAAATAATTTATTTGATTCAAATAATCGTTTGATTATTATCAAATAAATATTTATTTGTATAAAAAAATTTTCTGAATTCACTTTAATTTCTCCTTTAAAGGCTGGAGCAAATATGATAGTATCTGGAACTGCAGTGATTAAATCCAATGATCAGGCTAAAGTTATAAAAAGTTTAAGAGATGCCGTCAATGATGAGCTGGGAAAAAAATGAAATTGAGAAAATTAAATATATTTTAAAATACTGTATAAAATACACGTAAATTCATAAAAAGAATTAAAAATATTTTTTTGGGATAAATATTAATTTTTTAATTCTAAATTCCTAAATTCCAGTAAAGGCTAATTTTTATTTTTTTTACACGATTTATAATGACGTTTCATTACATGATTACTGATAAATTTAGTAGAGCATTTTTCACAAGCCACGCCTCTACAGATTTTAAAATGATTTTTATACGTTGCATTTTTTATCTTCTTCTCACAAGTTGGACACAATGTTTTATAAATATCTAAAATTTGATAAACCTTCTTCTGTTTTATTCCAGAACATCGAACATCATTTCGATTTCTTATTGGTTGTTTTGTTTGATAATTTTCTTCTTCAATTTCATAATTTACTTCTTCATTAAAAAATTGTGATTTTTTTGATGCTTCATTTAAAATTTCACTCTCCATTGTTTTTTGCATTAATTTTTTTATTTTTAACGCACCACTTCCTGGAGAAAGAAAAAAGGAAATTAAATTGCAAAACATAAAATTTGAAAAATAGAAAAACTTACCTTTATTGTAAAAATTGTTGTCTTCATTATTATTTATATTTGCAATCGATTGTGTAATAATCCAAACTTCACGTTCAATTTCAGCAGAGGACATATTTGCAGCTTGATGATTGTTGAAACGTTTATGATACATGTCAAACCATTGTTGAGTGTAGAAAATCTTTGGATTTATTGTCAAACCATGTTTTCGTTCAAGATGAACAAGTAAATGAACAGATTTAAATGTATCATTGTAATCACAAAAATGACAAGAGTACATTGTATTTGTCACTTCATTTTTTCGACGTAAAATTTCTTCACGTTGTTGTATTTCATCAACGACACGTTGCATCATTTCACCTGTGAAAATTTTTCATCAGTATAAAAGAGAAAAAGAATTTTTAACAAAGAAAAAAAACTTGCCCATATATTGTTTCCAATTTTCTGGAACAATATCCTTATTGTAAAATGTTTCTTTAAATTCTCTTTGCCAAATTTCGTCGTTAAAAATTTTCAACGGTACATGCAATTGATGATAAACAATGAGATGACGTCGTAGACTTTCAATTTTCAGATACATACCACTATTTCGATAACGACACAAATAGCATAATTGTTTTTCTCTATGTTTTGCTCGTAAATGTTTACGAAATTCAATTAAACTAGTTGTTTCAAATTTACATTTATCATTACATTGATAAATTTTTTCTTGTGACAAATGATGAGCAACAAAATGATATCGCAATTCAGCTGGATTAAAATTTTTCCCACTAGAACATATGGAGCATTTTAATTGACGTGTACACGATTTTACAATACGAAAATTTGAAAACATTTTTTCAACATCCACTGGAGCAATTACACTATCATTTGTAGAGCAACAATTAATTTTAAATGATTCAAGTATTTGATCAAATATACCAGAATAATTAATTGACTCTGATAAATTAACGCCCAGATCTATTGTTTGAAAATAAACATTTTCACGTAATAAAACACATGTACCTGGTTGTTGAATAAAAATATCATGCTTAATACCATTGTCTTTTAACCACGATGGTAAAATAATAAAACGACCATGTCTCAATGGCATTGAACAATTTATTGAAATTGTATCATCGTGAAAATTGCGATTATTTTTGAATATTTCACCAAAAAGATTTGTTAATCGTTGAACGTGTGCACGTTTAATAATTAGCCAAAGACGTGGTGCACCACCATAAAGAATATTAATAAGTGCATTAAAATTTGTTACAATTTGAATGGGATCTATTTTTTCTTCATTACCAATAATAAATTGAGAATAATTGATACCGGCCATTACTAAAGTTTGTGAGGAAAGATATTTTGGATGTATCATTGAACCAGAATCACCAGTTATTTTTGTCAATAATCCTATTTCATCATAGGAATTCTTATGTAGATAAATAGGCATAATTGTTTGAAATTCAGCATCATTTCGATTAAAAATATCAAGTAATAAATTTTCATAAATTTCAAAAAATTCCTGACGACACGCAATAACGTGATTGATATCATTACATGATTTTAAAATTGGCCAAATATTATTTAATTTCTTTTCTTTCAATTGCTCATTGTATTTATTTAACAATGATGATGATGATGTGGTTTGTTGTAATAGTATTTGCAAATATTTGCCAAATTGTTTTTGTTGTTTTAAAAAATTGTGATTTTCGTTAATATTTATTAAATTTTCATCGATATTGTAGATTTGAAAAATGTCCATTTTATTGTAAAGTGACGAGCATTTATATTTAATAATTTGCAAATTAATTTCTCGATTAATAATTCCGTCGAATAATTCATTTAATGTGATATTTATTCGTTTTAAATCTTGTAAATTAATATACATGGTTTCAATTATAAAAGCATCCATATCATTTATAGAAACATTCATATTGCTCTTGGTACAATTTAAAAATGTAGAAATTGCTTCGTCAAGTTGAATTGATTGAATTGTTTCACAACACACTAGACTCGAACGTGTCGAACGTATGGATTTTGGTTTTGACTCTTTTGTTTTTAATTTCAATAAATAGTCGATCCATTCTATATAATTTTCTTCACAATCTGATAAAAATGAAGAATTTTCTCTCGACATGATTTTTATTTATACAATAAATAATCTAGAGAAAATGTGAATTTAAAACGATATAATAAAATAACATTCTCGAGTGACAATAATGCGGGTACTATTTTCTGGTTGTAAAAACAAATATATTTTTTCTTATTTTCACGCCTAAAAAAATATAAAATTTTTTTTGATAAAATTTTTAAATTTTGGAATTTTAGATGTTAATTGCAAAAGGTCATTTGTGTTTAAAAAATTATTTAACACTTTATATAGAGCGTCATTGAACGTTTAGCATCTTCTCGTCTGACGTCAATATTATGTATAAAAACATTAAGAGTTCGCTTGTGTCGTTAAAGTATATTGTTTAAAAGTCACCTGAAGAACAACTATAATAGAAAAAACCAAAAATTGTGCTTCACATTTTTTTTTCAACTATAAAATGATGGTGAGAAAAATTTTAATATGAAAATTATTCTATAATTTTATAAAATATTTTTTTTTGCCTCAGAAAAAAATATTCGATTTAAATAATCGATTACTTGACATCAAATAAATTTTTATTTGATAATAGCCAATCGATTATTTGAAAAGAATATTTTTTTTTTCAATAAACCCATTTTAATTTTTGAAAAATGTTTCATTTAAACAGAATAATAAATAATTCTCAATATTCTTTTGTTGCAGATTAATAAAATTGTAGCTTTAGCAATTTTCTTTCTAACAATGATTGAAATATATGCCAATCCTTTGGAAAGAAAAATTATTTCTGAAACAAAAGCTGCAAGTCCTTTAGAAATAATTCAAAATAAAACAAAAGAAACGCCATTATTGTGTTTATTGGAATGTGAAAATAATATTAATAAACGGCATACAATTATTAGTAAAAGAAATCATATTTTTTCAACATCTGACAATGGAAAATTTATAAAAAGATCTTTAAAAGAATATAAAGATCTTGATACTGCTGCTGGTACAAATATTCTTCGTCCTCTTTTTGTATATCGTCAACAAGTTGAATATAGAAAGCGTATAAAAAAAAATAACAATCGAGGTATTTAGTGAAAAAAAAAATTTATAATAATTTAATTTAATTGCCCTATAACAATATGTTACACGTGTATGTCATTTACGTGTTTTTACATTGTAGGGCAATAAAACTAGAACAATATTTTTACTAATAAAAACTAACGCAAAAATTTTTTGTACTCGAACTAAAAATTATTAATTAACACTGAAAAAAAAAATTTTTTGATTCAAATAATCGGTTATCAAATAAATATTTACTTGAACCAAATAATATTTATTTGAACCAAATAATATTTGATTCAAATAAAAATTATTTGGTTCAAGTAAATATTTTTTTCAAATAAATATTTATTCGGTTAAAATAAATATTTATTTGGTTCAAGTAACCGATTATTTGAATGAAATAATTTTTTTCTTTCAGTGTAGAATTAATTTAGAAAAATGAAGATCAAATTTTTCTAATTTATAATTGTAGTTATCCGATTGTAATTAAATAAAAGGGGGGGATAAATTTAAACGCTTAAAAGGCGAGGCAAAAAAATTAATTGCAAACAACGCTACTAAGAACAAGAAGAGAGTAGTAACGTTACAAAACAAAAGAACTTGGTTTTTTTTTTTTGTAACAAAAAGAAGATTAATAATTAATTAAAAAATTATTTAGTTATCAATTAAGGTTAATAATAACCACTTACAAGTCATTTTGTATAAACTCTGTTAAAATTCTATTTTTTTACTTGCATGTGTAAAATAATTTGTAATTTTTAATAAAAAAAAGAAATTGTTTCTTAAACACTATCATTCTTGATATGTATTTTTTAAAAAAAAGTACCTTTAAAAAAAACTATCGCAAATGATAAAATATGAAAACATAATTATTATGAAATCGTACACATAATGACATCATAAATATAGGGAACTAAAAGAAAAATTATGTAAATTCTGACGCATGATAATATTATTATTATAATGATGATGATGACTTGCCCAAGACGACATATATTTCCAAAACTCTAAATTATGCTATTAACGCTTATAATAAAAATAATATAGAGTATACGTGTCAACCTAGTAGTTATTTACAACGCAGTTCTTTCAGTTCAATTTTCTATCTATACGACACACGTGGTTAATAAGAAAATCAAACATTTTCGTATCGGTGACCTGTTTTTTTTTGACACAATGTGTGTAAGTGTTTTTTTCCCTTATTTTTAATGAATACGAAGAGTTTTAAAAATTTAACTATTAATGTGATATTTTTTACATTTATTATTAATTAATTAATTTGCAATCTGTTGTAAATTAATTAATTAATAAAATACGTTATAAAATATTACTAAAAAAAATTAATTTTTTAATTTATTAATTTTTTAATTAATTAATTTTCAATTAATTAATAATTTTAAAAAATACAGTATCTGAATTTCAATATTTGCAACATTGTCACAATATTCTAATATTGCCAGGAATAAATTTAATATTAGTAATTTTGTAGCAATTTCAAAATAATGTGAGTGATTACTGATAATATCATGAAATTGGTTTATCCCCTTAAACAAATATATTTGAAAATAAAATATGTGTCAAATGAAAACGCATACGTGTCAATAGAATCAAATATACAACGCAGTTCTTTCAGTTCAGTTTTTCTATCCATAAGGAATATCTGTTCAATAAAAATTTTTTTTCTAATTTTTTTTTTTTTGTGTAGACGATAAGTATAGTGTTTCTTATAAATGGAATCCATTGTTCGGAGTTCAATTTTTTTCATCAAATCTCTTTCAAATTTTTATTAATTACAATTTGTTTCATCTATTTAATTTTCATGATATAAATAAATTTATTTATTTATTATTATATTATGTAATTTTAGAACGTATAGGTAATTAAATTAATTTTTTTATTAAAACCGATCTTTGTCTTTGACAAGGAAAATATTTTTCTTGATTTGAAAATAATAATTGATTTTCCACAATAAATTTTTTTTTTTCTTTTTAAATATTGAATTAACTTTTTAGTCTCTGAATATTCTTATTTTTAAAAATTGTTTCCTTTTTTGATTTTACATTAACAAAAAAAAAAAAAAAAAAAAAAAAAAACTCTTTTTATAAGTACTACCTCTTTAACTCCATCATTTCATTTGCGCAGGTTCAACATGAAATAAGATTTATATCTTTTATATTCTTCATATATGTAACGTGTCTTGAAGTTTAATAAGTTTTCATCAATTTTTAAAATTAATATTAATTGAAAATTAAAAAAAAAACAAAGAAACAATTTTTAAAATATTAAATTCGTATTTTTAGTAAATTTTTATAATACATAAACCTTCCGAGTATACGAATCAGCTTGGGTCGATAGAGCTGCCTCATCTACAATCTTCTCTCGACCTCTCTTTCTCACACGCATTTACGGTTTAGTTTTTTCTCTCCGTTTTTATAATATATCAATTTTCTTATCCTTTAACGACATATATATCCATATCTCTCTCTATATATAATTATCAGTATTTAGCTCAAGTTCTTTCAGTGATTTATTGATGAAAAAAAATTCAGAAATTTTTTGTGATTTTTTTTTTAAATTTACTTTTTGTATATATAATTTCAAATTAATAAAACTGTAAAGTGTTAGAAATAAAGTGTTTTATGTATTTCTATGAATAAATAGAAATGACAAAGTCTAGAAATTTTTTTTTTATAAAGTGATTATTAATTTTTTGCCAAAAAAAATTGTTACAAATCTTCTAATTGGATATTTTAAAGAGATGCACTTTAAAAAACAGTGAATGACCTCTGATGACCTTTATCCCTTAGGTAAATATTAGAATATGTAAATTAATTTTAGTAGGTTATGTGCAAAAAAATTTTATCGCAAAAAAATTAAATTTTTTATTTTATAGTCGTTAAAAATTTTGCAGTTGGTTTATTTTACCTGAATTCTAAAATTATTTGAGAAATTGTTGAATTTTTTTTTAGCGAAAAAAATGAGATTTGATTCAAAAAAATTTTAATTTTACAGGTCTGAACAATTATACAAGGTCATGTTATCATCAAACACCATCGTAATTTTTCAAATACTAAATATTCATCAAGAGAAGTATCATAGAACAATTCTCCTATTGGGAGGATAAAATGAGTAAAAGTGTTGAATTTCTATCAATGGCTGAGGACAACGAACAAGCATGTAAGTTTTCTTTTTTAATTTTTTTTCAAAAAAAAATAAAAAAATAATTGCAAATTTTAACAAGAATTCTTTTTTAAGGTGAACCAAATATAGAAGATAAATCTAGACTTAATTTTAATGGAAGTAGACAAATATCAAAGAGTGCAACCGAATTGAGAAATAATGAATCAGATAGTTCAAATAAATCGCCAATTCACCGAATACAAAATGAAAAAGAAATAACGACAAGTCATCAACATCGACATGCATCAGTGGCTCAAAAAACTCATATCTTTTTTGCCACCCTGAAAAATCGTTGGACACGAAGTAAAAGTAAAGAAAGAAAAAAATCGAAAGAATCATCAATTTTTCTTAGTCAAGATTCAAAAAATATTGGCGTCGAATCTGATTATGCTGCTGATTATTCATCGGAACATAGTCATAGTTCTTCTGCCACTCAAAGTCCAGCTAAACATTATTTACATCATCCAGGTAATTTTTCTTTTTTTTTCTTTTTACAAATTCTTGAGAAAAAAATTATAATTGATATTTTATTTTTAGAATCACCTCTTACAAATCGCAAAAAGGATCAAACAAATCTTAAAGAAGATGGATTAGATGATTGCACAGAAGCATCTTGTAAACAAAGACAAAAGGATGAGGGTTTTGAAGATGGAAAAACAAATGGAATTGTTGATATTAATTTATCGGAACAAACTCGACGAAGGGAATTAGCATTGAGGCAACATGCATTTTTTCAATTACGACTTCATATAAAAAGAGGCGCCAATCTCGTTGCAATGGATAGATGTGGTAAATTTTTCTTAAAAATTTATTTCACTGAGTAAATTATCGTGCGTACATGCATTGTATTTGCATGTTTGGAGTGTTACTAAAAAAAAGCGAATGTGTTCCTTAGGTGTTTATTGGAATACTAAAATATTAAAAAGAATATAAAGCGATTTTAAAAAAAAATTACAATTTATTTGAATTGTATTTGATATCGGTTAGGCTAGGTACAAGCTTGCAAATTCGGATTTTATTTAGAATCAAAATCTTGCTCAAAGGGAATTCAAACTATCGCAATAACTAAATTTATCTTTTTAGTTTTTGTCTTTGGAAATGATATTAAATTCCCAAATTCTAAAACACTGGAAAAATAGCAAAAAAAAGGATAATTTTTGTCAAAAAAAATTTTATATACCCGATAAAAATTTTTTACTTTCTAGATTTCAATAATGATACTGAGATAACCTATCTACTGTGAAACAAATTTTTCATGAACTTCCGTGAAATCTTTTTTTGTGCAAGGTATGCTCTTAACTTTTGTGCAATAAATTTGAGCTCTCTTGCTTTTATTTAGCCTTAAATTTACAGTAATATTTAGTTCGCAACACTTTGATTCACAATGCGCAGTTCATCTGAGCTTCTTTAAACGCTGTTAATCACTGGTAAAATCATTCTATATCCATTTATTAGATAGACTAAAAATTAAATTATATAAAAAGAAAATATTAATAAGCATGGTATTATCCAGCAAAAAATTTTTCGTCTTTCTCAAAAATCTAATAATAATTGATAGCACGTAAAATTGCAGCTGGCTTGTTTAAAAAATTCCGCCTTTTGGCAAATTTAATATAATACCATAAGCTTGTCATGAAATTTTGTCACAAGCTTGCGTTTAGAGGTTTAAAAATTCAAAAAGCATGAAAAATATTTGATTTTTTTTTTCTATAAATTGAAAAAGGAAACGATAGGTCAGAAAACGAAAATAATTTTACCTAGGAACATTTGCAAAAAAATAATAGGGAATTCGAAACGAAAAAATTGTTAAAGAACAAAATTTTAGTTTTTGTTCATAGACGAGAGAAAAATAAGGTTAAATTTTAAAAAATTTCTGCATGACTCCTCTAATTTTAGGAAAAATATTTTCTGAGACAATATTAACTGAAATATTCATAATTGAGTAATTTTTGTAGCAAACTTTATTTTTCTCTCATAGACACAAAAAAAACAAATATTTAACGATTATCAAATTTTCAGGTGCTAGTGATCCGTATGTTAAGATAAAATCTGCTGGACGACTTTTGCACAAGACACGAACAGTTCACAGGGATTTAAATCCAACATGGGATGAAAGTATTACCTTACCAATAGAGGATCCATTTCAAACAATTAATATTAAGGTGCGTTACTATAAAAATTAAAAAATTATAAAATAAAAAAAAAATTATAAATTATAAAATTAACGAAATTGATTTAATAATTTAGGTTTTTGATTACGATTGGGGTCTCCAAGATGATTTTATGGGTGCAGCAATATTAGATTTAACACAATTAGATTTATGCCAATCCCAAGATATAATATTGGAGCTAAAGGATCCCGCAAGACCGCAACAGTATTTAGGTGAAATTTTTTTAACAGCTTCACTTTGGCCGAAAAATCAACAAGAAAAAGAGCAGGTATTTATTTATATATAAAAAATTTATAATTTTTATTTATTTACAAATAAAAATCCTTTCTTTAGTATTTTCAGAAGAGTAACAGACTGGCAGACGTAAATCGCAAACTAAAATCCCAAATATGGAGTTCAGTGGTGACAATTGTTTTAGTTGAAGCGAAAAATTTATTACCAATGGACGTTGATGGTTTATCAGATCCATTCGTAAAATTTCGGTAATTTTTCTATTTTTGCAAAAAACAAAAATTAAGGCAATTTTTTTTTGAAAAATAATTTTTTCTAGATTGGGTGCAGAAAAATATAAATCGAAAGTGGTTAATAAAAATTTAAATCCAGTATGGTTGGAACAATTTGATCTTCATCTTTATGATGATCCACACATAGGTCAAGAATTAGAAGTGACAGTTTGGGATCGTGATAAAAGTCATCAAGATGATTTAATGGGAAAATGTATAATAAATTTAGATACCTTGGAACGTGAAACAACACATAGATTATGGCGTGAACTTGAAGATGGAGCTGGAAGTATTTTTTTGTTATTAACAATTAGTGGTACAACTGCTAGTGAAACAATTAGTGATTTAGCTGCTCATGAAGAAACACCACGAGAAAGAGCACAACTTTTATTAAAATATTCATTAATGAATACATTACGAAGACCAAAAGATGTTGGACATTTAATTGTCAAGGTATTTTAATAATTTTAAAGTAAAGAAATCACTTAGAGGAAGGTGAATTAATTTTTTAATTTACAGGTTTATAGAGCACATGGCCTTGCAGCTGCTGATTTAGGTGGTAAAAGTGATCCATTTTGTGTTTTAGAATTAGTCAACGCTAGATTGCAAACACAAACGGAATACAAAACACTAACACCAAATTGGCAGAAAATTTTTACATTGTAATTATGGAATTTTTTTTTAAATAGAATTTTGTTTAAACAAATTGTTTGAACAATTTTTTTTTTTCAGCAATGTGAAAGATATTAATTCTGTATTGGAAGTAACTGTATACGATGAGGATAGGGATCATAAAGTTGAATTTCTCGGTAAAGTAGCAATTCCGCTATTAAAAATAAAAAATGGTGAAAAAAGATGGTACGCTTTGAAGGATAAAAAATTAAGAGGTCGAGCTAAGGGAAATTCACCTCAAATTCTGTTAGAAATGACGGTAATATGGAATATAATAAGAGCTTATATAAGAACTATTAATCCCAAGGAAAAAAAATATATGGAACCGGAAATGAAATTTAAAAGACAAGTTTTTTTACGAAATGTTCTTAGGCTCAAGGCTATTATTGTTATTTTCATCGATTTGGGAAAATACATTCAGTAAGTTATATATTCTTTGACAATTTTCTCAAAATTTGTGAAATAATTTTGAATTTAATTTTTAGGAGCTGTTTTGAGTGGGAAAATAAAATGAGAAGTGCCATTGCTCTTATTCTCTTTGTACTTGGCTGTTACTATTTTCAACCGTACATGGTACCCACTGCAGCGTTACTTATTCTCTTAAAATATTATGTGGTAAGTTTAAAGGAAAAATTTTTCATTTCCCAACGGAGTTTGTAAGGAAGATGTTTTATTTTACTTAAGCAAAAGGCGAAAAAAATTTGTTTTGTTACTTTTTTTTTTGGTAACATTTATTTCTAATGATGAAAATTTAAGAACCAGTCTAACAAGCAGCGCCACAAATTCTATTTTTTATCACTTAAAAAAAAAAGTGCCGCATTATTTTCTTTTTTTTTTACTTAGTATCCATTGCTGCGGCGCTGCTTGGCTTGGCGTTTTCTTTTTTACTCATTTCTCTTGTTTTATTTCGTCGCTGGCAAAAGAGAGAGATTATTGCTTGAATCGCTTCGCTCTGCGGACAGGTTGCTGTACTGACAGGAGCACCCGTTTCTCATCAGGTGGGGCACAACTTAGCAAATTCGAATGAATCGGTAACGGATGATGGTCCTCCTACTCCAGGTGATGACGACGATGACGACGACGACAAGGATAAGGTTTGTAGAAAATTATTAGTAATTTTTTTTTTCCCCCAACAAATTTTATTTTTCTTTTTTTTAGGAGGAAAAAAGAAGTCTCAAAGAACGTCTTCAGGCTATACAGGAAGTAACACAAACTGTGCAAAATTCAATTGGCTATTTAGCTAGCCTTTGTGAAAGAGTCAAAAATCTATTCAACTTCACAGTTCCCTATTTGAGTTATCTCGCTATAATAATGACAATTTTTGGAGTAATTGTACTTTATTTAATACCAGTGAGATTTCTAATTTTGGCATTGGGTGTGAATAAATTTTCAAGAAAGATCTTTCGACCACATACGGTGCCTAACAATGAAGTTCTTGATCTTATATGCAGAGTTCCAGATGATGAGGAAATTCTTAATTACAGGTTTGTATTTTCCGTCATAGAATAATTAATATAATTTTCCAAAAAAAGAAAGAATTATTTATTCTATTTATTTGAATTCAGAGAATTAAAGCCTTTACCTACTGCCGACTGTGATAAAAGTGGTACATCAGGAACATCTCAAGGTAGCTTATCAAGGAGAGAATTAAGACGAAGACAAAAAATGGCGTAACAGATTATCCCGCGGCAAGAAGTCGCGGGTCTACGGCCGTCCGATCTCTTTAAAACTGTTTTGATGCGTAAAAAACTTTTAAGAAACAGAAAAAATTCTAATGAAAAATTGGAAATTTTAGAAATTGACTGATCCAAAAAAAAAAAAAAATCTTAGATTTTTCTAATTAAAATTAATATTTTTGTTTAATAGATACCCTTATTATTAAATTTGAAAAAAAAAGAAAATTTTAGGGTAGAAATAATTGTTCCCAATCGTTAAAAAAAATTGATTTTGATGTAAAGTTTTTTAAACTTATTCCGCTGTGTGTGATATTGATATTTTTATTCCTTTTTTTAATCTACAATCACAATATTTGTCTTTCCATTCGCTTCCTTGAATACACAGAACTTCCAAATAAATAGTCAAATCTTTAATCTATTTAAAAAAATTTTCCAAGCGCACCTAAAATATTATAAAAATCTCTACCGCAGGTTAGTGAATTTCAATCTGTTGTTAATTAAAAACTTTTTATATTTATAAGACTAAAAATATTGAATTTCAATCATTAAATAGCACAGAAAAGTATTTAAAATGTCAATTTCTACTTTTTTACATTCCATAAATCATTTTTTTGTTAGGGTTTACTTGCTCGCTAGTTAAAAAAAAAAAAAAAAAATTTCAACCCAAAAGAGCCTAAAGTTGGAAACAATTGTTTCAATTCAAAATATCTCTTTCCATAAAAATAAATGTGTTTGCATAAAGAGCGCTTTATCTTTAAACTTTTGAAACTATAATAGTTAGATTCTACAAAGCAATAACTTTTTAGAAAGTAAAGCATTTCTAATTCACCTATCTTCTCTAATACACTAACATATAGAGTGTAATAATCATATCTGCAAAAAATGAGCTGGCTTACACTAATTTTCTTAATTAATGAAAATTAATTAAAAAGAAGAACGTTCAATAAAACAAAAAAAAAAATCTATGTAAATCAGCTCAATGTCAAGTTTCTGCTAGAATCGAAATAGCTTTTTAGATATATAATAGCATATGCCACAATATATCAAACATCTAAAAAGCTAAAGGCAGATACCTTTAATTAATTTTTTTTCATTCGTTATTTTAAAAATACACATAAAAAAAAAGTTAGTCTTTTTTTAATAGTTTCTTTAGTACAAAAAAATACAATTAAAAGAATTATAAAGAATAATACTGGTTGTGTCTAGTACATTAATTAATTATTAATTTGTTAATAATGTAAAATAATAAAATTTTTCACATACCTCAAAAAAAAAATGTGTGTGAATTACGAAAACTAGCGCCAAATCACTCAAAATGTCAATAAATTTCAAATTAAAATAATTTCATTGTAAAATTTTCAAGTTTTAGAATAATTATTCATATTCTTTAGCTCCAAAAAAAAAAAAAAAATGTTAGAACAACGATCACAGACCACGTAACATTAACAAAAAAAAAACCTACTTATCAATTGTTAATATAATATAGGATTTATATAAATTTTGTCAAATAGCGAAACACTTTTATCACTCGATGTATAATTGTTTCAATGTTTGGCGCACTATTGTAAAAAATAACTTGTTTGTATATTACCATTATTTCTATAAAATACTCTCGCAGCATTTAAAACAACAAAAATATTGTTTCAATATTTCTGGAAATTTAATTGCTGTATGGGTTTTTTTTTACTTTAAAAATATTTAATAATGTTATCTAATTTACCGATATTAATATCTATATTTATATAGTGCAGTTTTTAAAAGTACGAGGTCAATTAATTTTATAACTTCAAAAAAAAATGTTATTCATATAAAAGTTACGAAAAAGTTCTTCGTTACAAATAGAAAAACTGGTTAAAAGCTGCCGTTACGTTTGTTCAAAGAAATAATGCAACATTTTTCATAAGGTAAATTAGAGTTATTTAATAATTAAAAATTGTTAAAAAAAATGTCATTTTGATTGTTTACTAGATGTAAGTCAATGTCCAAAAGCATAAAGCCTCAACAAAACAAAAAATTTTGTCTTCATCAAACATTAATTAATTCAATGTCAACACGAACAATTATTATAGTTATTATACATTCATTGTTTCTAATGACTAATGTAATAATTTGTATAAAAACCTATTTCCTATTTATTTTTTTAAACATTTCTGAATCGTAAATATTTAACATTTAAAAATCTGTCATTGTTTTAAACTTCTTGAAGTTTCTTTTTGATAAATATATAATTGCTTATGGTTAATAAAACAGTCTACCAATTTTTTTTATCTAGAAAATTAATCACCAAACTAAATTTATTATTTATTAAAAAACAAACAGTTGAATCAAATTCAATTTGTATTCAGGGATGGGTAGGTAGCATACTTCATGACCTTAAGGCCGACGCACAATAGTTACGCGAACGAATACATGAGATAGAAAAAGATAGAGATATTTTTTTTCTTTTCATGTGAATTCACCTTTACGATTTTCATTTTGCAATTTCACTGTGCATCAACCCATAAAATATCATCCACCCTCACACGAACAATAACAATATTTTATTTTTTTTAATTTATTCGATAAATTTTTATAGTTTTAGAAATAAAAGTGAGTGAAAAGTAGTTTTCAATGACAGTAATAATCCAGAAATATCAGTTTGGTCGTGCAAAACTTACATTATTCCTATTTTGACGTGTGTTATTTACATTTGATTAAGTGTATATTGTTTTATAATAGTTTATATTATTTTTTTAAATCTTAATTATAGAAAAAAGTAGTTCTACTTTATATTTGTGAACGCTAACGGACTGTATAATGTCAAAATTAAAAAGATTTAACTCATATAACATGTTATTGTGTTAAAGAGGTTAGTTGAGGTTAGGTTTTGTTAATATCTTGATATATATTTTACATCGCGTTTAATATTATTGTAAAAAAAAGTAATGTTACATATTTTGAACATGTGAGAGAATTCACTTGTGTATAGTAAATTCTAACCTAAAAAACGATTATTTATTATATTGAGGGCAATGTTCCTACAATTTTTTAATGAAATTTGATAATCACGTTATTTTACAATTTAAATTGATAAATTCATTACCTTTTTTACAGTGATATGCTCTTTTATTTTATGTAAATTTTTTTTATAATTTATTTATTTTTATTTATATATTGTATATTTATTATTAATTTTAATTATTTTCTATATTAATTTTTAATTTTTTCTTGTTTTTTCAGTTATTTTTTAACAATTCTTGTAGAATAATTAATATCAATAATTTTACAGGAGATAGTTAGGGATAATTAAAAAAAAAAAAAAAAAAAAATGGAGCGTGGCAAGACAGGAACCGGACGAGGAGCGAAAAATAAAATCGCTCAACTTCCATCGGATTTATTTGCTCTTGGCTCCAAAGGCGGTCGAAATGAAAGTTCTGACTCCAAAAGACCTGGTGTTATTCATGGAAAATCCGTTCCAAGTAGTTCAAGTTCCAGTAAGATTCTTGAATTTATTATTAATTATAAATTTTTTTAAAAAGAAAATTCTATTTGTAAAATAAAAATTTCGTTACATTAACTATAATTTATATTAAAACTAAAATTTCAATAATAATAATTATTATTATTAATAAGCAAGGGTTAATAATAATTGTTATTGAAAGATAAATGAATAAAAAATATTTTATTTACCAAAAAAAAGGTTCAGATCGTAAAAAAGAAGCACCATCAGGCTCCTTACAATCAATGATACCAGCAAAAAAGGCAAAATTATCAACACACGTTACACATTCACGACCACCAACTTCAAGTGCAGAAGCATGGGAGGTTGTTGCAATTGAATGTGATCCACCGGATTTAGTGCCAATGGTACTTGAAGCAAATGACAATGATGAAGGCGACAAAGTTATTGGCTTAATTTGCGGTGCAATTAGAACTTTAAAAAATCAACGATGGAAACCAGATACATTACTCTATATGGGATTGATGTATTTAGCAAAAATACGTTCCTCCATTTTTTCCAACGATTGTATATTACACGCACTATCGTCATTATTAAAACGAGATCAAAGTCTTAATTTTAAAAGTAAAGGCAATCCACTTGTTTCTGTGCTTGCTGCCAATTTATTAATGCGTGGATTTTATGATAAAAAAAATTGGCCCGAAGTCTTTGTGAAGGTAAATATTCACTTTTTTTTTCAAATCACAGAAAATTAATTAAATTAAATTTTCAGCTCTACATTGATGATGCACTTGGCGATCGAGTTTGGATAGACAATGAAGAATGTAAAGGATTTGTTGATAATATTTTAACTGGTTTTAATACGAGAATTCCACCAAAAAGTGCATTGCAACTTGAATTAAATTTATTAAATCCAAGAGATAGTCACAGTCCAACTGCAACTGAGGATGACGATAATGGAATATCGTCCCTTCATTTACCGGGTGATAAAGAGAAAAATGAATTTTCAGTAAGTCCAAGATATGCTCATTGTATTGATAATATTGAACAAATTGTTCTCGATGTTGTTAAAGAACAATTAAATCGTCGACAATTAGATTCAATAACAAGAAATTTTCTCAAACTACTCTCATCAACTTGTGGTTTTGTTGAAATTCGTAATATTGTTGTCTCAAGACTCGAAATGTGGATGCATAATCCAAAAATATTGAAACCAGCACAAGAATTATTGGTTTATGTTTGTTACAATTGTATTTCACATACGCAACGTGATGTTGAAATTATTAGTCAACTGGTAAAAATGAGACTGAAAAGTAAAAGTGTAATTAATCTTTATCTAAATGGTGTGAAAGAAATGATTGGTTTACATCCAGAGAATTTATCAACAATAATGAAACACACAATTTATAATGAATTATCAACATCAAGAAATCCAAATAATATGCCAGTTTTGGGTGTAATGTTTCAATCGACGCCAGAAGCATCGGCAAAATTACTTGCCGAAATATTTCAAGATTTATTAATGAATCGTGATGATTATTTACGTCCATTACGATCATTATTGAGAGAAATAATGCGTGTATGTCGACAAGATTTAAATCTTATTCCATTTGCCAAACAACTTATGATTGAGAGACAGGATTTGGTACAGCAAATAAGAGTTTTTGAATTTAAAGATCGTGTTTTTATGTCAATAATGGATTTACTTTGTGTTTGTATGCTATTGGGAATTAGTCCTCAAGTAAAAGAAGTTGCCGTTCAAGTTCAAAGGGGCGATAAAAAAGATATTGCAGTACTTCATCAATTTCATAAACTTGTTGCAACTATTCAACATGAGGCTGTTGTTTGGCTTCACACAACAGCGCCAAAAATGTTTGGAATTGGTAAAGAAAGTTTATTGCATTCTCTTCAAAAAATTTTACTACTTGAATCTCCCGAACAATATTATAAATTGGACAACTGGCCACCAGAAACGGACAGAATATTTTATATGAGACTCGTTTCTGAGATTCCTCTAATGCAGTGTACTTTATTGAAACTTTTATTAATTGGACTCTCAAAAGTAAGTTTTAGAAAAATTTTCAAATTCTTTTTTTATTTTTAAATAATTTAATAAATTATTTAATTTAAATAATTGTCATAGGAGAATGGAAACATTCATATGGAGACATTGGATTTGGTTGATCAACTTGTTCGCCGAGCAGCTGCAAATTCAAACGAAAGTCTTCCAACTTTAGAAGCAGATAATATTAATATTATTGATTTGATTTTTAATCACTGTACATATCAAGCACCAGAATCGATCAGTATTCCCGTTGGGTATGTGTTTTTTTGAAAATTATTAAAAGTAATTTTTTCTTTTTTTTAATTTTTTTTTTTTGAAAATAGATATCAGCCACCATCATTAGCGATATCAAATCTTTACTGGAAAGGATGGACAATTCTTTTAATACTCGCAGCTCATAATCCTCAATCAATTGGAGGAGAAGCATGGAACGAATATCCGATTCTTCGTATTTTAATGGAAATGTGCATTACTAAGTGAGTATATTTTATTTAAATTTAATAAATATTATATAAAATTAATAAATTACTAGCAATATTAAACGCGCGCAAGCGCGCCAATTGAGTATTTAATTGTTTGTTATAAAGAAATTAAAGATTAATATTATCAATAATAATTTAAATTTATTAGAATATTATTTCATATTAAATGATAATAATGAAAATTATTATTATATGTTATTAAATTATATATAAAATTGAATTATTTTCCAAATTTTCAATTTAAAATTCAATTATTTACCAAGTTTTCAATTTAAAATTAAATAAAATTCAAATATTACCCGAAATTTTAATTCAACATCAACTTAAATTAAATTATTATCCAAAATTTCAATTAAAATTCAATTATTTTCCAAAATTTCGAGTCAAAATTAATTATTATCAAAATTTTCAATCAACAATCAACTAAAATTAATTATTATCAAAATTTTCAATCAACTAAGATTAAATTATTTTCAATTTAAAATTCAATTATTTACCAAGTTTTCAATTTAAAATGAAATAAAATTCAATTATTTTTTAAAATTTTTATTCAAAATTAATTATCGAAATTTTCAATTAAAAATGAACTTAACTTAAATTATTATCGAAAATTTCAATTAAAATTCAATTATTACCTGAAATTTTAATCCAAAATCAACTTAAATTAAATTATTATCCAAAATTTCAATTAAAATTCAATTATTTTCCAAAATTTCGAGTCAAAATTAATTATTATCAAAATTTTCAATCAACAATCAACTAAAATTAATTATTATCAAAATTTTCAATCAACTAAGATTAAATTATTTTCAATTTAAAATTCAATTATTTACCAAGTTTTCAATTTAAAATAAAATAAAATTCAATTAGTTTTTAAAATTTCTATTCAAAATTAATTATCGAAATTTTAATTCAACATCAACTTAAATTAAATTATTATCCAAAATTTCAATTAAAATTTAATTATTTTCCAAAATTTCGAGTCAAAATTAATTATTATCAAAATTTTCAATCAGCAATCAACTAAAATTAATTATTTTCAAATTTTCAATCAACAATCAACTAAAATTAAATTATTTTCAAATTTTCAATTTAAAATTCAATTATTTACCAAGTTTTCAATTTAAAATAAAATAAAATTCAATTATTTTTTAAAATTTCTTATCAAAATTAATTATCGAAATTTTCAATTAAAAATGAACTTAAATTAAATTATTATCCAAAATTTCAATTAAAATTTTATTATTTTCCAAAATTTCGAGTCAAAATTAATTATTATCAAAATTTTCAATCAGCAATCAACTAAAATTAATTATTTTCAAATTTTCAATCAACAATAAACTAAAATTAAATTATTTTCAAATTTTCAATTTAAAATTCAATTATTTACCAAGTTTTCAATTTAAAATAAAATAAAATTCAATTATTTTTTAAAATTTCGATTCAAAATTAATTATCGAAACAATGCCAAAAAAACATTGAAAAATTTTAACCAACACAAAATAATGTGAAACAATACATTTAAAAAAAAAACAAAAGACCTATAACAAATACTAACTTCAGGTGTGGACAGAATGAACGAAAGATATTCACGATTATTATATGTAATTTTTACAGTCACTTTTCGTATCCACCACCAACAATGGCTCTACCGGAAGTAATAGAGCAAGAACGATCAAAAGAATTGCAAGTGGAAGCACTGGAGAAGCAAGAAATTCTTGAATATGAAGCACATTTGGCAGCGGCAACAAATAGAATGCAAATATCGGAACAAACAAGTTTACTTCTTCCACAATTAATAACAATGGATCCAAAAGGTATTGCAAGAAAGCCACCACCAATTGTTCTTGAACAAATTCAAACATTAAACACAACACATCGTCTTGGACATTTATTGTGTCGTTCAAGAAAGCCAGATTTTCTTTTGGATATTATTCAACGACAACAGCAAAGTTCTTCTCAAAGTATGCCATGGCTTGCTGATTTAGTTCAAAATAGTGAAGGTTCATTAAGTCAATTACCAGTTCAATGTCTTTGTGAATTTCTTTTATCATCGAGTACACAAAATGTGGAAAAACAAGCACGACAACAACAATTACTTGCACATCTTCAAACACTTTTAACTGATGTTAATGAAGATCAACAACATGCTTACGAAGTTTTGGAATACTTTCTAAGAAGATTGAGCAGTCAACAAACCAGTAGTCGAATTCAAGCGATTACTGGCTTAAAAATGGTATTGGACTCGATTCCATTGGATGAGGAGCAAATGGACATTGACGGAAGATCCGATAATGAAGTTTGGCTTCTCAGAAAATTGCCATCGATTCCACATTTTACGGCAGTTCGATCTCTTGTATCAACAGCATTACGAGGTGCATGTCAAGTGGAAAATAATCCTGAACTTGTGAGAGTTTACATTCTCTATTTAGCGGGACATACCGTTGAAGATGAACTTCCTGAATTAATAAATTTAGCGAATGAAATTTCTCAACTTGTTGTTGAACGAAGTACAATTGTTGCTGCAATTCTTCCACAATTTGATAATGATAACGCTCAAACCAGGCAAACGCTTCACGCATTTATGGATATATTTTGTAATTATTTACAAAAAGCTAGAGAACCAAGAGGTGAGGATTCACGTGGTTTTACCTGGTGTGAGAGTCAAGATTTAATTTTAGTTCAATGGAACAATCGTGAACAATGTACAATGCATATTCTTGTTGTTCATGCAATGATTATTCTTTTGACCTACGATTCGACTGATGAGGATTTATTATTTGCTGAACTATTGGAAACTTGGTTTCCACTTAATGAAGAACCACCGCGAGCATTTCTTGTTGATACAAGTGAAGAGGCATTATTAATTCCCGATTGGTTAAAATTAAGAATGATTAGAAGCAATATTCCAAGATTGGTGAATGCTGCACTTGAGGAATTGGAACCACAACAACTTGTATTATTTATTCAAAGTTTTGGAATTCCCGTCACTGCAATGACAAGATTATTGCATATTTTAGATCAAACTGTGCAAGTTAATCCTGATTCTGTTGGTGAAGTTGTTCTTGATAAAATTTACATGGCACAGTTAGTGAATATTCTTCATAAACGTGGGGCTTCTGGTGGTCTTGTTTTTATGCAAGTTTTAGAATTACAAGTGCCAGAACTTCCGGAAGAACATTCACTTTCGGTGGGAAAACTTGTGGAGCCATTGCCTCCAAGTGCAATGATTCAAAAGCAATCTGTCATTCAATGCTCTGTTAAGACTGATGTTCCTCATCTAATTAATAGGTAAGAATAATTATTTATGAGACACATAATTAAATTCTAAAAATTTTTCGTATTTTCTTCTTTCCGACAGAATTTTTATTGAACCCGTACCATCGAATCAAAAAATGGATGCATTTAGAAGATTGCACAAAACACTTGTTAAAGATTTACAAAAATCAGCTAAAGAAAGTGGATCAGTTATTTTAGCGATACAACATATTCTCAGTGTTTTGAGTTCAATGCAAGTGAAACAATTTTTATCATCTTTGGTTAATTTACCAAAATTTTCTTGCACTTTAATGAGAGTTTTATTATTGCCATTAAAAAAACCATCGACAATGAAACAAATTGTTGATCTTGCAAGGACAATGTGTTTAAATTTAATTTCATTAATTGGAGATGTAAAAGCGCCAATTCTTTTGATATTACGTGATTTTGCTAATCTTCAATTGTCAAAAGTACCAAATAAAAAAGAATTAATCACATTGACACAAACAAGAGATCCTGCTTCTATTTTGGAAAATACCGATGATCTTAATTTAGAGGAAGTTGGACGTAAATTATTGGATGTTTGTTTAAGGCAACAGAAAAATGATGCATTAGTTGAGGCAATGGTAAAACTTTTGATATCAGATAGTAATGAAAAAAATGTTAAACCACGAACGGGATTATTGCTTGATTGGTTGGCGTCAGTTGAACCTGAATTAATAGGAACTTGTCGTAATTTACAAATGACACTTCTTTTTGGAAAAATTAATATTAATATTAAAATAAATGAAAATATTGTTAATGTTCATTCATGTAGGCCATATTTATTGACACTTCTCACGCATAGAGCAAGTTGGACAACATTGTATAAATGCGTGAGTCATCTTTTGGAAAAATGTGACAAAGCGTGAGTAAAGAAAATTTTAACTTTGGAATTTTTTTTAAATATTTTAATTATCAATTTGAATTTTTAGATATGATCCAACTGCTGTATTAGATTTTCTCTGGGCATTGACTTGTAATCCAAAATTATGGCGTGGTCGTGATAAATTCACTCCTAAGCATTATATACCTGAAAATGTTTTATTATTGACGGAACAACAACTTTTGAATCTTGTGGCATATCTCGTTGAAGAGGGTGTTAATATTTGTAATCAAGGAAATAGAAATTCAGCACTTAATCAAATGGAATCGAGACTCACTTTACTTTTACATTGTGTTTCAACTGAGGACCAACTCACTTGCAGTGTTGTCAATTATTTGGCAGAACAAATGATGGCAACTGACAAAATGTATGTATTAATTGCTATAGTTAAAAATCTAATTAAATTAATTTTATTTACTTTACAGAGAACATTCCGATATGGCGCATCAATTTTTACTTCATTTATATATGAAAATTCCAAAAGTCATTTGTTTCCTTGATACATATCAAACAAAGAAATTTGTCGATGGAGCAAGAATAACAGAGTGGACTGGTTCAGTTTTGGATTGTATGAGTCATTCTCTTTTAACAGCATTGGCAGCGACGCCACGACAAAAATCATGGAATTCAAAATCACAAGAATTTGAACTTTGTTCAAGAAAAATGGCAACTGTTCATCCTATTCTTGTATTACGACAACTTCCAATGTTGGCATCTTCACTCACTGGCAGAACATATTTGTCCTTTTCACAATTTAGATCTGGTCATCATTTAAATCTCTTTAATCAAGTTATGGGTTTATTGGAATTATTGCAACCACATTTATTTAATGAAGATCATAGACCTGCTTTGGAAAATACATTGGAAAATTATTTTCAATGTTTCCAGGTAAATTATTTTCTTTTTATTATTAGTTGATTAATATAGGATTTAAGCAATTATATATTTTTTAAAATATAATTTATATTTTCAATTTTTTTAAAAACTAATTCTAATAGGAATATCCGAGATTAAAATATTTATTGTGCAAATAATAATTAGTTTTTAATTTTCAGAATTACATGCCAGTTAAAGATTTAGATCAGTTGTTTAATCGATTTGTAACTTTGCTGCAAGCTTACATTTCTCAAGGTGGTCAAAGAGCGTTGAAATATCTTCAAAAACATGCACATGTTCTCTAGTAAGTTTAATTAATTTAATTGTTATTAAGTATCTAAATAATAAATTATTTTATAACATTTTATTATAATTACAACTACTGTAATTTTTGTAATTTACAAAAAAAAAATCGTTGATTTCAGCGAATTACAAAGTCGTCCTGGATTAAATAGTTTACGGACTTTAATGTCAGGAATTCCAGTTCCAAGAGAAGGCGAAGATGACGACGATGCTTTGGTTATAGTTGCACCTGTTCTTCCTCCTCCTGAGCCACTGTTTACACAACAGTTTTCAGCTTCGCTACCGACACTTAAGAAACTTTATGGGGATGGTAATTAATTTCATTTATTTTGAAAATTGAAATAATTAATTACGGTAATTTAGAAATAAAAGTTTTACTTAATTTTTAAATTTCTTTACAATTTTAGTTTTATTAATTAAATGACGAAATTTAAAAATATTTCAGATGTACTTGACGTTCTTCATGAAATTGAAAGTTCATCTTCTCGTAAACCAGCGATTTTAGAGCCAATAATTGACAATATTGCAGATCTGTTGGTTTCGCCGCAAGGCAACATCAGAGCGATGGCACATAATTTAATAGCAAAAGTTCTGAAACATCGGCCTAGTCCAAATTTAAATATACTGGCTGCCTTTCAAAGGTGCTTGGACAGTCCTCGAGCAGATGTGCTCATGTCGGCTTTAGATAGGTTACCAGATATTGTCTTGTGTATGCAAGGTAAGAAAATTAATATTACAAATTAATCCTTTTTTTAACAACTATTTTTTTTACACATTTTGTTAAATAAAAATTGTTTGAAAAGCAAATTTTGATAAATGGAAATTAAAGAAATTTTAAAAATGTTGAAAATGAACAATATTTTGATAATTAATTATTACTACTATATTTTAATTATTATTTATTTTTTCAGAACACGCACTACCTCTAATGCAAAAAGTTTTTGAACTTGGTGTAAATTCCAATGTAAATACTGTTCCTTATATTAATAAGAGCATAGCTCTTTTGAATACGCAACAAGGCTGTTAATTGTAAAGGTAAAAATTATGTTTTCATAAAAGATTATTTAAAATAAAATTCAGTGACTGATATATACGTTAACAATTAAATTTTAAATTACATTCTTTTTTTTTCCTTCCATATAGATTGATTTTTCTTTATTGAGTTTTTAAATCCTATTTTTTTCAATTCATTAAAAACTGAGAGTTAATATCTCATCAAAAAAAAAATTTAATTTGTTTCCAAATTATTTTTCTTTTAAATATTATTCCTTTATTATTAACATTGTAAGATATTTTCTATTTATGTAATTTTGTAATCAATTCTGAGATTGTAGGATTTATTGAATAAATAAATTATAAAATTGGAAGGTCATTTAATAAAATCAAAACTTTGAAAATACAAAATTTAATACATTTGTGCGATTCATACAAATATATGTAAAAATGCTTTCAATTACATTCTTAAAATAAAAATAATACATACTTTTGTTCTTTCTTCGCAATTTACAATTTACATTATTTTTAATCTAAATTTATCTCATTATAATTTATAAAATTAAAATAATTTAACCATCACTATTGGACATTAAAAAAAACCAAAATTTAATAAAAAATATTTAAAAAGTTGAATTATTTTTTTTACATTAATAAAGAAGTTTTTTGATTTTTTCTTGTACAATTGTAATAGTTATTAATATTTATTTGATATCTTGTTTTTTTAGTTTTTCGAAACTTAATTTATTAAAAAAAAATTGTATTTTACAAAAGTATTTCAAATGCTTTCGTTATTTATTAAAACTATCGAAATGCTTCAAAAGGTACTTCATTTAATGTATAAGCTTGCATGAAATTTTTAATAGTTACTCTAATATTCCAATTATTTTTTTCTAAATTTTTTACACAATATTCACGATTCATTCCCGTTAATTCATGTAAAAAACGTAAAAGTTGCTCTTTTTCTGTACTACTCAATGGTACCGTTTCATAACGTGGTGGTAATTTAATTTCACGATATTCATTATTTTGAAGTACTTTTGAATCGGGTAAAACACTTTCAATATGATATTGATCATTACAAATACAAAATTCATTATCCTCTTTGGAAATAATAATAAATGTTCGTGTAAACGCTAATGGCGGATATGGACAATCACGAAATAAAAAATGTCCCTGAATAGCAATTGAAAAACAATTATTCGATTGATAAATTAAATCAATATGAAATGTTTTAACATTATGACTTGTCTTTGGTTGTCGTATAAGAGTACAAATAATATCCTCTGGACCGTGTAATAAAAATTCATGACATTTCGCATAATCGACAAATTTTAATAAATTTCGATTCACTGCAAATGACTTAATCATTTGCATATGATTAAAATTTGTTATTGATCCCAATGTCATTGATAGCATTGCGCCCGTATCATAAAGTCCATTTAATACTGATCGATCATTTTGATCATATAAACTAAAATAATGTTTTACAAATTGTTTAACTAGAAGAAGTTTTGTCCCATCACCCAAAAAATGTTTTTGTATCGTTGGTACAAATTTTTTCTCCACACCAATCATCACACCGTCAAGTACTTGAAGATGTGGAAATACTGTTTTTGCTGCTTTTACATAATCATCAGGTCGACTATATTTTGTACAAACTGGATTTCCATCCATCCACAATTCAAGAATATTAAATTCCGAAAAATAAGCCAATTGACGAAAATCCGTTAATTTATTATTACGAAAATCAATTTTTGTCAAATGAAAATTAAAGAATTTCTCTTGTGGTAAAAAAATCATAAATTCATTTGATCTCATTGATAATTCACGAACGGGAAGTTTCATTTCACGTGAATTACTTAATAATGCACTTCTAAGACAACGTAGAGCAAGATTTAAACATTTTGGAGTTGAAATTGAACAATAAACCGATCCAAGTTGTTTGTCATTACGAAAATTATCAAAATTTAATAATTTTCGATTAGCATCATATCTTTGTTGACCGACACGACAAATAATATTTTGTGGATTTAAAATTAATTCATTCACTGATTGATATCCAAGAATAATGTCTATTCGTAAATATTCACCTGTTGTTAAAACAGGTATTTGTAAATTATATTTTACAAGACTGTCAATCAATTGTACACCGCATTTTGTTAGAAATGAAATTTTTGTTTTTGTTTCTTCATTATAATAAACTGGAATAAGAACTTCCAATGAACCGGCCGATATTATTGAATCAAGAATATCAGATTTCGAAGATATTCCTGAATGAAAAATAATGAATTTATGCCAGATATCCTTTCGATTTGCGAGGGCAATTACATCGGAAGATGTAAATGAAGGATTCAAATATGTCAATCTTATTGGTTCAATGATTATTTTTGAATTTTGTAATTGATTATTACTTACGGAATTCGTTACAGTTGTCGACATAATTTAAAAATTTTTTTTAAATTTTTTAAAAAATGTTTATTTAATAATTAACTCTTCTTTTTCTTCTTTAGCATCGAAAAAAAAGTGAGGTTAGGATACTTTCAATCATGTTTTTTGATTAAACACAGGCTGGAAAATAGTTTTCTTTGTTAATAATGATGAAAATTAAACATTAAATTATTCTAAGAGGTTTTTTTTACCTTTTTCATACAATTTAACAGTTATTTTATTAATTTTCCAAATTTTTGTTTCACACTTCCAATTTTGTTGCTGTTTACCACACAGGATAGCCAACACTAAAAAAAAACTTACAAAAAAAAAATTTTAATTGTCCAATTATAATTCAAATTTTTGAAAATAATTTAAATAAAAAGGATATTAATAAAAAATAAAAAATAACAAATATCATTTTACAAAATTTATTTATATATTACAATCTCAAATCGATTTTTACTTGTGGAAAAACATGAAAAAACTTTATAATTATTATATAATAGAGAAATTAGTTTTATTTAATAAAAGCTTCTTTTGGAACACATCCATTTTTATATAAATATATAAAATCTTGAATTGCTTTACGAATATCCCATCCAATATCTTCTAAATGTCTTTGACAATATTTCACATTCATTGTAGTAACATCACAAAACATATCGATGAGTTCTTCTTTTTCTTTTTCACTGAGACACGTTGTTTGAATATCAAAAATTTCTTCAACCTCATTAAATTGACCATAATTTGGCAAAACACTTCCCGGTTGTAAATAATAAATATGTAATTGATCATTTAAAATATTATATTCATTTTCATCACCAGGAACAATGGTAAATGTTCTATTAAAACCATGTAATAAATCAACATTTTTAAATAAGCCCTCGACGCAAATTATAAAAAAATTCGAATCTTCATACATTAAATCAATGGAAAATGTTTTTCTCAAATGTTGTGATGGCGGATAACTTGATATTGTATCAATTATATAATCGTGTCCTTGTATTAGTCGTTTTCTGCATGCATCAATATTTGATAATTTTAATAAATTACGATTATCATCGATAAAATTGTTATATTCTTTATTTTCAGCCAATGAAAATGGAATGTCAATAGTCATTGAAAAAATTGCATCCTCATGATAAATACCACGTAAAATATTTCTATTTCTTTGATCGTATAATGTAAAAAAATGTGTTATAAATTGTTCCACAATTAATTTTGTCTTTGAATTTTTCATATATGATAAATATAAAATTGGTGCTGTTGGTAAATTTGTTTGTATCATTATTCCATCTAATTTCACCAAATTTGGACAATATTTTTTTATTGCCTCAATATATTTTTCTGAATTTGAATAATTTTCACATAATGGATTTCCATCTAACCATAATTCAGTGAGTGGAATATTTTTTAATGGCGCAAGTGCATCGATCATTAGGAAAAAATTATTTCTCAAATCAAGTGAATTTAATGAATTTAAATTTACACTTTCCATTGGTGTTAAATTAGTTAATTCATTTTCACGTAAACTAAGACCAGTTATTTGTGGTAATGATGATTTTATAAGTTTCAAAACATGTGAAAATGTGCGAATTTGTGTTAATGGACAATAAACAGTTTTTGATAATTCCATATCTTTATGAAATGAATCAAGATAAACGGATTTTCTTGATGAATCATGACGTTTTGTTAATAAAGAAACTAAAAGTGGTTGAATATTAATTTTAATATCATGAATCGATGCAAATCCTAATGTTATTGTTAATATTAATGGTTGTCCTTGTAAATCATTCACTATTAAACTAGTTTGACACATTTTTTCAAGTGCCGCACAACAATTTCTAGCAAGAAAAAATGAATCATCACCAAGAATTTGATATCTCACGGGAATTAAATCAGCAGGATAAACGGCATTTAAAATACTTTTAAGAATAAATTCAGCTTCAAATTTACCACCGCGTGTTATTTGTATTTTATGCCAAATATCATTACGACCCATTAATGAACGTTCATGAAACATTCCCGTGCTATTAATTACTTTTAATGCTGTTGATGAATCCAATAATTTCGGTGTAATTGGTGAATGCATTTGTTGTTGTTGTTGTTGTTGAACTTTCTTTTGTTGTTGTGCTTTTAATTGTGCTTCACGTTCAATTCTTAATTGATGCTCCTGTTGAACTTTTAATTGTTGTTGTTGTTGAATTTTCTTCTGTTGTTGTTCAATAATATTTTGCTTTTCACGAATTTTTATTAACTGCTGAGCTTGCATAATTGCTGGAATTTTACCTTTAGAATTCATTTTTCAAATTTCTATTCCAACAATTGTATTACACAAACATTATTCGCTTTGTTTCATTTGAGGTTAGATTCGTTTAAAACTCCACGAATTATATTTAATTATCATCACTGAACACTGAATTAAGTATTTATAAACTTTTTATATTTAAATAATAATAGAAGAAGTTATTTGTCTTTGCTATTGTGTATAAATTGCTCTGTCAGTAGCAGACGATGTAGAAAACAAAACATTATGGTACTTTGACAATTGTACGACGTATGGGTTAATTCACAATGTAAAACGTCCCAAATGTGTCTTGAACTCACCTTTACATTATTTGTTTGTGTAAAATTATTTTTCGATTTAAAACAATTTAAAAGCAAAATTATGTTAAAATAACACAAAAAAATGACTGAATTTTTAAAAGAACCTATATTATTTGCAGGTGAAATTGATGAAGATATTAATCTCTCGTTACCTGCAACTTCAGCCGAAGAATACATCAATCAAGTAATGTACGATTCATTTTTTTTGTTCTTTAAAACAAAAATATAAACTGACAATTGTTTTTTTGTTTTAATTATTAAGAAAATTAAAATTAAAATCTAGAAAATAATTTTAAATAATTCTTAACGTTATTTAGAAGTAAAAATAAATATATTAATAGGTTAGAATTGTTAGGTTAATAGGTTAGAATATTTTCTTGTATAGCGTGATAATTGAAATTTATTTATTAGAGTTGAAGCACGAAGATGTGAAAGTGTTGTTGTGTCTGAAATCGATGAGACAAAATTGAAGAAACCGACAGTAAATATAAAAACAGTAAGTTAATTTAGAAAAGAAATTTGTTTTTTCAAAAACTTAATTTCAAAATTAAAAGTTAGCAGGATGTACTGAAGCTCCGGCATTCTTAGGACCGTCATTAGAATGGCAAAAATGTCAAGTAGATGATTTTTCAAAAATCAGACTTTATATCGCAAGGATAAGAGACGAAATTCAGACTTGTAAACGAAAATGGAAACCTCCAGCAATGAAATTGGTAAAACATTCTATTTTTATATAAATTAACAATAGTTATAGTAGATTCTATTTTTTTTCTTTCTATTTTAGCCGAATGTTGGAGAAGAAAAAGAATGGATTAAATTTCTATGTGATAATAATGATGAAGGACGTGAAATTCTTTTGCCAACTTTAAATGTTGTCCTAGCAATAAATCAACCAACAATTGAAAATGTTTTGGAATATCTTGTTGATTTAGTTGTCGAAGAAAAAATAATTCAATTTAATGTTGGACGATGGATTTATGTTTTTCTAGTTGCTCTCGAATTACCAGTGAATCCCGATATATGTTCTTGTTTACGTTCCCTAGCTAGAATTTGTTCTATAATTAGAGCAAATAAGGTAAATCATTAAAAAAAATTTTAAAGAAATTATTTTTTAAATAATAAAATAAAAAAAAGAAATTCATAATATTTTATTTCATTTCAGAAAACGCCCGATGAGTCTGAAGTGAATACTTTAAATTTAATGATTTGTTTGGTGGCAAGATATTTTCGACAATTGGATTTAGCAGATCAGTGATTTATTTATTGTCGTGTAAAAGCTTATGTTATTTCTATTTTGTACAATAAAATATAAATCTATTTCTACTTTTTTTTTGTTGAAAATTTGTTACTGCACTTAATGTCTAAACACAGACAATTAACTTAATGATACATATTTTAAATGAAATTATTTTTGTGATTTCAAAGAAAATTTTTTATCGCTAAATTAACTCGATTGGAAAAAATGACAATATCGAAGTATAGTAACAAGTTGGAGGGGGAAAAAAATGATTTATTTGATGATCATACTTTATTTTATGTCCTGATCTTGCATTAGTGCTGTTGCAAGTCTTTCCAAATCATCGTAACTGCAATTCTTCACTTTTGTTTTTAAATCTTTTATTATATCGTCTGCTATCGATTCCGATTCCGATTCTGTATAATAACGTCGGAGAACCCTTGTCATTTCGGTTTTTAAAAGTTGCATACTTTTTAAAAGTTCTGGCACTGGATAACTTTTCTTTATTATTAAATTCAATTTACTGCCATCTTTAATTCCAGGGTAAAAACTCAGTGGATTATCGTCTGAAATAGTTTTTTTTTTTTGTATTAATGAATTTTAATTAATTCAGTGATATTTCGAATACAAAAAAAATAGTAAATTAGAAAAATACCATCTAATGTTTTGCCAGTGAGAAGTAATTTTTGTTGAGGCACATCGATTCCCAAAAGAGCGCTAACTTTGTGCTTTAGTTCCAAAACAGTCTCAGAAGGCAAAATCTACATTGTAATTAATAAAATTAATTATTATAATTTGGTTTAATTTTTTTGCCATAAAATATTTTTATTCTAATCAATAAATTCCAATTGCGGAATTTTGTTATTTTACAAAATATAATAAAAAGATAATGAAACTTCACTTAAAATGAAATTAACAATTAGAAATTGAAATTAATTTTTCAAAATATGTAAATTAAATCTATTGATCACTTACGTCAACCACGCACTGTTTTCCTTGAAGAATTTTTACCGTGACTTTCATGTTGTCGATTATATTCACGTACAAGAATTATAATAAAATTTTGAAAATCACCGTTATTTAGTAAGCGATAATTCTGATGAAAACAATAAGATTTTAATCATTTTATAGTTAAAAGAAAATCTAAGGTTAAAATGGTTTTGACAGTTTGACAGCTATACTAAACATATATATGTAGAATATACTCTTGTTATTTGAAATAAAAAATAAATAGAAAGTATAAAAGAAATCTTTATCACAAATGCTTTTTTATAAACGATTTAAATTTCATTAGGAAAATTTTGGAATAATTTTTATAAAAATGTATACGGAAAATTAATTTTGGAGCACAAAGTTAATAAATTAAAATGGTTTAGATGATTAAGTCACATTCATTTTTAAAAGGTTGCCACCTGTGAACTGCTCAGAAGGTTAAAAGAATTTATCTGATTGGTGGAATCTTACATTGTCCAATTCGATTTATTTTGGACAAGTTGAAGCTTTTGAATATTTTTAAAAAATTAAAATGAAAGAAAACAAAAATTTATTATTCTTTATAAACAAATTTTTTTTTGAGGAAAAAGTAGACTGATTTAGTTTTAAATACCGGTTTAATTGAATTGTATCGAATAATTATAAATAATGATTTTGCTGATGCAGTTTTTTTTTTAAACTGCAAAAATGTTGGTCGTTTATTGTTTTATAATTATAGATACGAAGAAACGAATTTTTTTTTCTACACAAATGTAATTAAATATTGCAATACACAATAAATACGATGTAAGTACTTAATTTTTGCCAATTTATTAATCTTGGGGTATTTGTTTTGAAATATTTAAATAATTTATTTCTTCATTAGAAAATTAATTTTCAATTACACAAATATTAAACAAAATGAAAGTGATTCAATTGAATCATAAAACGAAAATGTCTTTATCGAATACTGCAATAAGAAATTAATATTGTCAACGTGACAGTATAAATTTATCACAGATTTTCAACATGTCCAGGAGCTTTAATTTAACTAGGATTAAAATACATCTATATACATTTGTATTTAGAGAAAAAAATGTGTTGTAAAATGAAATTATTTTTGAACACACATCTCTCTGTTTTTTTCTGAATTAGTAACTTTCTCAAACCAACTGTTTTTTTTTAATATTTTGTAGATAAATAGGAATTAAATTAGAAATGAAAGCTCAAGAGTATAAAAATGTAATTCCCGTGAAATAAAAATGAACGTAGATCTTAAACACCATAATACACAAAATTGATAAGAACGTGGGTATTATAAATCTATTAGAATACATCGCACTTAACGAATTTATTAGTAATTTGATTTCATAAATTTAATAAACTGAATTAAAATTATTTAATCGATTAAAATTAAGAAATCAAATTGAGTTTAAAGAAAATTCTATCTACGTGAATGTTGTTTAAGAAAGATACCAAGTATATAATTTATGAATATAACGAACACTTGCAAGTTGACTATAAAAAGCATTTCCACCTCAATACTGTCGAAAGTTTTTTTTTTCAAAAATCGTCGATTGACCTAATCGAAAAAACACAAATGTGTTTTAAAAATATTCATTTTTAAAAAAAAAATTTTTTCCGTTTGGTGAATATTTTTTCGAGATAGAAAATCCAGTTCAGTTTCTAAATGTTATTTCACTACACTTTCAAGTTTTAAACACGTATTAGCGTTTTCAGATTTGAAAATTGCATTATAAAAAACGATTTAACAAAATTTGACACTTTTTTCAGTACACACAGATTTTTTCTTTTTTGGAAGTGAATAATAAATAATATTAAATTTTACCCAACAATTCACATTTTAAATATATATACTGTTTCGAAAAAACAAAAATGTCCTGATTTGTCGAATTGCATTCACTGGCGATGAAAATGCAAAATATCAATCAAATCCTCTTGAAAGTAATTGCTGGATAAAATAATTCTTTGAATATTAATATATTGTCCTTTAACATAGATAATTATTCGACGGCAATTTCATTGGACCACGACAAGTGCTAGACGGTGAATTATCATCATCGGAATTATCGTGTCGACTTATCGAAAAACTAGTTCTCTTTCTATCATCCTGATATCGCGATTCATTTAACAATGATTTTGTATCATTTTCAACAATATCCTGTAAATGTTTTCTAAGTGTTGACAATTCCTGTTTATCCTCCTGAAATGTACGTATCGATGTTGATTTCTCATAAAAAAGAATATAAGGCGTATCAGGTGGTTCGAGTCTTTTAAAATCATCAATTGTCGTACATGAAACATAATTGTCATTAAAACGATACCACTTTTGTTTTGAGTCACATGCATAGGTAAAATAATGTCCATAATCAACACTATAACCCGAATGAACAACAGCGGCATATAAACGATATGTTTCAGGCATTGAATCTAAAACTGGTAATTGAATTATTTCATCGTATGCAACTTTATGTCGTAATTTTGCCCTTAAACGACTATCTGAATCGTAGCGAAAATGTTTTAATGTTAAAATAAGATGTGCAGGCGCTTGAAGAATTTTTATTATCCTCTGTGCATCGCATAGATTCATACATTTGTCACAACGATATTTATTGTCACCGGTCAATTTTTCTGGCGCAAGATAACAATTAATGAGACTCTGAACACTGACCTCGTCATTTTCTGATATCTCTTCGGGGAAGCACAATTGTAGATCGCGAAATTTGTCAGTATTGTCAGAACTATTATCACATTGTTGACAGTGATAGGTAATTTTTGATTCGCCACCAAATACACGATGAACAAGAATTGAGGGTGATGTCGTTACGTCTTCGCCTCCAACCGATTGAATTCCACTGTCTGTCGAGTCCGAATGACTGTCACTCAAATGTTGTGTTTGCGCCAAATCTTCACCTTTGAAAAACATACAAAAATTATTTTCTTATCCAGATCTTAAAAAGTTATTTAAACAATAAACTAGTTTCAATTTTTTTTTTTTTGAATTTAATTTCGTATTTAATTATATGAAACAATTTTTTTTTTTAATTATTAATAATAATTAGAAAATAATGTTTTAATCAATTAAAAAAAATTGGAATAAAAATTATGGAATTTTGTTTGTTTGAATCAATACGAAAGGAAAAAAAATTGTTTAATAGTTTTTTTTTGGAAATTATTTTACCTTGTGTAAAATCAGCCAACGACTGTGTTTTTCTTTGTAAAGCAGCACCTTCGGTTAAATCCTCCTCTGTTGGCCAACGAACATTGAACCCTGGTTCATCGCCCATAATATCGTCCATAGGTTCATCGGAACTTGGCTTTAAATCGACCATCGTTTCTGCATTACCACTAATTGCAATTGCCGATTTCTCTTGCTCATAAAGTACATCTAATAAGTGGCTGAAATCAAATAATCAACAATAAAGAAAACATTTTTTTTATTCTATGAGTAATTTTCAAATTATTAATTTAATTTAAATCAAATCAAATATAAATATTCAAAAAAAAGTGATTTACAAATTTTTATTGAATAACAAATTTATGTTTTATAATGTATTTAAAATGTAAATTTAAAAATGTTTTACAAATTCCAACATAAGAATTAATAATTTTGTCATCTGCTAAAAACACATTTTTAATTAATTTTAATTTTAGATTTTAATCTCTTTCTGCAAAATTTTGAATTATATTTTGAATATTGTTTTGAAATTCGTTATAAGAAAATATTTTGATATTCTACTATAATATACAAAAATTCGTAATACTTTTTCTAATTTAAAAAATTAATTTGATCTTAGACAAACAAATTCATAAATTTCAACTAGAAAACATAATTTAATTTTCTCATATTTTACAGAAAACAAGTGAAACCTTGTTTTTGATATTTTAAAAATAAACGCAAAACAAAAAAAAATTTCATGTTTACGAATTTTCCATTTGCAATATTGGAACATTTCCAAAATGTGGAAAATCCTTTGTTTTTCTTTTTTTTTTTAAAAAAAAGCTGCAGAATTATTTTTGTTAGAATTTTTTTAACAGAATTTTATTAGCTAAAAATTTACTATTAACAAAAATTTTAGAAACTTTTTTAACTGTTGATTAAAAAAAAATAAATTCCTTGAGTAAAAATATCTGAAATTAAATACAAATTTAATTAATTTTGATGAAATATTGTGAAATTCATACCAAAGAAATTCAGAACTATCTTGTTGTTGTCCTGGCATAAAATAAGCGGGTCTTGATACTTGAAAAATTTCATTTGGCGATAAAGAATTTCTTTTTGAATGCATCAATAATGCAAACAAATTTTGTAATTTACTAAGCAAAACTTGACTACCAAGATCATTGACTTTATAATTCAAGACCTCATAACGAAATTGTCTAGTCATAGCTAATGCTTGTAAAACACTATTCATATAACAAGTATTTCCCAAATTAGCGAGGCCAACTTTACTGTCAACATTTCGTATACTATCAATACTGACAATATTAATTCTACTTCTTTCCGGTAAATAACTTAATTGAAATTTATTATCCCTCTCATTATTCCAAAATGGTTCCTCCAATATTTTTTCAACAACATCATGTCGTGGACTTATGGGAAAATTATGTTCAATTTCATCACGTTCTTTTACATCAAATCTTATTAATAATGCTTGAATTACATCAATCATTGTTTGTAAACATTCATTAGCGTAATCTTCATTTTGAGCTTTTAAACATTTTAAAACTGATTTTTTTTGAATAGTCTCGACAAATTTAAAAAATACATCTGGATTATTTTGCATTTTTAACATATAGAGAAATATTTTTCCCACCGATTGACTTTGATTTTCAAAGAGAAATGCTGTTGGCATATTTTTTAAATTTAACGTACCCTCTGCAACTTTCATTAATATATCATATTTTCCATTTCTTTCTAAACCATTGATAAAAGTCATAAGCCATTCGGATAGTAGTTCAATATCTTTAGATATAAGGGACCATTGGAAAATAACAATTAATGCTTGCATTAAATCAGAATCCTTATACGGTGTATCGAGATGTGAATCAACACCTTCTTTAATATGTAATTTATCAACGAGTAAAAGAATAATACACAATGCAGTACCTGGCACTTTTTCACGTTGAGTATCTGATATAATTTTATAAAGTTTTTGCAAACAAAATGAAAGATGATTTTTGTCAATTAAATTATGAAGATAATCATGAATTTTTCGTATGCATGATTGATAATTTTTAATATCCTCAGCTTTAATAGGCGTATGACATCGAGCAAGACAATTAACAACAGCTTTCCATAGTTTCATATCTTTTGTATCGCCATAAAGAAATAATCTCTTATATTCATTGACAACATTAAGAATCAACATTAAAATTGAAATGTCATCTAAATTTGTATTAATGAGAATATTTGATAAATCATGACCAAGGCATAGATCAGGTTCATTGTGTAAATATTTAGCGAACCAATTTAAAAGTTTTGGTAATTGTTCCATATTATGTACACGTCCATGAAGAAGTTCTTTAAGGGAATCAATCAAAATTTCCATATAATTGCAATGTGTTTTGTCAAGCATGAAATTTGTCTCAAGTTTGACGAGATTTTTCCATCCTTCAATTATTTGTTCATTATCACCCGATGTAATAAATTGCAAAAGAGCTTGAAACTCGTTTAAACTATCATGATTTAACTCCATTGTGACGAGCACTTAATTTAATATGAACACTGGTTAAAACACTATTTTTTTTTTAACCTCTAACGATGAGAAATAAAAATGATTTTCTGATAACCGGAACAAAGTGACATATTCGCGTAGACACTAGAGCAACATGATTAGATGTTATATTATTTGCACTCATTTGACGACGAATGACGACAAAGAACAACAAAACGTGACAAAGAGAGTACCTTAGTCATGCAAAAAAAAAAAAAATACAAATTGCACCACGAAAAGCTTCTTCACGAGCGCCGCCACTTGTCACTAAATCCGGGAAAACTTGGAAAATTCACTGGATTTTTAATTGATGGCAATTTGACGTTTTCCTTGGATTCACCTCTCACATTACATATGTATAGTAAAGCACTTTATACACTACATAAAGTGTAGTGAAAATAAAAAAAGAAGTCAAGACTTGAATTTTAAATTTTCCGCTCACTTTAACTTAATAACTTTTTTTTTGTGGGAAAAAATATGCTGATAATTGTAGTACTAATGACATTTTTCGTTGATATTTTACTTTTTAATTCACACGAAAAAAAATTAGAAAAAATTGTATTGTAATAAACGACTTGAGAGAAATGAAAGTGGAAAGTGACGTTCTCTGATTGGCCAAGGATTTCCTGTCGATAAAGAAGAATTATTTATTATCGATTCAAACGAGTTCAACTGGCGCGAAATTTTAAATTTCTAAAAAAGACTTTTTTTAATAATCTAGTTTTTGAAATTACTTTTTTTTACCACTGATGGGGCATAAAATGTTTAATTACTTTCTTCAAATATTATCACTTTTAAAAAAATAAAATAGTCTAAAAAAACATTTTTAGATTTCTTTTTTCTTAAAAAAAAAAAAAATTGGCTTTTAAATCAACGAGAAAGGGAAAAAAATTATTTCATTTACTTTTAGAAAATTTAAATAGGCTATATTTATTTACAAAGTAACATTTTGTTATCTGTATTTATATAAACTTTTTGTTTTTTTTTTTGTATTAGATTAACATAATTACTGCACTAATAAACATTACGAATAAAAACTGTCACGGTGATCTCGATGGGTTTTCGAACAATGTGCTCGTCGTTCTGTAAATGCTGCCATTCGAGAAGAGGAAATTGTAGCACCTTTAGAAACCTGACAGAAAACAAAATTTTATGTTACAAAAAAAAAAAAATTCTACAAGTTTTCAAAATTATTTAGAATTTTTATTTAGAATTAAAATTAAAATACCTTGAACCATGGTGAAGCTAGAGATGTTTCTGCACTCGCTCGTTCTTCACCCCTTAAGCATAATAATCTACCAAGTAAATCCTTCGCCTCATTGGAAATTGTCTCAAAATACTCGTCAGGAAAACAAAAATCACATTTTAAAATATTTGCAGTTGTTTCTTCCACTGAATCGTCGAGAAAGGGTGAAAGACCACTGTGAAAAAAATAATCACAATTTAAAAAAAAAAAATGGAATTATTCACTTGAAATATTATTTAAATTTTTATATATTTACAATTAAAATTCCTACGAGGAAGCAAAATTAGAAATTTATGCTAACTTTTTATTGAAAAATATTATAATTTTGAATTGCAAACTAATTGGGGAAAAAAAATTTACCTAAGAAGTACGTAAATAAATACTCCGGCAGCCCACATATCGGTATAAAGTCCAGTGGGTCTACCTAAAACAGATTCTGGTGCTGCAAATTCTAAATCAGCTGGTGGCACAACCTCATCAACTGGTCCTCTAACAGATTCCCCTAAATCAATGAGCTTTACAATTCCAGTCTCTTGATCAACCAGAACATTTTCCGGTTTCAAATCTAAATGAGAATTATTGCGACGATGTAACCATTGCAACGCTGAGAGAAGCTGATTTGCAAATTTACTCGCCATACTCTCGGTGAATTCAGTCTTTTTACTCAAATATGAAAAGAGCGTTGGTCCTCGAACTCTGAAACAATTTAGAAATTTACAAAACGTAAAATTAAAAAAAAATGATTAATTTTAATTTAATTACTAAACAAAAGAAACTCACAATTCTAGAACGATTGTATCGATTCCAGGCTGAGGGGCATTTTCAAAAAGCGCAAAAGCTCGTACAATATTTCCATGATGAGTGGAAGCGAGTAAATCATATTCGGCGCGTGTCAACGAACGCGATTGTTTTCTTCTTGGAGTTTGTTTGAGAGCAACTTCCTGTCCCGTTCCACGATCACGAGCTCGTCGTACAATTGCAAATCTTCCCTTGCCAAGTTCATCTAATTCCAAATATCTAGCAACAAATTGTTCAGCCTCCCAAGCTGTTCCATCGCCAAGCGTAAGATTAACAATTGGCGATGCCGATGTTGTTATTCCATTTTTACCCACCACTCGAAAACTATACGAAGTTCCAGGTAATAAATCCAACATCACCGGAGGACTCTCAACCTCCTCAATTGCCAACGTCCAATTAAACGAGGGCAAAGATCTATATTCAACGCTACATTTTCCCACTTCTCGATCCTCCCAATCAATCTCAATTCTCGTTGAGTCCAAAACTCGTGCCCATGTTGTTCCACTTCCTCCTGATGAAAAAAAATAAAAGAAAAATGAAAAATAGATTTTTTTTTTTGCCAAACAATAAAATATACTAACCAGTGATTCGAAGAGCAATTGAACTGGAACAAGATCCATTTTCACATTGAATATTGCACTGATAAACGCCAGAGTCAGATGGCCGGCATCTTGAAATTTCTAAATAATAAAATCCAGCGCTATGTCCCAATCGAAGACGATCGTCCTGTTCAAAACATAATTCCTCGCCCTCTCGTTTCCATGAGACAATTGCATTTTCAACAGCACCCGAAATTTGAACAGCGAGTCTTGCAATTTCACCGGCATTTGCTTTTATTGGCGATGGTGCACTCGATATGCATGGTGGTGTTTTGCCAATATTACCTTTTGTTTCAATGAGGGAATTTTTATCGGAATTTTGTTTTCTCGGTCGAAATGACCAGGCACGACTCATTGATGAATTTGGAATGAGACTAGCTGGAATCCATGATTCTTCCTTTGCACCTTCAGTGGGCGAAACAACGAGACCATTACCATCGAGTCGTGTCACGATAAATTCTTCACCAGCGCGAAGTGCACCCCAATCAGCTGCTAATCGTACTCGTGCACCTGGTGCGACCTGTGAAAATTTATTTTTAAAAAATTCTATAAGATTATTTAAATACAGAAAAAAAGTATAGTTGTTTGTATTTTTATTCAATGTAGTCTAATTTTATTTTCTCTTTTTTAATTATAGGGTAATTAGAATTGTAAGAAATTATCATAGAATTTTTAGTTGATTATTTTATTTGTTTTATCAAATTTTAATTAAGATATTATCAATTCTTGAATTGGTAAAATTTTCTAAAAATTAAATTCTTTTTTAATAGACGAATAAAATTGACTCTGACAAAAATTTTTATCATTTTTTTTCATTTTTATTTTTTTTTTATCATTTTTTTAATTAATTAAAATTTTTAAATAGTATTTTTTAATTAATTAATTATAATTATTTTAATTCACAAACTTTTAATTTCGTTTTTGATTTCAAATTCCAAATAGAGTTAAGTTAAAAAAAAAACAAAGTTAAAAATTCAATTGCTTTATTTTAATTAAATTTAAAACACAATTCAATTATAAACACTGAAAAAAAATTTTTTTTATCTGTTTCTAATAATCAGTTACTTGACTATTATCAAAATAAATATTTACCGAATTTTTATTTCAATTCAATAATTAATAATTTCTATATTTGAAACAAATATTTAATTAACTCAATAATTTATTTAATTGAAGAATTTTTTTTGAAGAAAATATAATTATTTAAATAATAGTCAAGATTAAAATTTTTTTTCAGTTAGATTTTGAATTCCTCTTTAGATTTTTGTGATTTTGATTCCTGTTTGGAAAAAAATATTTTTTTGGTTGAAATAAATGAAAATCGTAAATGTTACCTGAAAGTAAAGACCCATTTGACCCTTCCCTGATGAACGAGGAAAACATGCTTCTTCTCATGCGTTGACATCGCATGCTATCACCAACACCTGATTATTTTTTTCTTAAAAGTAGAGATAGTGGTAGTATTCAAAGCACAAGAGTAGAGCAATAGTAGAAGTAGTAATAATAATAGTAATAGTAGAAATAGTAGTAATCCAAGAAGTAATTCTCTTTTTTTTAAATAACAGCAGTTTTTTTTTTTAATTATAATACTATTAATAGTGAAAATAATGAAAGTAGAAGATGAACCTCCACCGAAACGTGCTAGTTAGTGTTGACTAATAAAAACTCGTCCTCCTAAATTTTTTCTGCAAAGCGCAGGCCATTTTTTTTTTTTTTTTAGTGAGCAAAAAATGATTACAAGATAATTCTCTCGCCACTCCATTTATCGTGTCGATAATAGAGATACGCGGGTTTATTGTCGCAACAACAGAAGGCAATGCAATAGAGAGCAGTTAGCGACAGGCATCAAGAAGTGGAAGCAGAAGAGTTTCCTTGCTGTAATCAAGAATAATTTGAGAAATCCACGCAGGGGAATTTTTTTTTTTTTTTTGTTTCAAACTCTCACCGGAACGGACGTTGATCGAACTGGTGAACGTGCTCGTAGTGTATTTCTGAATCCCTCCAGGAAGTTAAGTTTGCTTTTGGTTGGACTTGGCGTTCTTGGTGATTCAAAGTTGTCGAGACCACCGGTTCGTGATCGTTGCATTACTTGGGCCTTTCGTTGATTGTCCCTCTCCTTGTTAGCCGCTCCAGACACCGTCAATGTCGGTGGTACTGATGTGACCGCACGGGTCAATGGTTCTGGTGTTGCGCTGCGGCTGTACGCCAGCAAATAATAAATGAATGCCTAACACAGTACCACTTTGGAAAGAGAGAGAAAAAAAAACCCTCTCTCTCTCTCTTTCTCTCGTACATTCAAGTTTCAATTGATCAAAAAAATTATTAAAAAATCTCAAAAAAATAATATTAATTTCCATGCAAAATATCTCAACCTGCATGTACGAGTTCTTTTTTTTAGTAATTTTTCCAAATTCTCATATTCTATTTTGTTAAGGATCAATTAACTGTAAAAATTTAAATTTAAAATTCTATTCTAATTTAAAAATTACTATTTTAATTAACTTTTCCATTTAGGAAAATTAAAAAAGAAACAGTTAAATGGTCCAAAATTCAAAATGAATATTTGAAGAAATATTTGTTAGTAAGTTTTTTTGAAGCAAAAAACGGGGTGAAAAAAAAACTACAGGACAAAACGTAGTACTGTGTTTTTGGTAAATAATAAAAAAAGAAGCAAGTGCAAATATGGAGGAGAATAAAAAAAAAAAGTGATTGGTGCTAAAGGGGGTTAAGGAATGATGCATCACAATCACAGTCTTGGTCAATTTACGATTTATTCTAAACAAAGTGTTAGCTTACGAGTCCATTATATTTTTTTTTTTTTTGTTTTTTTTTTCATCCGAGAGTAATACGTAATTTTTATGTACATTACACTGCCGACATACCGCTTCAGTGTCGCGTTTATAAACGTTATTAAAATTATTATAAATATAATATCGTACATTTTCATCGTCACAGTACTAGGATAACACGTGCATTTCTCAACCGAGTTATGCGCTTCCATTTATATATATATATATATATATATAATATATAATTTATTTATATATCAATTACATTTCTATATGCGTACATACACGTTATGTATATATGCACATTGGAACGGATTACCACGCGTTAAAGGCTCTGGGAGCTAAAGTGAATTTATTTCGTAAAGAGAATTTAACGACGAAGAAGATATTGAATTCGGAAGAAGCCAAGAGCACGTAGGCAATTATCAATGTTATTATTATTAGTAATTTTGTTTTTTTTTTTCTAAGAGGAAGGATTCTGGGGTAACGAGAATCCGATTGTGTGTGGGGGGGGGGGGATGGGATGCCGCCGTCTATAGCTTACAGCGTTTGGTATTTTTATATAAAATATACAAAAATATGTCAGAACGACTATTCACATATTATCGAGTGTTAGAGACTAGAGTCAGTGAGTTTCATTATTTAGGGTAGATAGACGCTTACAGTGGGTCTTTGGTAAGTTCCTTTTGGTAGGCAATCGGCGACTGTATCGCCTTAAGGAAGTCACGTTGGGTCTGCAAAATGGCATTGATTGTGTCCACCCATTCTTGTTTGCTTGGCCCAGTCTCTTCCGCTACAATGCACACAAATCCCAAACCTGGCTTTCTTGGATCCGTCGAGCGGATCACAAATTTTTCAGGATCATCCACTGTTTCTTCTAAACTCAATTTATTTACCTGTACAAATTAAATATAATTCAAAATTTCAAATACATTTTTTTTTATTCAATCAATATTTCGAAAGAAAATTCGTATTATTTTACAATTTAAAAATCTAATTTGAATTTTATATCTAATTGTTTGCATTTCGTAAATAATTTGCAATGAGAAAGTTAGTTTCTTCAAATCTGTTTTTATAAATTAATTAATAATAATAGTAAATATTCGTCAAAACAAAGTTTTCTCTTCGAAGAAAAATTAAAGAACTCATTACAAAAAAAAGTGGTATTAAGTTTAAAAAAAAAAAAACTTGTTCACATACCTGAATGTGAGCTTTGTAGTAGTAGCCAGGATTAGTAAACTGAGCTTTCTTGCCAACTGCCTCGCTAAAGATTATGTTCTGCTCAAAAAGAAATACCTGCCACTCTCTTCCGCGAGACGGCATCGCCGACAGCTCAGCAACCATTAATGGACCGTGGAGTAAAAGTTTACCCTGTGCTGTTATTTTACCCTAAAAAAAAAATAGGATAATTATTTTTCTTTCTAAATTAATGAATAAATAAATTAAATAAGAATAAATTTTATAAAACTTTAAAATAAATTGAAAAATAAAATTCCTACATCAAAATTTTGTAATCTTCCAACATCCATCATATCGTTAGCAGCTTTAGGAATGATTCGCATAACGTGTGTCGCTGCTCTAAGTCCCTCAATTTCCGATAAACGTCTCGTTCCTTCCGTTAAACGAAGCGCCTCACGTAGTAAAAGTTGATATTTTGTAATCCTCTGTACTGGTTTGATTAATAAATCACAAAGCTTAAGCCGATGACCAAGCTTTTGTCTGAGTTCCTAAAAACAAGGAGAGAAAATAAATTTAAGTGTCACAAAAAAAAAAAAAATTACTATAAATAACGAATTTCAAAGGAAAATTTACTTCAAAGTATTCGTCGATGTGCTCAGAAACGATGTACTCGGACTTTGGTTTGTTTTGACAGTACACAACGTACATGTGCAACTTCCTCTCGTAACGTTTGAATAGGGGACCAAGTTCTTCTGGCCTTTCAAGACAGTGTTCCAAAGCTTTCAAAAAACAACTGTAAAACAAAGATATGTCAATATTTATTTGATTTCATTCTTTATTCACGTTCAATTTTTATCTAAATTGAAACAATTTATCTACAAAAATTGTAACGAATTTTTAATTCTTTAAAAAATTACTCAATTTTAAAAAACTAAATTCGTAACAATGTAAATTTAAAATTCTACAACTACAATCGCCTAATAATTATTTAAATGCTAAAAAATTAATTAATTATAAATTTAATTAAACGTAATTATTCGATTTATTTAAAAACTTGAGACTCACTCTCGATGAAATTCATAAATCGCTTCAATATTTCCAAAGACCATTTTGTCCTTGCCACCTTTAAGATCATCGGGAAGGGGAATGTCAGTTTCTGGATCTTGCATGAGAGCAATATAGCCTTCGACGATTTGCCGCAAATCGTTAACATAATCCCTCTCTGTATCAGCCAATTCTCTAATGACGAATTGTCTCTTTGCCAAAATTGTACATTCAGGATCATCACTTCCTTCAGTTAACGAGACACTACCTGCCATTCCTCCGCTGTAACCACCATCGGTTGACGTTGCTGCGTTTGATGATAATGTCGGCGATCCAGTCGATGTCGACGATCTAATTGGAGTTCGAATTTGCGAGCTGTGTTGTCTTTCTCGATTTTCTGTATGTTGCTCCTATGATTTAAAAAATATTTTCAATATTTCATCTTTTGATCGATACAAATTTTTTTTTTCTTATTTCAACTCTTATGGTTATTTTAATATTATTTAATTAATTATTAATTAAAAATAAATAATTTTCCAAAGGAATAAAATTTATGTTTTTTTTTTAGTATTTTTTTAAACTTGGAACAATTCTCTTTAAATTAGAATTATCTTTTTTGAACAATATGGAAAAATAACGGAGGAACAAATTTAATAAAAAAATCTCTTATTCAAATTACAATGTTGTAATTAAAAATTTCAGTTTATTTATAATGAAAGAGCCATTTTCATTGTTTAACTTTCAATTAAAATTCTATTTTTCTATAAAATAATTCATTTTGCATAAGAAAATACAGGAAAAAAAAAATTTTTTTTTTTATACAAAGACGGAAAAGTGAGAAAAATATGAAAAGACTGTGAAACCTTTAAAGAAACATCTTGTATTATGCATTTTTCCCTCCAGCAAAAAAGATTCATATCAACAAAACAAGTTTTATATTTATTTTGCCATTTAAATATATAAGTATAAGTCAAGTATTTTTTATTATTTTTGAAAATTGTTGCAGAAAAAAATTGATTTTTAAAATAAAACAATTTTGTTTAGAGAAACATTTGGAAATTTTTTAAAAACTACAAAAAAAATTAAATCTGTAATATAAAAATACTGTTTTTAAAGAAGCGATATTCGAATAGAATATCTTAAATTAAACTTTTTATTACCAAATTATTCCAAGTAGTAAATTTAATAAAAGCTTATTTAGGACAAAAATTTAATTTCCTGTAAGAAATTATTATTTAACCACAAGAGTAGAATAATCTAATTTATAATTTTTTTTTTTCTAAAAATAAAATCTAAAAATGAGGTTAAAAGAGATGAAAATGAAACGATTAATGTAAAAAATGAAAATTATTTTTTTAAGCGTATTTCTTAAAATTTTGAAATACATTATATCTTTTTAACATCTTAAATTTTCACGATCAAAACCTCATGCTCAGAACAGTTTTGCCATCATCATGATAATCAAATTCATTTTATATTCAAGCGATATCATTCTTCTAATGAAAAACCGTACACGTAAGTCGCCTTGCTTATTGTAATTAAAATATCGCGTGCAATAAAGTTGCCTTACGAATAAGTTTATGCAAGCGCCACTTGAATGCAACTTGCTCATTTGCATGCAAACCTTCAATCGTTGTTGAAAATTCACTCTCGCACCACTACTGAGAATTGACTTACATCTTAAATTAACGTTTAAAAGCAGATTAAAAAAATAATAATAATTTTTTTGGCACAGAAATAATTTTTCAAAAAAAAAAATTACCATTCGTTCCTTAACGATTTGTTCAATTTCGGCGATATCCGCCGGCGTGGCACCGTCTAAAGATTTTATGGTGCGCTCCGTATTCTGTAAATATTACAAATTATATATTCGACTTCAAAAAAAAAAAAAAAAATTATTTTTAAACCACCTTATCTTCTCCGGCTATTTTCGATTTTTTTTCAAATAAAAATTCTTTTTTTTTGGTAATACAAAAAAAAAGGAGTGAAAAATTAATTTCACTAAACACGATTTGTTAAGAAATATTTAAAAATTGAAATTCTGATTTAATGCAGAAATACTTTTTTTAAAGGAATTATTAAGTGTATGACGAAAAATCAAAATGATTGTAAGATAAGAGATAAAAAGAGGATAAACATGAAAGCTATTTTCAATGTAAATTTATCAGCTCTTTATACATTCTCCTTTCCTTTCTCGTACCTAGAATCTGAATAAGTTCTTTGTGTACCTAAAGCTAAAGTTTGCAATGTTCACAAAACCCAAAAAAAATTATTATATTTGAAAATATCAATGATATATTTTTTAAAAGTAGAAAAAGAAACGAAAAATTTTGTTTAAATTTTTGCATATTATTAAAATAAATATTTCAACTATATAGTTAAAATTTCAAATTGGTATTGATTTTCAAAAATTGAGATTTAAAAATATTTATTTACTTTTCGTTTTTACTTGCTTCTAAACTGATGAAGTTTTTAGTGTTCAAAATTTCGAATTTTCTGAATTGTTTACTTTTGAAAAATAGTTTAAGAAACAAAAGACAAGTAAATATTTATTTAAATTCAGTTTGACAATTTTTTTTTCATTTTTTTAAAAGAGATACAACCTCTTTCAAAAATATGTGAATTTTATTTTTTTTAAGTCGAGTAATAAAAATAATTTTGATAAATTGAGGCTTCAGATAAAAAAAATATAAATTTTCTAATTTTTTGTTGAAAATAAAATTTGATTATTCAGATAGGTAAAAAAATCTTTCGTTTTTTGAACATTGCAAAGTTCAGCTGAAATTGTATGAATTCGTAAACTATATAGATACGTTGGATAATAGTGAAACTACGAGGAAAATTGTTTTTGAAAAAAAATTTTTCCTAAAAACTCACTAAGGAAGTGCCTCGTTTTCCAGGCAATTCGTCGGGGGCAGTTGAACCTGGAGGGCCGTTTCCAGTTGCCACGAGAATTGGTTCTGTAATTGGTTTCATAGGAGGTGGCAATTCAAGATCATCCTCAGCGTCTTCACCGCCGTTTTGCTCGAGGAATGCCGGTGTTTCACCGTCCTCGTAGCCCAATTCCTCTTCCTCTTCACCCTCAGACGTTGCTCGAGCAGCCGATTTATCTCCACTTGGAAGCTTGAATCTTTTATCCGAACTAGTTTTCTTGAGCAAAGGAGGTGGCGGAGGTGGAGGCGGTGGTCTATCCGCCGTTGACGACGACTTTTCAACTTTTCCTTGACTGAGTTTACGTAATGGAGGCGGAAGCCATTTTCTCCTGTAAAAAACAAAAAATTAATAACTTTTTCTTGAAAAAAAAAAATTATCGAAAATAATTTAAAAAAATTAAATTTGTTTTAAAAAACGTATGCTAATAAAATAAAGTGAATTAGCAATGTATAATAATAAAATTTATATTTACTTGTAAATAAAAAGAAAAATAAGAAATATTATATAAATAAATATTGGAAAGCGTAAAAACCATAGGTGAAATACACGTGTCATTTCTCTTTTTTCTTTTACTATTAAAACATAAATAGTTTTCTGACTTATAAGTTTGTATAAAAATACTTTGATATAAAAATAATCGTGTAATTAAAAAATTTATAAGTTTTCATTTGACGTCAGTGAAAAGAAAATTAAATCGATATTAACTCGAATTGATTAAAAATAACGACAGCCACTTCTTTCGAGATTTAAAATTCATCAATAAATATTAAAAGAAAAAAAATTATAAAATATTAATTTTAAAAATTTTTTAGGAATTTTATATTGGAAAACAACAAAAAATATTAATAGATTAATCTGAAAAATACCTTAATTTCATTGCAAATTCCATATGGATAAATAAAAATTTGCCAATAGAGATAATTAAAAAAAAAAGAAATTTAAATTCGATTATCACTTTTTTTTTCTCAATATTGAAAATTATTAAAAGAGTGTTACTAGAACGTTAAAAAAAACACGTGTGTCGCCTTTCGCATACGAAAAAAATGATGGGGCCCCCCAATGAGTATAGTAGAGTGGGAGCAAACTTTTTTTTATGGACTCTAAACTTGTATGATTTGCCTATCGACAAAAGTAATGTAGAAGAGCGAGGACGCAATATAATTTCCTAGAATCAACTAGTCATGATTAACGGTTTCTTTTTTAAAAACATATGTCTCGAAATTTTAAACTATTTTTTCAAACAAAAAAAATAAATTTTCTGTTACATAAAATAATTGTTATCATAACTAAAATTGAAATAATTCCAAATTATGAACAATGAAAAGTTTTATTTTGACCTTTTGGAGAATAAAATTCAAATATCAGGTTTAAAGAAGAATTAATTATTAGAGAAACCGTCAAAGAAAATTAAATTATCTTTTCTTATTTTCCAAGATACCTTGAAATTACCGCCTACATTATGAAAAATCTGATTAGCTTGAGGGTTTTTTTTTCTCTCTCTGTAAATATATAATATTATTTTTTAATGAAAATTAAATTGACTCAACATTTTATTCTCGTTTTTTATGTACCAAACTTGTCCTGACGAAAGGTTAATTAAGAAAAATTGTTGAGACGTGAAATAATGTAAATCTTCGAAAAGGTTGAGTTACCCCAGGTAAATTGAATTATTAAATTAAATTATTTTAATTAAAGCTCATTCTTGTGGTATTATTTTTTTTTCTCCTTTCTCCTTTATAGTTTGTTTAATTAAATTTTCTTATAATCCGATTCTACTTTATCGTTAAAATTAAAAACTTGTGGAAAGTAATTTTTAATTCTATAGTGCTGCGTTAAAAAAAAAAAAAATTCTTACACATTTACAATTTTAAAAAAAAAATTTAAAAATCTTTTGCAAAGATGAATAAAATGTTTTGTTGTGAGAGTTAAATATTTTTTTTGATAAATATTATTACTAGATTTAATTAAACATAAAAAAGAGAAAAATTCCTATTATTTCTTAATAAGAATTCTTTTTCATAAAGAACTCTATTTTCTGAAACGTATTTATAACTCCGTCAATAATCCTTACAATGAGGGGTTACTAACAATCTCATTCAGCCTTCCTTGAAAAAAAAAAAAAAAAGATACAATAGACTTCGCTCTGTCTCGTTTATTTAAACAAAGCAGCATTCCCCATTTCCCAATAATAAAAAAAAATATATAAAAATAAAACAATCCCGTCGTTGAAAAGGAGGCCAAACTTACGAATTGAAACCCCGTCTCTTGTTTCCTGGTGAGCTTGTGTTGGCTGGTCCACTTCCGTCACTTCCAATGATTTCTGGAACAGACAGAACAAGAACATTACCTTCTTGACTGACAAGTCATCAATTTGCTTATTTGAAAATTTCAAGTCTCTCTTTGAGCAAAAAAAAAAAAAAAAAAAATTTTTGGCAATTTTTCAAAAAAAAAAAAAATCTTTCACTTGGCTATTTTATTTTTCATCATGAGATTTTTAAACAAAAAAAAAACCTGTCTTTTTTGAAAAAAGGAAACTTATTTTATTTTGAAACTAAAAATTTTGAAATAGAAAAAAAAATTGAATCATTTGCGAAATAATAAAATAAATTATTAGGGCAGTCCACTCGGAAATAGACAAAGATGCGCGTCTCTTCTAGTATCTTTTTCTCTCGAATTCTCGATCTTTGATTCGATTCCAACATCAGCAATATACAATAATACTAAGGCTAAGGCTGCTATTAGAGCGAGAGTCTCGGGGATGCTTCTGACGTCAGGGAATGGTAGGCTCTTATTTTTAGATAGTACGCGGGTACTAAAGGCTAAAAAGGAGGTGAGAGGTCGTCCAGGTGTGAAAATCATCCTTAAAAATCCCTTGCCATTCTCATTAACTCGTATTAATATTAAACTTTTAAATTGTCATTATTTTCTAATTAATTAATTCAATTTCAAAATAATATAATTAAATAAAAAAAAATAATTTCGGTCTATCATAATATATAATTGTATAACACAGAAACTCGATACATTTTACTCTTTATGTCACGTAAGCTAATAAATTATTTATGATTAAAAAATAAATCTAAAAAAAAAAATTCTCAACATAATTTCAATAAAATGCTAAAAATACTTTTACAACAAAAAAAAAAAATCTTTATATAAAATAATAAAGGTGAAAAATACAAATAAGCAAAAAAAAAAAATAATTTTAATATATTTTCCTCGAAAAGAAAAAATTAAAAAATATTTATTAAATAAAATATTTAGAGGATTTGAAAAAAAATAAAAATAAGTAAATAATTTTAGAAAAGAATAATAAAAAGAGAAGCTTATAAAACTGACCTCACGATGATTCTAAATTTGAGTGGTAGGAAATAGAAAAAAGAGTTGGAAGTGATTCAAACGATTTTTGAGATACACTTTTGTTAAAGAAATAATAATATTAAAACTTTAAAAGATCATCCTTACGATGTGAATTAATAAAATTCAATTCATATTTGGAAATAGAAAATAGAAAAATGAACCTATCATACAAAAAAGAAAAATCGAAAAATACCAAAATTTAATTACAAAAAAGGAATAAAAAAAAAATTTGAAGAAAAAATAACTTCAATTTAATTTATCGTGGCAAAATGAAACTATATTTTTCATGTGCGTGTCAATGCAATTAATAACGATGGCAACGCGTTACCATACAAGGCGATCAAACTAAAGGTCGAGATTGCGAATGTTAGTCACTTTCACACACACACACAATTTAAACGAATGGTCAACTACATATTATAATAAATATGTAACTGATAGAGAATTTTTTTTTTTGGAAATATAATTTCAAAAACGATTTATTTTTTAATCGAAATATTTGCAATATTCCCTGTTGGTTTGAAAATTGACTTATATTTCAACTTAATTAATCTTATTACTTTGTTATCATTTTAATGGAGCTCATTTTTACATGACCTACTAAAACCTCTTGAAAATGTACTAATTAAATAAAGAACCTCTATCATTATTAAACCAATTATACGAAGAGCTTTCTCTTATTTGGAAAAACTAAAAAAAAAAAGAAAAAAAAACTGAGAGATAAAAAATGAAGAGCTGTCACATTAAAAAATTACAAACTTGAAAAATAAAGACTATTTTTCATTTTCCTTTCTAAAATTTAACATACACTGCCCTACGCAATGGAAAAATGTTTTCAAAACTAAAATTCTTCATAAAAAAAAGAAAATATGCAACTTTCGTTAATTTTTGCAACTTGAAACGAAAATTAAAAAGAAAATTTTTTTTTTACCAAATTGAGACGAAAAAGTTTAAAAATAAGAATTACTCTGAACAGAAATATACTTTATTAAAGAGATTTAAAACAGTCTTGAAATTAAGATTCAAAACACGTGCCATTGGGAGAGGAAGTAAGAGCTCTCTTTCTCATTTTTAAAGAACTGTACCTTGAATTTTCATATTTAAAAAAGAATTTATTTTTTAAAAGTAATTTTAACCTTGGCAAATAATAAAAAAAAAATTTTAATATTTCCATTTGTTTTTATATTTCTCAAAAAAGCGAACTAAATCCGATAAAATACTACAATTATTGACAATAAAATTATCACCTTAGAAAAAAAATTATTCCCACGAGAATGTATTTTTACTCAATGAAAACAAAAGATAAGAAAATTGACTTTATTGAGAAGATCTAAATTTAAAAAAAAAAAATTTCAAATCTTATCTCAAATTTGTTAGCAAACATAAAGAATCGAAAAAAAAGTTAATAAACTTTTTGTGATATTCGATTTGAAATATATATTATTATAATTGAGAATAATATTGAAATTTTCAATTTTTTCTTTTTTCTCTTAATGTGACATCCGTTGAAAAATACTTATTCTTTGAAAAGGAACAAAATGAAAATTCTGAAGCGGAAAAGGTTTCATCCCTGCGGGAAATCAAATCCTACTTTGTCTTTGACAACTGAAACCAGTCGGCGAAAAAGGACTTAAGTTACATTTTCAAACCACGTAACATAAATCTTTGTTCCTGGCTTGGATTTAAATTGTTGTATCAAAATGAGAATATACGTGACACTTGCAGTTTGTAATCTTATCTAATTTGTCGTATCACGACATTAGACAAGTATATGAGTCAAGTTTACCTCATTTCCTCTATTTTTTTTTTTTTCTTGAACCCTATCTCTGAATTTTATATCCCAATAATTAAAAATGTAGAATTTTAAATTACGATTTAAAATCAAATTTGCGAAAAATTAATTTCACTATTTAAATGGCTGCTCGCAAGATGACTCTTTTTTAGTTTCGCGAGCACAAAAAATTAAATTTCCAGAATCTGCAAAAAAAGAAAGAAAATTTTTCAACAAAAAATTAATTATAAATTAAAAATATAGAAATAAATATAAAAAAAATATATAAAAGAAAAATTATAAATAATAAAAATAAATTAAAAATATCAAATGTAATTTTGATATCGATTCAAAATTTTTCAAATATTCAACACTTTTCGTTGAATTCGTCTTTATGTGTGAATTTAAACAAAAAATATTATTTCTAAAATAATATTCTACCCACGTTGATGAATATCGATATAAAAAAAAAGATTTTTAGAGAAATAGAATAAATTTTTTGTTTGGGCGTTTTAAAAGCAATTTCTCATTATCACGCTATTATTAGTGTCTATTATTTGCGGTTGTTTACTGTCGCTCTATTTCCGGATGTCAGGGACTAAATTCGAATCACTTTCTCGCAGTGTCATTTGTCCATCTTTACTGTTTTTTTTCCCCATCGTCATCAAAATCCTATATCCATAAATGTGTGTGTTTTTTTTTTTCCTTTTTTCAACAATTTTACCATGAAAATGCATTTCACGTGATGTTACATTGTGCCAATGTAATGGTTATAAGAGCTAACGCAGCGGAACTATTAAAAGCGCGCTAACAATTTCAAAGACACTTCTTATTTCGCATTTGGCATCCGAGCTTCGAATATAATAAAGGGCAGAGAACCAGGAAATTCAATTCATCTGTAAAATTCGAAAATAAAAATGAGAATACAGTTATAAATGTGAAAAAAGAATATTCTTACATTAATCTAATTAAATTTTAATTAAATAGTAAAAAAAAAAATGTAATTGTTAGAATATATTCACGAAAATTCCATCAAGTTAATTAAATTGTTTCTTTGAATTTCTCTCGAGGGATCATAAATATTACTTCAACGAGCGTAATAAAAGTCAAAACAAGTCTTTAAAAAATTAAATAAATAATTTTTGGTGTTTTTTTTTCGAATTTTGTCACTTTTTCAAATTCGTATTTTATTTTTTTAAATTGAGATAGATTCTTCATTTTTTCTCCTTTTCTAGAACAAAGGTATATTTTTTAATTTCCGGAATGAAGAATCGGAAATTAAAAATCGTAGTTGGTGGTATTAATTATTCTATTTTATTCTACTGTGTTATCATTTTTTTAAAAAATAGAATACAGAAAAAAAATTAGTTCCAATGAGAAAATAAATGAATCAGAAAAAAAGGTGAATTTTTTTTTTTTGAAAATAATTCCGAGAAAAAAAAAACCTGCTATTGAAGGCAAAGGAAAGAAGATTAAAGCTAGAGAAAGAAATGAAAAAATAATTCTGAATGCATCAAGTTTTGAAGGAATTGGATTTGAAAATTATATCGCGTCTCAGTTCATCATTGTTAGTGAAATAAAGAAAAACGTCAAGAAGCTTTGATGAATCGCGTTGAAAGCGATAAAACTGATTTTTTTGAAATCGAATCACAATACCTGAATCTCGAGGAAGGGAACGATTTCTTCTCGAAGAGGACGAAAATCGTGTACCTAAACGTGCCTGAGGCATAATAATGCACAATAATAATTTATTCACTTTCACCCTTTCACTCCAAAAATTTTTTATAAAATTCACTTAGTCTTCCATTTGAATGTCAAAAATCAATTCTAATTAACACAACTCACAGGAATAATGAAATTAATTTTTCTCAATTTTATTCTATATAATTAAAATTCGAGTAATTATTTTTCGATAACTTTACATTTCCAATTATTGCTCAAATTTCCAAAACGATAAACATTAGTAATACAATTTTTTTTTTTTAATTTAAACACTGAAAAAAAAATTATTTTAAAATTTTTTAATTTTCTAAATTAATAATAAATATTTGTATAAATTTTTAAATAATTACATTTAGATTAATAATTTTTGATTTTCTTGTAAAGGATTTTTTTCAGATTTTACTGATTTCCATTTGTCAAATGTCTTTTTGGAATAATATAAGAAAGCTGAGATATTATTTTTGATT